CCAACAAACTGGATGTTCACTCCACTGTAAACAAAGTTAAACTGAAAAACGTTGGTGGGTGATTCGATCAGCTGATTGGCAAACAAAAACTGTTCCCTGTACAGTACTATATATATTATCAATATGTTAACTAAATTAGAATGACCAATAATTTTAACAAAACAATGCAAAAATATTCAAGAGCATAACTTTCTTGATATTTACTCCACTGGAGACGAATGTAAACATAGAACCAATTACTGTATTGGCGGACTAGCCGATCAGTTGATGCGCACAACAAAGCGTGTTTCTCGCAAGGCTTTCATTAATCGAAGTTTTGTTCGTTAATGGAATTGAAAATCCTTGTGGGAGCTAACTCGTTAACCGAAATTTCATTAATTGGACCATTAGTTAATCGAGGGACCACTGTATTAATAAGTTTTAGCTAAGCAATTTTGTTCACTAATATCTTTCTCACTTTTGATAGTAGAATAAAACTTAAACAGATCATTTTTTTTGCCATAATATATTACTCATAATTTGACTTTCTAATATTAAACTCATGGAAAATCTTAAATATTTACTCTGGGCATGTCATACTCAATTCAACTTATGTCAACTTCTGTCAGTACAGTGGTCCCTCGGTTAACGAGCGCCTCGGTTAACGAGATTTCGGTTAACGATTTACCTTCCATAAGATTCTTAACTTCGGTTAACGAGCAATCCCTCGATTAACGAGTTTTTTACGAGCCGACTTCAACATGTTTTCGCTTGCATTTGGCGGTCCACCAGCTGTAGTATTAGTCCGCCAATACAGTAATCGGTTTCAGGGCTTAAATTCCTTACTATTTTAGTAAATATCAAGAAGTTTATACTATTCGATAATTTTAAAAGTTTAATATTAACTTTTTTAGTCATTTTAACAATTATTGAACATAATTGAAGGTAAAGAAACTAGTTTCTGGCGTGCCATCCAGCCTGTTAACACACCAGAGGGGCGTTAGTCTCTCTCTGTTTTCAGTGGAGGTAACATCTTGCTTGAGACTCTCTTCAACTAAACGCTTTTTTTCTGTGTTTCCAAGCAAATTATTGGTCATTTTGAAATATATTTTACATATTGACAATATATAATGCAGTGCAGTGTTGATTTAAAGAAAATAATCTTGAAATACACCAAGAGAACTAAAATTTTATGGGTGAAATAGTGCCATGGGGTGACTTCTCTTCCACCCCAATGCCTTCTCTTCTTCCTTCTCCTCCACCCCCATTCTAATTCCCATCATCATCATCCAGGAGCCTTCTACATACACACCTCAAAGTAAGTGTACTTTTCTACCTTTTTTGTTGAATTTAGGCAATTTTCGGTGAGCTGGAACCAATTACGATGGGGGAAGGAAGCCAGTGGCTTCTTTAATCCCCTCATTGTTCTAATGAATTTGTCCATCAATCATATGACCAGTGTTAGTACAAGAGGGCCCCCAGAGTACAAGAAGAAAACTTGTGATGTTTGGAATGCTTGTACTGGATAACATCCTTCTCTCTTCTTCTTTACCTAAATGGTCACCTAACCAGAGGTGACCATGCTAAGGGAAGGCCAGTGGCCTGTGTAGGATCCCTCCACAGTGGTGAGAGGCAAGTGCACTTCTATTGTACTATTAACAAAGACGGCTTTCTTTACTCCAAGCTTTATTTCAAGGGTGGGTGCTTAATTTATTTCTATCATAATCTATTTGAATTTTGGTTTTGTATGGAATTAGTTAAACATGTACAGTATTGGTCTGCTGTTTAAAAATAAAGAAAAATCACATGTAAAAAGGAATTTGGACTTAATGGTTAAAACAGTACAGTATATCATTTTAATCCAAAGTAAAATACTTGCTCTCATATATAAAATGTATTATCAGTTCCGCATCAGTCAATGATACAGAAGTTGGACCTTCTATTGAAGCAACCTAGCAAAAAATACAAAACACTATTTAATTTTCAATGCAGAACAGTGAACTTTATTTTTTTCTCTAGAGTTTATTTGAATAAATGAAAAAATGCAAATCTGAATATCCATCCAGTCATTTGCATAAAAATTCAGTAAATGTGAATTTCAGCCAATTTTTTATTAAAATTACTAAACAATATATCTTATTACAGACACATGAAGGAACATTAGAAATTTCTTGAACCTATTTAGAATTGTGTTAAATTTCCAAATGATAAGAAGAATTTACTTGTTTACACATGACATCTGTAAAGCTACAGCATTGAGTCAATAATGAATGATAACATAAAATCAAACTAACTTAACCTGTTACAGTAGTAACTTAAAAATCACCCAAGATAGTTTGGTTGGCTCGGAGTGAGAGTTGTGAACTATTGGAACAATCTACCAGAAAGTGTTGTGACGGCACCGAGTGTGAGCTCTTTCAAGACCAGACTTGACCAACACTGGAGCAGGTTCAGGTATATTCAGGAGCCGGTGCATGCCCAGTACTTGCCAAAAGTGCGTAAATGAGACGTGACCGATCGCCCAAGCGGCTAACGAGCCGATCATTTGGTGAAGAGGATAAAAGAAAAGGAAAAGTAACAGAGACGTGACCAATCGCCCAAACGGCTAACGAGCCGGTCAGTGGTGAAGAGGATAAAAGTAAAAAAAAAAAAAAAAGTCATCTTTTATGAATGCCTTAATACTGTACTGTAGACTCACAGGCTGTTATTAGTCAAGAATACTTAGAATTGTTAGCTTTGAAAGAATATTTAATGCGATTCTTTGCTCAACCTGTTTTATCTAATGTCTTCCGTCTCTTTCTGCTATGATAAATTATGTGTAGTAACTGCTTAGTGCTCTCGTGCTGGAGCGACCCCTACATCTCAGCCATATCTCACACTGACAGCACCCCTCCCGTAAGCAGAAATGCTAATACAGTGGACTGGCCCTAAAAACCACATAAGTTCCTCCCACTAGCCTCGTGGGTTGACAGATGCTTAACTAAGGGTGCAATTTGAGTCTGGATTGCTCTACACAACGTTTACTAAAATGGAAAAACCATTCCTGTTACTGATGCAACCTGCATCAAAAGATTGCGAAGGGCTGAAATTGTAAACGAAGCTACTGTATTTGCGTCGAAAGACCGCAAAGTGTCGAGATTTTTACCATGGCCAGGAGTACCAGAGGGCTAAGGGATCAGAAGATCTTTTGTTAACCTGTAATGAGTTTGAGCAACAGATTTTAATGAAAACCATTGGAAATGACAAAAACTCTAAAACTGCTTGAGCGAGCACCATGCCTAAAGACCCCAGGCAAGAACCTGATATAATGTACCTTCCCACCCAAACTGATATAAATTCATTGAGTCTATGGAAAGTAATTGAATGGACACATCACATGTACAAAACATTGGAACTAAGACCATCTATAACAATCATTCTAGTGTTTATGATGACAAAAGGCAACTTTCACAGCAATATTTTGGAATATTTTCCTTAATTTACAAATATATACATACTGAGCATCAGTGCTAGTAAGTACAAGTATTTACCTTTATCCACTTAAGATTTAGATGCAAACTAATAAAGCTAACATTCTTTATACTATTTCTTACAGCATGTGAGGTGACAACCCCAAGGATTAACTTAGCCCAAGGCACTGACATGGAAAGTAGCCAGGTTAGCACACATTATATAACAACATCCCATGTACCCTGTCAAGTCCTATGGATTGGGAGTTCAATTGACCTGTAGAGCCCCTTTAGATGCAAACTGAAGGCTTTTAATATCATACATTGCATGGTATTAAACGGGTTAAATGATGAAAAGTTAGTGTAAAAATACAGTCAATTTTATCCTTGCCTTGTTTTATGGTTTGAAGACCTCATATTTCATATCGTGTCACATTAACATATTAAGAAACTTATAAAAGTGTGTATTAATATTATTTTCAATTTATTATGTGATGTCACTAGAATTACGGGTACCACGTTTGATTGGAAGATTTCAGTTTACACTTACATTACATACAGTAGAACGTCGATATAACAGGAAATAGGTTAAAAGAGAGGTTGCTTTAAACCGAATTCGCACTAAATTGAAGTGTTGTTTCAGTGGAAAAATTTAGTTTGGTACTTGAGAGAAACACAAAATACTAAAAAACCTGAGAGTCTACCCAGATGCACCTCAGCCCATCTCCTAGAATAAACAAAACATTGTTTTTTGTAATATTATGTTAAAACAAACACTCATAAATTAACACAGCTAAAATTAAGGGATGCAAAATGGTCTGTTTACCGGCTGGGATGATGGGGTGAGGGGGGGGTGAGGTGATATGTTTGACAGTTGATGCCAAGGTCTAGTGCTTATTTATTTATCTGTCCTTAAGAGTAACTAAGTTTTTATCTTATAAAATGTCACTGAACTGACATGGGAAAATATAATTACCATTGCTGGAATTCTTATAAGATAGTGATAAATTTGAATATAAACATGCTATAGCTTGCATTAGACATACAAATTTTAGTTCTAATTTAAGAAGTTTAAAGAAGTTTATTACAGAGAGCAAACATTTTTATCTCTTGTGCAAAATATATGACATTTATATTCAAATTATTTGCTGTCTTGCAAGGATTCACGCAATACAAATTATATTCTCCTAACTTTAGTCTGTGACATTATATAAGATAAAAACTTTACGCCTAAAACACCAAACCCTGGCTGGGAAGATGGGGGTGGGGGGGGAGAGGGAGGGAGGGAAGTGACAGTAACATGTTTGACAGTTGGCATGGAAGGTCTCGTGAAGTATTATTTGTTTATTTATGTCCTTTAGGGAGAATATTATTTACATTGCTATAATTCTTATAAGATATTGATTAATTTGAATATAAACATGCTATAGTTTGCACTAGACAAAAGTTTTAGTAATCATTTAGCACATTACAGTACAGTATTTTGAGTACATGTACAGTACAGCTTTACCCTTAGGACAGTGTAGCATGCCCCGAAAACATTAGGCGCAAAATTTTAAATATGATGCGCCAGATTGACTCGTGCAAACTAGGAAAGATTCACTTTAAATTAAAACATTGTCCTTAATTGTGGGTGTTGCTTTAAATCAATAATCTTAAATTGAATCGCTTTAAATCGACGTTCTACTGTATTCATAACAGCTATTTGGACTAATGACTGCATACAACACTATAAAATGGTTGTCTGTGATTGTTTTTACTAATTCCAGAGGTGGATCCACAAATTGCATTGGTGCAGGTACATGTGTTAAAACTTGTAGAATTTAGTCTAATTATATTGTATTTCATGGAGAAAATATATAAATATTGAGGACAGGGGAGTGAGATGGGGGTGGCAGGTGGCCCCCCCCAGAGGCAGGAGGGGAGGGTAACTGAGGTGTGGGGGACCAGTAAACCATACATAACACCCTGGGGCCTGGGTTATATTGGCAGTCACTGATGAACTACAAGGTCTAATTGACTAACCAATGAGAGTCCTTTTACAGTAAAATAGAGAATGTGAAGGAGGAACTTAAACATAAGAACTATGATGGGGGAGCTTTTACCCCCTGCATCTAAACTAAATTTGTGTAAAACGATCTTTTGGTTGGAAACCTGTGCAAAAATGCTTGTGATAAATATACTTTAAAGTAATACATCAAGTGAAATTTTTCATAATCTAAACTTCATCATTAAAACCTCGTTTTATCTTGCACACCAAAGGGGCAACAAACTCTGGCCCAGATATCGAGCCAAATATCTTAGTACAGTACAGTACAGAGGAATTGTAAGGAAGTCATTCTGATACTAATAGGATAATAATTTCTACTCAGTAAGAGGGCACTTGAGAAAACATGTAGCGTAGTATCTTTCAGTGTAAGAAATTGTTATCTTTTAAAATAACTTAGGGAACTAGTTTCATAAACGTACAAGAGTTAACAAGAAAAATTACTTATTCACAGTTTTGCCACAGCACAGAACTCGCCAAGACTTTCCATACAAAATTCAAACTTCTCTGATTCATGTGTTAGATACAAGAAACACAAGTGTTAGCAAAACCTTATAGCTATGACTATAATTACTCAATTCTTTTAAAACTACAGAAAGGAATCAAGTAACTTATATGAAAAAGGAATCTTTCACAAATATATATAAAAATAAAAATGTTAACAGCCTTTACTGAGAATGGCAAATCTTTCCATTCTCAATTTCTATTAATTCAAATCACTACTATTTTCTTAATATTTACATTCATAAAATAGTATCTGAACCTCCTAGGATTACAACCCAAATCAATATATTAAAATACAGGTATAAATTTATCATCCAAAGTTATGAAATCTAGCCTGTGCATGAGCTTGCGCATGAGCATTAGGACCTCGTGCATGTGCATGAGCAATAGCTAATGTGGTTCCTGGGCGGAGAGCAGAGACTGGGAAATGCTCAAAGAAACTTCCCAATGTTCTACTGGGTGTTCTGTCCTGATAGGTACTGGAAGCCATGTCTCCTCGTACAGGATTACTGAAAAAAATAATGTAAAAGGAAGCAAATTAAAAGCAGATACTGTACTGTACTGAGAAAAATACTAAATAATGTACTGTACTTCACAAAATAATACATGTACTACAGCTGTTGTTAGAAATAATGCACCAGATACTGTATTTGAAAAATCTTTAAATTATATTTACTGTACAGAGTACTAATACAAGATACAGTATGTATGTTTGTATTATATTGAAAGAATTATGCAAAACTCTTAAAATTGAACAACATGAACTTGTTTATATACTGTGCTGTATATATAACCAGAAGGACATTTGAAAGGAGTACCAGGTTAGGGTTTGCTTACTCAGGTGTTACCAACTTATCTACAGAATGGTACCTGAAAGATTAGTAAATGAAAAAGTATACTGTTATTCTCAAGTGGATGATAGAAGAAAGGGTTAATATTATTTTATCTATCTTAATCACCGCATCTCAAACAAGAGGCAATGTATTAAAAAAAGAAAATCCTGTAATGCAGTATAATACATTGGTGATCTGGAGGAACAGGTACAAAAATTAGTAATACTGTACAAGGTAAGCAGTTAAGTCTAATAATATAAAGGATAAATTTCCAAATAATAAATCACCTGTACCAACAAGTTGTTTCTATACTGGTCAAAATCAACACCTGCCATTCCACACAGCCCAGCCTTTATACATACCTATGCTGTACATGGTAAATAGTTATAAGTGCGTACAAATTTGTGGAAAAATTGTTAAATGTGGTTTGAAAATTTCTTATATGTAAACAAAAATATTTGAATGAAATTAACTAACACTAATAAACTTTTGTCAAAACCATTTTGAATTTGGTTAAAAAATAATACTGGTACTGTATGTAGAACAATCAAAAAATTTCCTTTATTCAGTAATGGTTTTCTGGTACAGGTACAGTATAACCTTAATATTGTGCTACTGTACGAGTATATAGAAAACATTCTCTTTCATCTGAAGAGCTCCAAAACTTTTAATATCAGCTAATGTGTTAATATCATCAACCATATGTCTCAAACATGATGTGTTAATAGGAAAATTTACCTCAAACTCACTGAAAATTTCGTCAGTCACAGGCCACCTCTCGTTGGTGGCCTTTAGGCAAATATGGTAAATAAACCTTCTTTAGCTGCCTTGTTTAAAATGGATGTTAAAACACAATCTCTTCAGTACTGCTTTAGCTGTGATTGGATAAGTATACAGTATATCACTACCACTGAGCTTGGAGAGGTTATTATCTGTACATTTGAAAGTTTAGCATTTTTAGAGTGACATATACCGGTAGACCCTCAAATCGGGAAACCTTGGGATCAAGACTGAACCATTTTTGAGGATTTTTCAGTTCCTAGATTAGATCATATTTTTTTCCCCTGTGGACATCCAAATGTTACTTCCGTACATCAAGTTTTGTTTACAGACACTCACATAAACCTAGTTCATGCTTGTTTTATTTTTTAATTGACAAATTAAGAAAATATCATTGTATGAATAATTTAATTAAAAACATACATTTAATACAGTCTGTTTAGAAGTTGAGAGCTTTCTAAAGTGAATTCAATAAGTCTGCTTATAACCCAGCAGCTTCAGATGATTTGAGAGAAGTAAAGAATTCATAATTATTGTCCGATTGGATAAATAGCCCAATACTTTCGTCATATTTTATTTATTTGTATAAGCAAAATACACTATCTGGACAATTAACCTGTCCTTAATGCACTTCATGTAATCTGGGTGATTTTCTTATAGATACCAATCAGTGATCTAGAAAATATTTTAAGATAGTTGTTCAAAATGCAACGAGACTCGGTCCGTAACTGAAAATTTGTTACTGTTAGAAGAAAAAGTGTGACAGGACAAGTTAGAGCCTGTCTTAGTTCAGTAGAGAATCCCTAGAAGGTGATAAAGACTTTTCATCATGGATTAACAGTGAACAATGGGTGCATATGAAATTTTGATGGAAGTTCTGAAACTCCAACACAAATTCATCATGTGATCCAACATACAGTATATAACAAGATAAGGCTACTAGTACGACATGTGCATGAGTTTTTAGGAGGGAAAAAATTGTGTAAGGTGCCATAAAAACCCATGAAAATTGCCGTTGCCATTCAGCGACCTTCAGATATGAAGACAGTACTGTACTCTGATTGATTGATTGATACAGCACCTTACATACAGTATATGGACGGTGGCCAATAGATGTATGTAATGGCAGGCGTCACTTTGGCACTATGCACAGGAAGCTTTCTAGGAAAGAATGGGTTAAAAGCAGTTGGTGTTTTGGTTCGTAATTATGTTATTAGGAAAGGTGAAAGACTTAAGAAAATCAATTTAGGATCATTCAAAAAATTTCTATGCTGTATAAACTACCCAGCAGCTTACAATTAGTTTCACAAAAGTCAATGTGAAGCAGCAGATATGCAAGCTATCAAAACTTCTTAATAAAGAATGAAACGGAGAGATCTTTGGCATTAAGTATTTGTACATTAATTAATCATTCCTAGGTCTCATGCTCTTCACTATCACAAAGGCAATTTTTGACTACTGCAACATGTCTATTTTTATTTTCAACATTCTCTGAATCTGTTGAAATGGAAAAGAGCGATTTTATTATTTTATTTACCAGTACATACACATTCCTTTTGACCACAGAGAAAATTATATATCCTTGTACAGTGATATCCCCATTAGCTAGAACAATTGGTGCAGAGCACTTCCAGGAATGAGAGATTTCCGGGTAACGAGACGACTCTCTCAAAGCCGGAAAAAATCCCTCATCCCAGGAATTTTCCGGTTAACGGAAAAATGTTCTCAGAAGTTCCAGAAATTGCCCATTTCATCATCTCTCGACCCCGGAAAAATATCCCTCAACCCCAGAATTTTCCGGGTAACGGAAAGTTTTTCTTGGAATTTCCAGAAAACGCACCTAACTTTTATCTCTCAAACCTGGAAAAAACCCCATTCCCGGAATTTTCCGGGTATCGGAAATTTTTTTTGGGAATTTTCCAGAAAATGTGCCCCTCGGAAAATTTCAATTCCGGCTATAGGAGAGTTCTGGGTTTGAGGGATTCCGGCTAATGGAGATATTACTGTAGTAGTTACTTCTTGGCAGTAACTAAACTATTATCATGACTAAAGATGAAACTGCTTCTCAGAATGGCAATATCACCAACCCCTGATTACGTAAGTCTTAATAAAGATATTATTTATTGATAGTGACCCTATGGTAATGAAGTTTGGCCCTGTCTATCTTTTAATATTTTACAAGGAGATGATGAAAAGAAATTAAACAGGGTATGTGATCACAAACATCAACAGTTAAATGCTTTAATCCTTATTTTTGTTAAAAATTTCCCTTGCATTTTAATTTCCCCTACTGCATTAATTTTATAGTTAGCAAAGTATGTTTTCCTATCATTTAACACCTTGCTAACATAAATTTAAATATTGTAGTACCATACACACTCTCACTGCTGACATGAGGAAATAGGTAATTTTGGCAATTTTCCTTATTTCTCTTTTTCATTTTTTCCTGCAGTTATAACTCATCAGGAGACACAGCACGCACAGAAAGTACTGTACATGGAGAAACAACAAAACTTTACTCAGAGTAGGGACAAAGCACCACATATAGAGTAGGGACAAAACACTATATACAGAGTAGGGACAAAACACCACATACAGAGTAGGGACAAAGCACCACATACAGAGTAGGGACAAAACACTATATACAGAGAAAGGACAAAACACCTTATACAGAGAAAGGACAAAGCACTATATACAGTATAAAGAAAGGATCAGACACTATATACAGTACAAAGAAAGGACCAGACACTATATACAGAGAAAGGACAAAACAATATCCAGTACAGAGAATGGACAAATACCATTATCAAAGTAACCTACCGTCCACGAAAATGTTTCCCGCGATTTCCATGCTTTCTTTCGTTGTGCAATCTATGTAAAAAATTCATTGTAGAGTAATTAAAGAAATTGAAGGGTGACAACAGCAATCACAGAATAGTTAATGGGACTTGAAAATTGAAAGAAACATCCAAAATACTACTATGAGGATTGTAAAATAAGTCTAATTTGATCAGATAAGCATCATCAAAAATAAATATTATTAGATACATAAGGAGTAGTTAATAGTTATCTAAAAAAAATTACAAATACTGTATACAAAAAATTAACAGATGCTGAAATCCCATTTTTATGGAAGAGTCTAAATCAAGGCAGCTCATGACTTGTGACCATGTGTCCTGAGATGTTAACTTAGGCATCATAGAGAGAGAGAAATTTAAAAATCAGTCACACTTCTTCATCATCAATGTTGTATAGGCATTTTCCACACTTGCATGGGTTAGCCATGATTTATCTGATAGCAGTGCTCCATGCTGTGCAGTCTCTTACTGTGTCTCATTTGTCAGGTTTTTAAATGACAAAATTTCTCTCCACCCATGAAATTCTTGGCTTACCCCTGGCTCTCCTCCCCTCCACATTTAGACTTGTGCACCTCTTAAGCCAACTGGTCTCCCGCATTCTCTCCACATCCCCAAACTATCTCAGCAGATAACAGATAAAAGCCAATAACATTCTATTTTGTAACCTGTATTAAAACTATAACCATGCTAGAAATGGTTAGAGATAGAACTGAAGTGCTTATTTAGCACCGTTAGCCTGGCTACTCTTGTGAGGTCCCTTAGGGCCATTCCGGGAGTTTTACTATGATGTAAACAAACACAGATCTGCCACATCTCACAAAATGTGCCATCCACTGTAACAGGTGGAGATATGGGCGACTATACATATTAAGTACCAGTAATATCTTTAATCTCTTTTGCATCAGTGATTTGGTGATCAGCTCAGGCTGGTTAGAAATAAGCATGAAAAGGAACCTTGGTAGACTTAATGAGTTGTCACAAAATAGGGGAGATAAGCATAAATAACTCTGTCTCACACAGAGATATACTCCAGTCCTCAGTACCAGAATAAAGGTGTATAAATATTTCAACTATTGCACACAAGTTCATATATAGTACTGCAGAATGTTGGGTAATGACCTAGCTTTTAATGTAAATATTGTACAGTACTCACTTCTTCACCTCAGTCACTCTGATGCTCTTTCTACTGTACTTTCTTTTTCTTCTGAACTATAACTACCTGTTAACTGCCTAGCCACAGATCAAAAAGCAATTGATATTTATGTGACCCTGAAGTCATACAGTAAGAATTTATTTAAATTGTACAGGCTACACAAACATTTAAATGACATGCCAGGTGTAGTACAGGTACTAATATAATAGGTCAAATTTAGATTTTAGTAGCACATTATTAAGATTTATTTGGCACATTTAGTTAAGAAGAATTTAAATATCTGAAAGAAAACCAAAGCTAAATAAAATACTTACCTGTGTGAAGAATGTTGATGTTGATTTTGTTGCACGGCCAACGGGGTAAAGACAGAGGGAGCGCGAGTTGGTCCCGGGTTCGGCTGTCGTACCCCCATCACCACACTGTTCACACCATTTACTACATGGAAAAACACTTAGTTTGAACACTAAAAAAAGTGAACAATGATCCTAAAATCCTATTTTGTACCAGAGTATGAATCAGTTTGATAAGCCAGGGCTCCCAGGACCCCTAACAATATGACTGAGGCTACATTTCAGAAATAATCTGAAAAATATTCAGTCTTTCTCAACAAACCTTAATTCCCAAAAAGTGTCTTTGCCACCTACTAACACGCATGCATTCTGTAATTCTAATTTGGCATTGGAGACAAAACAGACTTCAGTTCCAAATTACCTCTTTATTCCAAAGGGAGGAGGGAGAGACCAAAGTCACCCAATCCATGTTTGGTTGTAAAAGTGGGATTCATTCATGAATTCCATTTTCTAGCATGATTGTATCCAGGCAGCTCATATTACATTGCTTGTTGTGCAGAACTAGGTGGTTTGGTTGTTTGACCAGCACCCTTCTGTGGCAGTACATTGATTTATTAATATACTGTATTTTCAAAAAGACAGTAACCCAACACTCCATGTTACATCCACCATCTCAATTCAGGGAGATCAGGTGTGGAGGGTGCCCTTATAAGGAAGGGGATGGTTTAGAGCCAGAAGTCTGCCCTCTTAGGTTTCAGTTGAATCTACTGCTTTGAATTCAGTTCCAGCTGAGTAAGCATGAATCAGGAAGGAGGAGGATATCCAAGCCACCTGGCCACTGTATTGACAAAACTAGAAAATGGACTTTCAGGATTAATCCCCCACTCTTAGTGTGATTTCTCTAGTCAGGTGACTCTTGTTACCAAAAGCTCCAAGGATTAGACAGGCATGCATCCCTGGGAAAGCTGACCTTTCTATGCAATTTTTTAATCTCAGAAAGTCTTGATTTCATGACTCCATTACTACTGTATACCATTCTTCAATTTCATTCAGAAACCTACAGGGAAAAAGAACTGCCAGTATCTAGAGCCCTAATAATTACATTTAAGAATAATATGTTGCCATGGAGAAGAATCTGGTTAAAATGTCTCTAAGTAATGATCCAGGTACAGTATATACTGTGCCATGATGGGTAGCAAAATTTGAATTCACCAAAAATAGAAGAGAATCCACTAGGTCCACATTCCACAAATACAATGGTCTAGGTGGAATAATGCCAGAACAAGAACAAAAATTGACATGCAACCATAAAACCACTAAAACAGCAACTGTCATTCAACATGTACCAATCCAATGTACTTCCACAAAATGGATTTTTTTATCTTCTTTTTACAGAGATTAGCCCACCCAGGCACAGATCCATATCAGGGCCTGGGGGTGAAAATATACAACTAATACTACTAACAATAAAAGTAATAATACTAATTAATACAAAAATAAATAAATATAGAACCATAAATAAATACAAAATGAAAAAAAGTCAAGAGTAAGAAACGATATACTGTACAGTATGTATGTTGTGTTGTGTTGTGTTGTCAATAGTAAGAAAAACAATTGAGACCCTGCATTGTGTGTAAATGAGGCAGAAAGTCAGATCAGCAACCTGGGACTTGGTCACAATATTTGTGAGGCCATATGGCAGCAGGGTGGTACAGGTTGTACCTCTCTATTCCGGCAACCTCGGGACCTGACCGGTGCCGGACCATGGAAATTCACCCTTTTCCTGGATAGATAGTGACTTGTGCTTATGCTTGGAAGCACTAGCACCACTTTCTCTGCTTCATGGTCTCTTTGAAGACATATTGAAGGGTTAAATGTCGTACAGTAGCTTCTCAAATTTCGCGAGTTTTTAATTCAACGTTTTCTAGTTGAACACACAAAAAAAAAAATACATTTAAAAATTTTGACGGCGGAAATTCGAATTTCGACAGGTTTGAACGGCCCACCAACGTTCAGACGATGTGCACAATCGTGTAAACAGCGTCATTTCTCTTATGTACAAAAGATTCATTATTGTTTATTACTGAAAGTCTTTTTGATTGAATTAATGTTTGTGTGTGCAAAATGAGCAATACAATTCATTAATAATACGTAGAATATTAAAACACGAGGAAATGAAACAGCACTGTTTTCGTTGATTACAAAACCAGTGACTGACTGGTTCTACGTATAAAACTAAAGAAAATAAGACCCTGGTTGTAGCTGTAGTAAAATTAATATGGTTGTTTTAAGTAATGTTATTTAATGTTAATAAATGGAACAATAGAAGGAGCTAACGATAATGGTAAAGAAAAAAGAGAGATCGCGTATGTAAGTGCGCACACGTGAAAACATATCGTCATTACTTTACATAAGAATATGAAAGCAACACTTATTTACTGTTCATATATATTTTAATTAATGTTTCTGAATTTGTTTTTATTGAATTAATGTTTGTGTGTGCAAAATTAACAATACAATTTATTAATAATACGTGGAATATTAAAACACACGAGGAGACGAGACGGCTGCCGGCATTGTTTTTGTTAAAGCTTACAAAACCAGTGACTGATTGGTTCTACATATAAGACTGAAGAAAATAAGACCCTGATTGTAGCTGTAGCAAAATTAATGTAAAAAAAATTAATATGGTTGTTTGAAGTACCTGTAATGTTAATGTTAATAAATGGAAAAATATAAGTAGCTAACCATTAATGGTAAAAAAAAAAGTGAAACTGCACGTATGTAAGTGCGCACATGTGAAAACATATCGTCATTACTCTACATAAGAATATGAAAGCAACACTTATTTACTGTTCATATATATTGATGGTTAAATGTTGTACTCTGTATAGACAAGCAGAGAGAGAGAGAGAGAGAGAGCAGCCGAACTGCCGGATGTAAGCAAACCTTAATTTCCCGCGGCTTTGCTGTTTTTTTTTAAGGGGGCTAGCCCACCCGGGCATAGGTCACTGACCCACATTGGGGCCTGAGGGGCAAAAATTGAATACCCCTGTAATAATAATAATAATTCAGATAAGTGTAAAAAAAAAAAAGCTGCCTATCTACCTATTGGACAAACTAAAATCGTTCCGGACCACGGGAGTTTCCGGACCACAGAATGCCGGACTACAGAGGTACAACCTGTAGTACCTCCCTGTTTGATAGCTGCCAACTACTTTCTGCTAATAATAAAGATATATGACTACAGTATATACAATAATTTGAATAATAGACACCTAAATTACAAATACTTATGGAGTAGGCAGTATCCATAAATAAGGTGTGCTCTTTACCTTGAGTATTTGTAAGAGTATGTTCCCACTGGGCATGGCGAACATTGCCGTTGCTGCTCACTACGGTACATCCCTGGGGTACACGCCACTGTTGAAGTAAAAACATGGTTGCTTTACAACATAATTTTTACACAACAGAAACACACACATGGGTTACCTTCATTTATATCACTTCATAAGAACCAAATTCACATCTCTGCAATTTGCTTTTTATCAGCCAAATTTTGTTTAAACTGGGCCAAGGTTCATACACAAGTGACTGCGTCACTGCTCATTTCTTCCCTCTCCCACCTTATTTCTTCCAATTTAATACCCTTATGCTGAAAATCATACCATTTGTTTTACTAATACTCCACAGATTTACTGAAGAAAAGAATGATTACAACTTATGGGAGTTTACTATATTTACATATTAAAACCTTATCTTTTGCATAACATTATAATAAAAAATACAGTTCAGTAATGTCACTGCTATCAAAGACCACAACGTAAATACAGTACAGTATAACATGCTATATTTTGTCCAATACATTTGCATAGAACTAAACTAATACCATATACAGTATACTGTACTCAGGTATAATTCAAGTTTTTATTATCAAATTTTAATGCAAAAAGTAGAGGGTCGAATTATATACACATAATATTTTTGAGGGGTTAAAATTCAAGCATGGCTGCCTGTATGTCTGATACACCCTGTAGTTCACTTCTCTTGCGTTATGTGCGGTAGACGCTAGTGTTCTCCCTAGATTTATATACAGGTATACTTCGATAACCGACGCATAAGTGGACGTTAAACAAAGTCATTGGTTAGTGAAGCAACGGTTATTGAAGCAATTAATCCCATAAGAATATAACAAATTCGAAAGGTTAGGGATCTGCCACCTACCAAAAACTCCCATCTACTCTTGATATAATATATCAAGAGTAGATGATATTATCACTGTTGTGTACACTGTTAAGCAAGAAAATAAAACGAACATATAAACCACGCATAATAAGCATTAAATATGGAATGTAAGCATAAATTGAGACTGTTATTTATCTGTGTTGAGGATGGTAAAGACAGTCAAGTGAGGCAAGTTCATATCTACCAATCTTTGCTGGTCATTCACCACTATTATTAAGCCTTATTACATAAAGCGTAACAGTAACTCATAAACTTATGTGCCCTCTTAGGGGCAGCACAAGAAAACTATCACTGGGGCGTTTAGGCGTGACTTTGTAACACACGAAGTCGGAAATAGCGAAAAAACAGGAGCGGCCTGGCATAAAACCGTGTTGGCAATCCCTTACAAGGTTGTTTCGTAGTAGATGTTCCATCGCGGCATCTCTGATAATACTCAAAGTACTTTACATATTATGCTGGTCAGGATCACCTGTCTATAGTTGTTCATGGAGTGACGATAGCCCTTCTTGAAGATAGGACTCACATAAGTCACTTTCCAATCACTGGGGACCTTTTGTTCCTCCAGGCATTTACAAAACAGGATCTTCAGGGGCTCAGCAAGCTCGTTGCACAACTCTCTTAGCACTCTAGGATGCACCATGTCAGGGCCAGGACTCTTATAGACCTTTAGCTTTGACAGATTATTTCTAATACCCTCTTCTGTGAACACAATGTGGGTCATTGCTGTGTCGAACCATCTGTCCTCAAATGCAGGAAGGCTAATCGCATCCTCTCTTGTGAACACCGAGGAAAAGAAGCTGTTCAATGCCTCAGCTTGTACAGTAGATTTTTTACTGAGTGTACATATCTCATTTGCTACTTCTTTGATCACCTTGGTCTGTACTTTGTCCACTCCTGGACAAATGAAATGCTTTTATTTTTTTAAATTACTGAAGCTTTGGACAGTATACAGAAGAGAAATTAATTAAAAAAAAAGTCTCCTCTCCCCACAGTAACTAACCTGCCACCCTCTTAACGTGTCAAAATACTTTCTTCCATTTCACAGACATTAAGCAGCTCCCTTAAAAAATATGAATGAGAATACTCAGTACTCACAGCATACATGAGAATGGGTTTCCCTCCATTCAAACCCGGGCAAACAGCCATAACTTGGCTGGACTGGAATGGTGGCTGGGGAGAGAGATGTTGAAATGTTAATATCACAGATGCCTAAAGTTAACAAACATTTGTACAGTATTGCTTATTTACCACAAATCAATACAAAAAATGCCATTAATCTTACATGAATATGTTTCAATGCATATTCACTGTGCATCCCTCAATACACTATATGGTATTCATTTTTGTTTTGCTTCCCAGCGACTTATGCACATAAATACTGTAATGTTTTATATACCCTGTACAGCTGATGATAATAATAATAATATAAAATTCTCCAAGTTTTATGGAAATAAGACAAAGGAAAACCCAACAGCCTCACTTGAATGATACAGGCAAAAATAGAAACATTAATGGTTTGCCCCTTGTAGCTGCAGAGGACTGGTCTCAAAGCTACCTACACTATTTTTTATGCAGTAGAACCAGACCCACCACAAACACCACACTATCACTTAACAAACACCATTTTAAAACTCATCATCAAAAGAAAGCCCAGGAAAATCTACAGTACCCATTCATTAACCCTGAAACATTACACCTATTTGGCTGGCCTACTCCAGCATACAAAAAAGCCTGGCGAGTTAGTTATGCAAGGCATTTACATATGCAGGTACAAAGCAAGACGTCGCGTTCTGGATTGAACAAAAACAATGTTTTCTTAATCTTTTAAGTATAGTATAACTTCATCTATATGTATATATTTTATATTTAGTTTTGCATTTCAGCATTTTTAAACAGGTAACTCTTTTAAGTTTATATGCCATATGTATTACTGTATATCCTATGTAATAATAATACAGTAATAATAATAATAAAGTTAATGCTAAAGCTGCAACTAATGTACCAGTGTGAGCCAGTTTGATCACATCAGCTTGCCACCACTGAAGCAGTGTTATCTCTACAGTATATCACCAATGTACGTCCAGTGACATACACTGATAACAGCAGAGCAGTAAAAATAAGAACTGGTGCTGTATACTGGTGTGATATAGAGATAACAATGGTGGCAAGACTGGTGTGATCAAATTGGGTCACACTGGTACACTACTACTACTGTTACTACAGGTTGCACTTAAAAAAAATCTGAAATGCTTGGGACCAAGGCCATTTCAGATACTGTAACTGAATTTTTTAGTTAACAGTAGGTCATTAGAAAAATCCCTAATAAAGTATTTCACTAAGCACGAATTAATTACTATACTGTGTGTTAATTTTAAGCTACTGTAGTGTATAATATGTATAACTGATATTAAACTAAGCAACATAAAATATCAACTAAAGTTAATAATAATACAAAAACAAGTATACAGCACAGTTATTTATTTATGTACCTACAATTAAACATTTGTAAGTGTATGGCTGTGCATGCACAGTGAAGAAGGCTTTGTTTGTGTACCTCTGCAGACAGCTGAGTCTTGCTACAATGTCATCGCTAGGCAGCTCAGCGAACTAATAAGAGCATGAAGGGATTTTCGAAGTTTTTGGATAACTGATTTTTTTTATTTATTGAAGTGCAACCTGTACTATTACTACTACTACTGTATTGATAATACCTTGTGGAGTAAACAGCAAATAACGAAGAGCTTTTAAGAGCATGACATTACACTTTTGTTTCATAAATTTTCCCCATTTTCAGCTGTTTACCACATATATTTTAAAAATATCACTTTTTCTTTTAATACACAGTAGTATGAACTATGGGAAAGTTGAAGAGGAGTTCGTGACTTTGAAGGTTTTAAGAGGAAAGAACAACACACGAGAGGCTCATGTAAAATTGACCACACTTCCACTTGGTACAGTTGTTGCCAATCCCCTCCATCCCTCTTACCCCCATACCCTAACCCTCCTCAACCCCTGTATTCCACCATCCCCTGGACCCTCTCTCCCCCTCACTTGAGAGATTCAGAATTATGCTGTGATGCTCCTTGGGTGAACACATAATGGAGAGAGAGGATTGGCAACAATAACTGTACGAAGTGGAAGTGTAGGCAACTGTACAAGATTTTGTGTGGATGTGTGTTTAATAATATTTTACTTTCCTTGCAATCTTTTACATAATAAATTTAAAATAAACAACACTGAGAACACACTCTGAAAAAGAAAACTGGAAAGCGTAAGTAAAGAAAATGTGTGGTGGTGGAATGCTGACAGACATTTATGATGGTGAGCCCTACTGGGAAAAAGGGTATCTAAAATCCAATAAGTAAACAACCTGTTGACTAGTAAAGACTGTTCATGTTTAACTTAGCTTTAGTATATGAAGGCTGTAATAAGTTTCAGAGACAGTTAAAATTTCAGCAATGGATAGTTGTGGAGGGGTATGAAACAACCAAATTTTCTGTTAGTTAACATATTCACATATAAACAATTTTGTGTTTACAGGAACTCCTTACAGACACAACCTCATGTTTAAATGGGGGTCTACTAAAGGTGGATATACTGTATATCTCTTATTCGTGACTGGAAAATGACTAAAGAGAGAGACACTATTTCTATACAGTACGTATTTAGGATACAAAGACAAAATACAGTAAGGAAGTACCCTTTAAAAGATACTTACGTGTGCAGACTGGGAGTTCCGAGCTAGGGTACCATCGACCATTTGAAGTACCGCATATGTAAAGTGGAGAAGGGGGGTCCTTGATCATGATGTAGCCTGGTCGGCACTCAGGCCGACACATCTGACCCCACGCCAACTTAGTACACACCCACAGCCCGCCCACCAACAGCCCGGGCTCACTGCACCTCACACCTTCAACCATCAGGGCTGCTGTGTGTTTACAGCCCACCATGTTGGTTTAGATCATAGTTTAAAAATTGGTACCACATATTTCTGCAGCTAAGTATATAATGGCTAGCGAGAAAGAGGATTTTAACCTTTATAGATAAGTTATAACTACAGTACAGTACTGTACTTATAACTTGAGTAGTTTCAGCAATAACATAAAAGTGATTAGGAAAATCCTTCTATAAGAAACTATATTACAGATTTTATTAAAAAATCTTATTTTACATATTAAGATACAGTAATGTAAGTATAATGTGTCATTAAATGTAAATGTTGTTGCACGCGACATGTTAAATAGATAAGCTGGTTTAAGAACAATAGTGTCTCACTTCCTTCTACCTCCCTTACCTATCATGTTCCACTAGTTCATTTTCTCTTTACAACTGATATATCCTTGTGAAGAGAGTCAATGAAATCAAGCCCATCATCCTCTTATCTTTTCAACCCAAAATGAAATACATATCATAAAATCCTGTGCAAGTTTCCTTTAGTAGAACCTCTTGATTATTTGCCTCACGTTTATTCTCACAGCTTTTCATCAATCTACAGTTCATTAAATCTGAGGCATAGGACCACCTCTTATCAAATAACTAAATATGTATAATACAGTACACTTCTGCTTATTCATTCTCTGAGTATATGAAAATCTCAGACAACTTGCAAGATTTTTATTTGAAATTTCAAGTTTATACTACTAAATCACTTTAACAACATCACTCAAATCTGGATTCCAATTCTAAGATATTACCACTTCCATTAAAGAAATACTGTACTGTATATACAAATGTACAATAAAAAGATTCCAAACATTAACAAATTCCTCTGGCAGAACAACAGATAGTTGGCCACACCCTTTGTCTCACCATGGCTAAGGAGAGTGTGGTCCTTTTTTACCTATACTGTATAGTACTTCATACAGGTATCCCTCACCGTACAAATAGTTTAGGTTCCTGAAAACTATTCGCTAAGTGAATTTTCATATTGCGAATAAAAGAACATATGGGAAAAATGACAAGAAAATCCCAATATCATACAGCAAAAACATTAAACCGGTCCATAAACAGCAACATAAAACCCTCACTAATAATGAAAAGTACGAATGGCTCCCTGTCCAAGCCGCGAAAATGCCGGCAACTTTAAAACTACCCACAGACATTCTTGGGTACATCCAGGGTGTCATCCGCGAATAACCAAGAAGCGCGACGTAAAAATCTGCGAACTTGGGGGTCCCCCCTGTACTTGGTTCATGACAAAACCAGGTCCAGGTTCAAATATTACTAAGGAAATTACAACAGGATGAAGGAAGTGATATGGAGTATACACTGACCTGACTTACTAAGGAATAAGAACGCAGATGCTACGCTGAGTATCATAGCTAGTAAAGTTAACCATTCAATCGATAAATATATTCCTGAGAAAACAAAAAATACTCGTAAAAGTGGCAACTCGCCTCATTTAAAAGTGCTGCATGGCAGTTAAATCCTGGGCTGGTGCAGTATACTGCCAAACATACTCAGTCCCAATACTGTCACTAATTCCAGTCGCTCTTGCACCCACGCATATATATATATATATATATATATATATATATATATATATATATATATATATATATATATATATATATATATATATATATATATATATATATATATATATATATATATATATATATATATATATATATATATATATATATATATATATATATATATATATGGAAAACTTACTTACAGTGTTGATGAGCAGATCAGCACCAGGATTAAAGGTAAATGGAATTATTATATACACTAGTTTTGTAGTTACTACTGTACTTCATTGTACAGTACTTGTGTACTTGTTTTTCTTTCCGATGCTTCTTTTTAATTAATACAAATGTACTGTATTGTATCGTGTAGGTATAGCAATTGTTAATACTATATACAGTACATTATGTGAACTACGTTTTCAGTGATTACCTAAGGAAGGGTCACTTCCGGTTTATGGATAATTCTGCTTATGGATAGTCTTCAGGAACGGAACCCATCAGTAACCCAGGGAGTGTATGTATAGGAAGTCCAACTGATACTAGACAAAATGTTTGTTGAGGATTTCCTCTAAATGATGGAGTATAAGGAACATAAGAGTTAGAGGTGTGTGTTGAAGGAACTGCTCAGTCAGTAAACCTACGATTCATTCATATAAATTTTACGATTATTTGTCCTAAAATTTTGCTTGAACTACCACAGGGTGTGTAAAACTGCAAAAGATACAGTACCACTCTCACTACTTGCTCCTCATCAGGTACCCATTAGTGTCACTGAAAAGAAGAAGAAAAAAAAACACAAACAAGAACAAAATTAACTCAGAACAGACTAAACTAACAAATGACATTGGGACAAACACTACTATCTTAGTGAGTAAAAAGACAAAGGGTAAGGAATGCCTCCCTTAAAAAAAATCCATCACAAATACTGGAGAATAAGGCGCAACTTGTGAGGATTTAACTTCAGATCCAAGTTTACAACAAAGAGTTCAAGTCAAATGAACTGGCACACAAAATAATCTTGATGGCCTTTAGACTTTCATGCCTTTTTAAGCCCTACTGGATCATCGTTGAAGTTCACGACACCCATTGTTAACCACTGATTTGCTGGTGAGGAGCTGTTTTGCAGCTTTAGCACTGATCTGTTTAAGACAGTGTCCCTACCATAAAAAGCATCAGCCACCTGAACAAGAGACTTTGCCAGAGTGTGATCTGAATAAAGGAATCTCACAGGTCACTTAATTTATGATCCATTGGCCATAAAATGGTATTTGTAAGAAAATGATACAAAAGTATTTCACCGATATATTTAAATTCTGTACAGTATTTGTAAATTTAGTTATCAGCGCAAAATTAGGTTTCTGTACAACTGGTTTGCAGGTTAATGGTAAATTTATTGGTCAGTACAGTACTGCAAGAGGTATTTTACTGCACTGACAGGTAATGAGATGCAGGTATGAGAGGTAGGAAAGGAAATCTGTGTCTATGTTAAAAATGTACATACAATTTACAGTATTTTAAAATCTTTTGGATGCTAAGCAGGACAGAGTCTAGACAACTGAGTGGTCCATGTCAGTGATCTTTGTAAACTACAATAATGGTCAAAATTACTGTTGAAATTTTTAAAACAAAGAAACATACTGTATACTATATATAGTACAATATACAATCTATTAAAAATGGTATCCTATTTAAGCCACAAACTCCAAAAGAACAAGATACATTATATTAATGAAAAATAGAACAATAAATGAAGGAAAAGTACACAAAACTTTTTAAGGAAGAATAATTTGGGGAGCATAAAGTACAGTGTGTGAAGGCATGAAAAGGTTGTACAATAGAGTAATTGTTAACAATGGTAAATAAAAGAGGTAATGGGAGTGGGCAAACCAAGTGGATGAGAGATTCCCTAAATGGATCGGTTAGTCAGTCAGTCAATCAGTCACAAAAGGGGTTCACTAAAACTGTAAATAACAAAAGAAACAGACATAGCTATCAGATGACACTACACCATGTCTATGACATTGATAAGAGAGGTGGAGGAAGGAGCATTTGAATGGGATGCACAATGTAAAAGAAGAGTTACTATATACTTTACTGTATACCATATGAATGTGAAATAAACTACAGTAAAGAAATTCTGTGAAGTAATTATAGTAAAGAAATAATTAAATACTGTACAAAAAGTATAAGAAAATAATAGAAAGGTCTCCTACATTGGAATATAGTAAAATGTGGAAGAATGTTAATGTTGCATTAAACTACATTTTCATCAAGAACTCAGCTAATTCATGTGGTGGTAGCTGCATAATGGTGCCATACTGGTCATGTAGGTGGCAGTTGGTGGTAGAGGTGGCAGTGAGCATTTGGGCAAAAGTGGGGTGCGGGCAATGGTCACAACACCCCACGGTTGAGCTGGTGGGCATGGGGCACAATGTGTGGCCTGGAGGCTGAGTCAGACTACACATGCAAGCATAAAATCTGGAGCAGGTTATCTTTTCCACTAAAGACGTAAATTATCATTCAGTCAGGCATATATGCAATTATTACTTGGTACAATAAAAATCTAATTAAAAAATGTTTATGTAAGCATCAAACTTATTACATATGAAATCTAATATGTCCAATAATAATTCGAATAAAATTAAAAACTACTATATTGAAAAACACCAAAAAATTTAATTTATTTTACACTAGCTTTTACAGTTACATAATTATAAGACTATAAAACCTAATTGGAAAGCTTAACCAAGACACCCCTACAACCTAATGTACTTACGTTGAACTGTGACGGTAAAAGAACACTTGGCCCGATTTCTGTAAGGATCCATAGCAACATAATGAACTGGATATGTCCCTGATGTCAGATGTCGACCTGGTTCCTGCACATGATAAATGATTTAAGATATTACCTTTTTATAATCTAGCTCAGAATTAGTAGAAAAACTGACTGACCTTTCAAATCTGTGTATAAAGAAGAGCAAGACTTAATTGATCTTATTTCGAAACCAAATACTTGTACAGTACATAATTTTGCTAACAAAGTTTTTTTGTTAAAAACATTTTTAGGTTAAATGTTTCTAGTTATAAAACCGAAGATTTCTTAACTTGTATGTTGCCACAAGATATTATAATTAAATGACACGCCAGCCCCGCAAAAATGTCTTGCAGAAATCAACTCAGAATGGTCAAAAACCTATGCAAAACAAACTGTCTACTTGCTGAGCTCTAGCAATCAAAATAAAGGAGCCTCTTGTGTGGCCTTGGTCCATCACCATAGGAATGGCTCACACTGAGTCTCTAGTACAGTACTACTCAATGCACTGTGCCACATCATGTACAGTTCTGTTCAGAAGTTCATGGTACACTGGTGGTTAACAGTGCATAGACTGTTGTACCCTTCCTGGACGACAGGTCACTGCGCCGAACCTCCTACCAACACACACAGTGGAACTGGCAATGGAGCAGTGTGATTCAAACGAATACTCATCAAAAGGAGATGGGAAGGATATTGATATGAATATCCTGCTGACAAGAGAAGAAAACTGTAGTGATAAGAGTATCCATTCGAATATCATAATACAATAGGGAAATTGGTTTCAAATGAACACCCTAAGAAATAGGTGAACAGAGCTCATATATCAAGAGTCTTCAATGTATTCAATACTTGAAGTTTTTTGTATAATACTCTAGCTATATATACAGTATGTGTGTGTGTGTATATGTGTGTGTGTGTGTGTTACGCTAAATAGTGATAATTGCCGATTAAGTGTTAAATAGCATGACTTCATTTGTATCACATCTTCAACACACACACTGAAACAGACGGACACAAGCGGGCTGTGTGTGTGTGTGTTTCACCGAGGTGTCGTTGTTATTTGCCGCTGATGAGAGTGATCAGAAGCTCCACCAAGCCAACAAGAATCGTAGAGACGAGAAGTTGGTGTTCAGATCCCGCATTATTACTCTCCGTGATAATGATCTCTCCATACGGGGTATCGCACATGAATTTGGCCTGTCCCCCACAGCTGTGATGCAGTGGATAAGAAGATGGGAGGAAAGCGATTTAGGTAAGTTATAACTGTCTCAGCAAAGGAGCGGACCATAGAAGCATTGATGAATGAAGGATAGAGAATGACAGACCTGCATCATATTCAATGTTTAGGTAAAGATTCAGAAAAGCTCGACCACGGAACTTCACATTAATATTTATACAGTATAGGTAGATAGAGGAATCCTAACTTAGGTTTATTAACAGCCAAATTCAGCATCACTATTTGTGGGTAGTTATGTATGGGTAAGGCTAAATTTTGACATTATTGAAATTGGTGATCTAACTGGAAATAATAATCACTGTTGTAACCTTCTTCTCATATTGAAACTATTGTGTAGATTATGTAGTAGAGTTATGGAAGCTGGCATATAATTTCTAACCATGTTCATATTTGAAATGTAAATTTACAATTTAGGTAACCTAGGGTGTCAAAATCATTCTGAATATATATATATATATATATATATATATATATATATATATATATATATATATATATATATATATATATATATATATATATATATATATATATATATATATATATATATATATATATACAGTATATATATATATATGAGAGAAAGAGAAAGATTATTATATGGAAAACATCAAGTAATGAATACATTGAAGACTCTTGATATATTTGATATACAGAGTATGAGCTCTGTTCAACTATTTCTTATAGTGTTCATTCGAAACTAATTTCCCTATTGTATTCCGATATTCGAATGGATACTCCTGTCACTATAGATTTCTGCTCTCGTAAACAAGACATTAACACATCTTCATCATCCATCAGCAGTAAAGTTGGCTGATATTCACATCAATATCCTTCCAATCTCTTTTTTTATGAGTATTCGTTCGGATCACACTGCTCCATTGCCAGTTCCACTGTGTGTGTTGATGGGAGGGTCGGCGTAGTGACCTGTCGTCCAGGAAGGGTACAACAGGCTATGCACCCTTCACCGCCAGTGTACCACGAACTTCTGAACGGAACTGTACCTTCTTTGTATTGTATATACTCTCAGCAACACTATAGGATCTATTTTTAGCCCACAACACATAATGGTAAATTGCAATTATCACAGCGACACTTGGTAGGTACATTATTATTGTATATCACAAAGTCTATGTAATTGATATTATTAAGATTTGGCAAGCAATGACACGTGTAGTCAGACAGTCAGTGATGTAAAGTACAGTATCTCGGAAAACTTTCTTCAGAACCCCGAAACATTCCCGGGTTGTGCAATAGTATCTGTCCATGCATGATATGTACAGTGTAGTTTAGACTCTTGGAAACTTTTCCCAGTACCCGGAAAAATTCCAGGGACGTGGAATTTTTCCGGGTTTGAGAGTGTCGTCTCATTACCAGATATCTTTCATCCCCAGAAGAGCTCTGCACCAATTATTCTGGCTAACAGAGATTCACATTCAAATGCACAGTGCTGAAAATGCAGTTGTGTTTCAGAACATCTTAGCAACTCTTTGTTGCCTGGTTCTTTGCAAATACTGTACATATGAAAGCAGTTTGTCACTGTTTTTTTTGTTTTACATGATATACAGTACATATACGTATACTATACAGGTATATCTTACTTATGTGATTATATTCCCACTACACATACACACAAACATGAACACACATACACACATACATGTATGCACATGCATACACACAGAAACACACACACACACATATATATATATATATATATATATATATATATATATATATATATATATATATATATATATATATATATATATATATATATATATATATATATATATATATATATATATATATATATACACTAGAATGCCTGCAGTTGCCTAGGTTACTATAGGTGGGCAAGGGGTGACTTAATAAAAGTTTATAAACACCTCAGATGACATTATTCAGAAAACTGTCAGGGCCAATTTTTTTGGAGGGTTGTGAACTCTTGGAAAAATCTGCCAGAGAGCATTTTGATGGCACCAAGTGTGAGCTCATTCAAGACCAGACTTGGTCAACATTTGTGCAGGTACAGATACATTCTGGAAACAGTACTTACCAATTGTGTGTAACAGAGACATGACCAACTGCCCAAGTAGCTAACAAGCCATTTAGTGGCAAAGAGGATAAAGTAAAGCAAAATAAAGTATTACTTCCATGGCTGAATTACACCATAACCCAAACTTAATCTCTTGTGTTAAAACCAGTGATCTGGTCGACACTGAGACCAAAACCACGAATGAGACCATTCATAATTTTGACAATGTCCTATGATTCATTAATGATATGATATTATTATTACCCAGTACCTCTATTATAATTTTGGTATGTATTTTATACAAACTGTGAGCAATGCTGTCACCTGTCTGTCATCATATAGAATTTATTAAATAAAATACAGCATTGTTGTCAATCTCCATCACTTACGGTGATTTAAAGTTCACATTTTATACTTGGAGTATAAAACAACCCATAGTTTGGGGCTAAATTTTTAAGCTGCAAAGTTCATCTTGTGTGCCAGTATGTACAGTAGGCTAATGGGGCCTTGAGTCTGGTGTGGGTAAGGTTCTCCCCTCCAAGTGGAGATGTGTAGTTGTGAAGGGATTAAGGTAATCCTTTAAAATACTCAGGCAACTTTATACTAACAATGTATATCTGTTTACAGTAATTACTAGAGCTTAGTGGGACCTTAAGAGAGGTACTGTACTGGCTTCTTGTTAGTTTGAAATCTGACAGGTAAATGAAAGTAAGAGTATGAACTTTCTTTTATGGCTAAAGAAAGTTTAAAAAAACAAGCATTAATAAATCAAAGATGACCCATTTGGTTCATAGTGTGTGAAGATCTGGAATCTAATGGGTGAGAAGTGTTACACATAGAAGGTTTTCATTGTCCAGCCTTTGCCATTAAACTATATGCTCTCTCTGAAGAGTGAAGAGAGGGTTGTTAGCAGTAGTGTTCTCACAAGTTACTCACTAAGACCCAGATGTAATAAAAAATATGTTTATTATACAAACCAATGATTTCCAGAGATGAGCAATTTCTACATTATCCTTAAAGACTGGCTCCTTCCATGAAACTTCTGTGCTCACTTCCCCTTCAGCTATATGAGCGGTGAATGATTTGGGGCAACCAAATACTTGTGGATCCTCCTTATCTATGGAAATGAAAGATTTATGAACCACACTCACTATCGAAACAGAATGCAGTCAGACAATGTATAGGTCATCAGAAACTATATTAATCTAAGTCATTCTAGAAACTGTTTACTCAGTAAAACTGTATGATCTTAAGGACAATATGAACTTGCTGAAAGAAAGGCATTTACTAGCATTACTAAACCAGTTAATAACAATGTAACTGACCTATAACTTCCACTGTGAAAGAGCACGTTGCAGACTCATCTGAGACTGGAGAACGTGCAACAAATGTCACTGTAGTCTTTCCCGAGGGCAAATCTTCCTCTAGTTCCTTTGCCCAGTCAGGAGTTGCATCTACATACCTAAATATGAACAGAATGTGATAAATTCCCTCAACATGTACTGAAGATATACAGTGTCTTTGTAAATTGAGGATTGATCCTGAAATCCTTTAGCTCTTTAAATAGGCCCCTAGTGTTTATCAGGGTTGCTCTTTTTTTTATTATCGAATTGATCACCCTTCCTTCACTCCTCCACAATCAGCCTAAAGTGAGGAGGCAAGTGCAAGAGTTCCTTTCTTCCATCCTGACTGTAGTTGGGGTGAAGACTGGAAGACAGATTGGAGCTAGTGTCTGACCAATGAGGGACCACTATGCTATATGTTGGCCCTTCCCTCTAAGAGTCAACAGAAAATTGGGTTTCCACACTGAAAACACATAAGTTTCAGCTTACTCGACATTAATTCAAAAGGAGGTGGGAAGGTATCTAAGTTGCCGGGCTACAAGCTCTACTCATAACAAAAAATTCAGGATCACTCTATTTCTGGCTTAATATCCTTTGTCGACCAGTTCTCATCATCTTGTGCCAACTAGAAATAGAAGGAAGAAGAGGTACTACAAAAGCTCATAGACAACAGGGTACACAACCATCCAAAGTGATGATGCATTGCCTATTCTTCCTCACTTGAGGCTGTCTGTGTAGGGTAAGAGGGGTGAAGATCACTTAGATAATAATTTGCATATCAGCCATGATAGACACTAGAAACCCAATCAAAAGGCCTAAGGGCCTCCTGATGAGTTACCTTATAGTATTACAAGAGTCATCTGATGAAGGGTATTATGCCAAAAAAAAGTAGTAGTTCATAATATAAAACAAAGCATAATAAAACAAAATGTTAAAATTTGGAAGCAAGGAAATACAGTATAAATAAATTTGTACAGTAATATGTAAAATCTACAGTACCATGATAAAAAAAACTGCTGATTATTAAATTCAGCCATCTTTCTTTGTGAGAAAACTCACTGGTGACCTCAAGAGAGATTCAACCATTCAAATAACCAGAGAAATTGTTATCTCACAAATAATGCCATTATTACGCATCTTATAATCAGCTGTTGTGTGTACTCTATGCCCTGGACCAGTAAAAAAAACAAAAACATGGAAAGTAATGTGCTCATAACAACAGAGCAATGCACATTTACATTTGTACTGGTTGATGGGTGGACAAAGTAATCACCACATTTTAGGGGAGCATAAAAACAATGCAAAGCAAACAAAGCCAAGCAAGTGTGTCAGCCATCATGCATAAATATGTAGAGCACAGTATCTCAAAAAAGTATCTGCCAGGATGGGAGGTCCAGTGAGTCCAAAATGCTACATGCATGGCTCTGTGGTATACTGATCCCACTACATTTGGTAACCGAACATCATAATAATTATGCCAAAATAAATACACATTGCATTATTTTTGTTAAACTATATACGGTATATCAAAGTACCGGTATATATCTATCTATCATCCATGGTCTCGTAATGTTTCACACACAGAACGGACAGATACTTTTTTGAGATATTGTACAACAAATAACTAATATTCATAAGCTAACTTAAATACACTACTTGCGGATTTTAGTTCAGTGAAGTACAGTATATTGAACAAATAAAAATAGGCAATATGTGCTGCAACCTCTGTACTGTGGTTCATAATTATTCATTTTATTAATTTTCTATGCTCTTAACTTTGACAGATTCATGTCCCAATTCAAAAATAAATGAATTGACAGAACACTGTCTTATGATAACAAGTCTGACCCAACCCTTTTCTAACATTTTAAAATTCAATACAGTACTGTACAGCAAGGTCCTGTTCAATGAACAACATGTGCACTTGAATTTTTTTTTATGTAAATTCTCACTAAATGGGACTGATTTTCCCATAGCATCCCAAGTTCTCATTTTATTAAATACTGTATGGACTAACTAGTGCTTGCAAAAACCTACTTTCCATACTTCTTACGCTGCTGAATGACAAATTTGATGTCTCCCTGCATCTGCCCCCACAAAACTCAAAGGAAGAATAATGGAGTTAATCAAAGTTCATAAGATATGGATGCAGATGCCCTAAATGGGAATGTATTGTGTTGCAAAGAAGCAGGGAAAGTCATTATGGATACAAATGATAACTGCCAGCCTGTAATCCAATAACATAATAGACCTATACATTTTTTTTTAAACTTTCAATCATGCCATTTTCCACACAGGGTGGCTGGAAACAAGATAAAATAAATCACAAAAAATTTCACTTCCTTTATTGTTAACCAACCATTCTTACTGCTGTTAAAGATGTATTCTGCTCTAGCACAACCGTTGCCAACGAGGCTCCAAATCTGGCTGATCCCTTCACGTACCACAAGCCACCATTCCCCATCAACAGCACATATAGTACCTAAAATCACTCCTCACATACATAAGAACCCCATCCTTCCATCTTCTTGTCTTACCATCTACCTATGAATCATACAGACTTTTTACTTATCTTTCATTTCACATTCACTCAAAATGTCCATACCACCTGACCAGATCCTGAACTGCTCCAATCTTAACATTTCTTTCACTTCCAGATCTTCTCCTTATTTCTGTATTTCCTTTACATCCTATTTATTCCATGTATTGCTCTAAAACACCTCATTTATCTCTCTTCTAGTTTGCTCCTTCCTCTAACATACAGTCAATGCATCACACCCACATAATAATGTTAACTCAACAATTCCTCTGTACATCCCTGTAATTTCTCAATCCATCTTTTATATTCTCTGCTGCTGCTACTCTGCGGTTCCATTCATACCATAGCATTTTCAGTCACATCCACTACCAATTATCTGAAACACTCTACTTTCTCTATTTTGTTTTACTTAATCATCTTCACCAACTGATCAACCTGTTAGTCGTTTCGGCAGTCGGTCACGTCTCTGTTATGCACAGTTTGCAGGTATTGGCTTCCAAATGTACTTGAACTTGTGCCAGTGTTGGTCAAGCCTGGTCCTGAATAAACTCATACACGGTGGGGTCACAGCATATTTCAGGTCCAGATGGGATGACAGTACTCCAAAGGGTGAAGCATCTCACTTTTGAAGAGCATTATGAGGGATGGACCATCTAAGTATGTGAACAAATTGTTTTATAAAACCCATTAGCTTAACGGGTATCTGCTTGATTTACCCTTTCACAATTGGTACAAGAACTTCAGTTCATTATAGGCATACACACCAGGTCCTTTTAAAATTTGGTCTCCGTTAATGATGCCTCTTCATCACAATGGGGCATGTGATACACCTCCTTACTATTGGTACTACATAAGTGCATTTGCATTTTGTGATGTGGTTTTATCATTGTTCAAGATAATTATTTTTCCCTGACCCTCCTCACTATTGCTTCTATTTCTATACCTTTGTTCACATTGACAAAATTTTTTTTCTTAAAACAGTACATACACAGATGTAAAGTTCTATTATTTAAAAAAACATATACAAAATGAAGAGAATTTACATACAATACCATCAAAATACACATACAGTATATGAAAATAAATAAAAGATTGGCATGTTCTATTTACATAATCTTTTACTTCTTTGGATGAGATGAAAAAATATACAGCACTATAATAATTAAATTTTATAGCAAACTAATGGTTATAACTGTCCAGTAATGATGATTGGTTATGAAATTTGTACAATGCTGTCACACATACAGTAAACCTTGTTATGTAGCACATGCTCTCACATGCCTGTGTCACATTTTCACTTTTATTTCCTAGTATTTGAGCTGTAACTGTAACATCATTATAATGGTCTCTAAAAGTGGACATAGAAAGAATTATGGCTCTGTTAAGGACTCAAAAAACAAACATCTATGGAGGTGGAGGAAGAAACCCCTTACTTCCACACAGACCACACTGGCAAGAGAACCAATTAGTGGCCTCGGCTGAATCACACCACCCAGTTTAGGTAGCCAACACTTTCTCCACACACTGTCTCACTTCACTTCATTCCAGGAGGGGAAAAATATTGGTAACAGGGTTAGTCTATAATCTACTCATATATTAATGGTGACCAGTATGTAGTAGTAGGTGTATTCGCCTTACAAGTGAGCAGCTCCAAATGGGCAAGACTTTATTAAGCCATTTACCTCTGTTTACCCAGCAATATTTGGGAACCTGGATGTTAAACTGATTGCATAACGGTTAGCCAGTGCAACTAACAAGTGTCTGGTCTTTAAAGGCTAATCCTTGACACTGGGTCATACATCTCATTAACTCAAGCAGTTGTTGTTTTATTGGCAACAGCTTCCACACCATAAAAAATGTCATATGTAGGTGGCCTTAGAGGCAGCCATCTTCATGCATGAGAAGCAATCATTGTAATCTATAAAACATGAAGATGAACTAGAGTAACATTTCAGTTTGTCTTCTGATATTCATGATACTGTACCTACAAAGTACAGTACACAGACTTTTCCTAGGGAAATTAAATCTCCTGTATGGTATTATGAACAGTATTCTGACCTTAACACCAGGCAACATATAGTAAAACAAAAGGTAATTATGGTTTAAAATGGTCTGTCTGGGTGTACTAAAATGGCAAATTCTGACTGCATGTAAAATCGTAGTTTAAGTTCTTAGTCTTGTGCAAAAGCCAATTATAAGAGGACCTGCTTATGTTCTCACACATCAGTGTTTAAATGACTGGTACAAGTTGGAACCCATTAATCCGGGACCCAATAGTCCAGCAGTTCGATGGTTCAAGACATCTGTCATAGCTCACTTCTATTGGCTATTGTCACTATTTTACCTTTAAATACTTATAATTTACCCTTAAATATGCCTCCTAAGAGACCAGAAAGCAGTGGAAGTGGTTGTAATGTGGCAAAATGTAAGCATGTGACATTAACTATTAGACAGTAATAGTACACTTTATGCATTATTTTGCATTTTTTTAACCTCGGCTTCGGTGGTTCAGAATTTTCGTTAATCCGGAACCGGTGTGGTCCCAAGCTTCCTGGATTAGCGAGGTCCAACCTGTACCAGTTCTAACACAATTCCTTCCTGACATTGTAGTCAGCCAATTAAAAATAAAAAATAAATTCTTGCTTCCCAAACTTATTCTTAGTTTGCAATGACGTCACAACTCCCATAATGTAACGGTCTATACCTACAAGATGGGGGATTTGGGAGTTGTGACGTCAATGCGAACTAAGAATGAGTGGATAGAACAGACACCCGATATGAGATTAGGAAAAAATGAAACTAAAATAACAATAAATTAAAACCTCCATCATAGTTAAAGAATGTTTGAGCTCGAGGCTAACCACAGAAATCATTTAGTCATGTAATCCCTGACAAAAATGTAAACAGACCCTACCAACTTGCTTTGTATAATATTTTTAACATTATATTCATGGTATTAGCCACTTATTTTTTGTTTCTACATTGTTAATATTATTTGGAATCAAATTAATAAAACGAATAGTCAATAAAGAAATCACAAAACAATATACAAATACTATATTCTTAGTTTGCATTGACGTCACAACTCCTATAATCCTTTGCGCGGTCCACCATCTTGTAGGTATAGACGTGTTGCATTATGGGAGTACAGTATGTGGCATCTTGTGAAAACTAAGAATAAAGATTAAAAAATTATCTTCTCTTGAGTACCCTGCCTAGAGTCCATCATGTTCCAATTCCTCCAGGAGACCTATCCTGTACTTTTGAGTTATTTATAAAACAAAAGTAGCAGCAAAGGTCAAATTCTTGCAGTGGAAATAAGCAGCAAGAAATTAAACCTCAGCAGTCACAGTGACCAACATAGTAGTGAACAAAGACAAAAGAAGTCCTTATGTCTCTTGCAGGTAAGTCACCTGTAGGTCACTTATGACCACCTACTGAGAAGAGAAAATCCCCCATTTATGAGCACTTTAATCTAATATTCTCCATGACACAAACACACATTACGAATAACTGTCCCCAAGCAACTCTATTCCACCAAGAGATGTTATATAGAGCAGTGGTCATCCAGTCCTCAGATGGTAGTACTCATTGGCCAAACACCAATACACAGTATTTGTGATATATTGTTGATTTTTTTATAAAATTATAGTTCAGACCCTTAATTTATTGGAGGACTCCTATTTAATAAGTGCAGCATTTCATGAATCAGATTTGATAAGTCTACATATTTCTATATGACCTGTATATTACTGTAGTGCTTTTAATCCATTTAATGTGATATGCATTTTAATTGCAGCATGACTGTACAGTACAGTACTTTAAAAATAATAATTGATATTCAATCAATTTGACCAAGGACAGCATCTGCTGCTATAAGGGCCAGGCAGTCACCCATCCAAGTACTAACTGACCCAAGGTTGCTTAACTTTGCTGATTGGACATGAAGTGGTGTTTCCAATGTGGATACCTATACCTGTACTGTACTAAATTTTAATAAAAAAATATGATTTAGTTTTACTTTCAGTTGTTTTATTTAAAAAATATATACAGTGGTCCCTCAGTTAACGAACGCCTCGGTTAACGAAATTTCGGTGAACGAACTGCCTCCCATAAGATTCTTAAATTCGGTTAACGAACAAAAATTCGGTTAACGGATTTCTTACGAACCGACCTCAACATGTTTTCACTTGCACTGGCCGGTCAACCAGCTTTAGTATTAGTCCGCCAATACATTAATCGGTTCTAGGGCTTAAATTCCTTACTATTTTAGTAAATATCAAGAAGTTTATACTATTCAATAATTTTAAAAGTTTAATATTCAATTTTTTAGTCATTTTAACAATTATTGAACATAATTGAAGGTAAAGAGACTAGTTTAATGCGCGGCATCCAGCCTCTTAACACAGCAAACAGGCGTTAGTCTCTCTCTGTTTTCACTGGAGGTAACATCTTGCTTGAGACTCTCTTCAACTAAACGCTTTTTTTCTGTGTTTCCAAGCAAATTATTGGTCATTTTGAAATATATTTTACATATTGACAATATATAATGCAGTGCAGTGTTGATTTAAAGAAAATAATCTTGAAATACACCAAGAGAACTAAAATTTTATGGGTGAAATGGTGCCATGGGGTGACTTCTCTTCCACCCCAATGCCTTCTCTTCTTCCTTCTCCTCCACCCCCATTCTAATTCCCATCATCATCATCATCATCATCCAGGAGCCTTCTACATACACACCTCAAAGTAAGTGAACTTTTCTACCATTTTTGTTGAATTTAGGCAATTTTCGGTGAGCTGGAACCAATTACCCAAAAACCCATTGAAACAATGGTTTCGGTTAACGAATTTTTCGGTTAACGAACAACCTGCTGGAACGGATTGTGTTCGTTAACCGAGGGACCACTGTATATTCCAGTTTTTATAGGTTTCATAAACTGTAAATATAATACTGTAGTGTACTGTACTGTAGTTTGAAAATTCTAATTACATATCTAGATTAACATTACAATATACAGGGTAGTTCAGTACTTTGGACTAAAATTTTTAGACTCTGGATGCAATATGGCCATAGTTGCTGAAGTCCCTTCTAAGTCCCAAATATAGAAACTAATCTTCACTCATCAATTGTTTTTTGGAAAATTCATAATATTAGGACATCTAAACCATTGTATAAATTTACTTATAAATAACTTGATGTGATAATAGCTATTACATGTAATTCACTATTTGCAGTTCATTATCCCTATGCATTTTAGTATATTATGTTGCAAGAAAAGGTTCACTTATTAGTAATATGAAGATACAGTTTGATTAATATTTGAATCTGAAACAGATATTTATACACCAGAGTCCATATAGTTTAGAAATAATGCACACGGACATGCTATTTGTTTAAAACAAGCAATGAAAGAAAAATGAAGAAATTACTAAAAGGCTCATTAAAAATAATTAAAATATTATAAATGCTGTAGTATAACGATTGAATCAAAGGAAGTCGAAGCTAGGAGACCGGGCAATAAATTTGGGAGAGGAGCAAAGGGGGATGAATGGTGCTTTACCTTGGTTCTGTGATGTCCTGGGCCTGCCCTCTCTTCTGCTCGACTCCTGAGACATATCTACAAGACCACCTCCATCAAAACTCCAGTGAGGAGGTGACCAACCCTAAGGTCCTTTGATCTCCCTATCACTATTTATTGCTAAACTTAATTGGTCAAATACAGGGACTGTAATTATAAGTATTAACAGGATTATGATATTTTTGTAAATCAAAGCACCTGTATAGACACAGTAATTATGAATACAGCAACACAGTATTCTTTAAACCTTTCAAGAAATAATTTAACTATGATAATCTTTAAAATTGTTTCTTTAAATGCATTATTACTTAAAAGTATTTTGGAAAAAACAAGAGACAGAAAACTCCATTTTGTGTGGAGTCCTTTCTATAATGATAAGAAAAAAGGACCTCTGGGCTGTCTGATTCCATGCAACCACTAACCAATTACAGAGACCTGGTATGCTCCATCAAAATCAATATTAATTTAATTCTCAATGATTTTTCAACTGAAGTAAGATTAACACTGTCAACAGATCCATGAAAAACTGGTATCCTGAATGCTGTGAATACCAGATATAAATTAGTATCTTACTATTTAGTAAGGTCACTCTTTATTTGTATGTGATAGAAGATATATGATACTGTAGTACAGTAATTTTTCATGAAATAAATATATGTCATATCATACTAGGTTCTATAAATACAGTACAAAAAACTAAGTTGGAAATTTTCAAGCTAACTAGCAACTATACAAGCTAACTAGAAACTATAGAGACACTATACACAAACTACACATAAAGCACATACTGTATGTACAGTATACTAAATGATGATATTAGCTTGTAACATTCCAAAACTATACAGATCATAAGGTGCATCATCTAATCTACTGGTGCAAATATTAATAAAGTGTGTAATGGTATCATGTGATATACAAGAACATATGACAGGTGGTAATGAAAAATAAGGATTGATTCAGAAATCCTATCTTCGAGCATGGCTCTTAGCAAAGTGGCTTTTGTTATTGCATGAGCCATATTTTAAGGTGCAGTCTATAGCCTTCCCCCCATGCCAGCTGTTAAGGGATCTTTAGCTGTACATCCCTCCCGCGCACCCAATGCCTTCAAATGAGAGATTACCGGTACATGCAAAGGTTGTCCTGTTGAGGCAGCAGTTCTAATCTAGTCAGTAAACAGACCTTGACAACAACACGTTATCATCTTGATTTCAAGACATTTGTCCTTTTGCTTTAATTTCCAGCTGATTAACCATGAACCCACGGGAGGAGAGATGGAATCTGAGTCACCTGGCCATAGGCTCTGCCAGAAATAAGATTTCGGGGTCAATCCCCAATTTCTGGCAAGATGCCCTCTGCCAGGTGACTGTTACTGAAGGACATCTACAATAGTTTGAGGGCATATACTATACAGTATATGGTTCACTAACTAAACATACATGCACTCATGGAATTAAACCAACTACCAAAGGAATGGGAAGAATATGGAAAGAATGTTGATTCTATAAATCTCCCTCACAGTTACAGTACAGTCCTTCAGTGTAAGACCAAGTAAAAGAAACTGGTTCTCAAACACCACATGTTCAATAAACCTGCTGCTGGATAAATTTTATTGCCCCCAAGAAAACTAAATTAAATTCATATTTATAGAGCACGGAGTAGACTTAAGAGACTCAACATTTTTAATATTTTTTTTATTAATTGTGAAAGGATTTTTCCCATTATTATTTATTTGTATGCATTTTGTGTGTGTGTGTGTGTGTGTCTACACACAAACACATATAAAAAGTACAGGTAAAAGAAATAATTGTCCTGAGGGCAAACATAAAGGGAATATACATTTCTTTGTACACAAATAAAACTGTAACCCCCCCCCCACCCTGTCAGCAAATGTCATTTGCGGATTTGGCGATTCGCAGCCGTTTTGAGAACCTAGGCCCCGCGAATTTAAAGGGCATGCTGTACGCGTAATATTATTTTTTATACATGACACTTTACCAGTACAGAGGTACAGTATTACAGTATTATATGTGCTAAGCAAATGAAATTTGTTCCTTGGCAATGCTTACATGTTAAACACGAAATAACAGTAGAACATCAATTGGGAAAAAATGAGTAGTTCAAAGCATAATGGCACTGTCAAGCCGCATTAGAAGGTGTGACTGCCAACCTACCAAGTGCGGTCATTCCACACTCAAACGTAAGTTTATTACTGTTCTTATAAAATATGTAATGATATACAGCTAGACCCCGACTTACGACTGCTTCGACTTACGACCGTCGGGACTTACGACCGCCGCAGTTGTGACCATTTTTTTTTTTCATTTTTTTTTTCAAATGACACACGCATTTTCTATACCGAAACGTTTCCAGTTAATGTAGTCTCCATGTATAATTAGAAAATTATGGGGGTCCCATGTGCATTCAGCTGACTACATTAAAGGTAAGTGCTCAGTCACACTGTATCTATTCCTTATTATTTATTACTTTCACTGTACTGTATCCATTCCTCATTATTTATTACTTTTACTGTACTGTATTTCATTGTAGATTTTTTATTTAATTTTTTTTATCTATGTTGGACTTACGACCATTCGGACTTACGACCTGGATTTGGGTCCCTAACCCCGTCGTAAGTCGGGGTCTAGCTGTACTGTATGTACATCAGAATAATGCTTACACCATAACATTCCTAAAGCATTTATCTACACATTTCAATGAACAATGGTAATGAGAAAGACAATATCAATACAAAATGATTTTAAGATAGACTGTACAGTTTAGTACAGTGACCCCTCGTTTAACGAACGCCTCGGTTAACGAACTGCCTTCCATAAGGATCTTCAATTCGGTTAACGAACAAAAATTCGGTTAACGAATTTCTTACGAACCGACCTCAACATGTTTTCGCTTGCACTGACCGGGCAACCAGCTTTAGTATCAGTCTGCCAATACATTAATCGGTTCTAGGGCTTAAATTCCTTACTATTTTAGTAATTATCAATTAGTTTATACTATTCAATAATTTTAGAAGTTTAATATTCAATTTTTTAGTCATTTTAACAATTATTGAACATAATTGAAGGTAAAGTGACTAGTTTAATGCGCAGCATCCAGCCTCTTAACACAGCAAACAGGCGTTAGTCTCTCTCTGTATTCACTGGAGGTCACATCTTGCTTGAGACTCTCTTCAACTAAACGCTTTTTTTCTGTGATTCCAAGCAAATTATTGGTCATTTTGAAATATATTTTACATATTGACAATATATAATGCAGTGCAGTGTTGATTTAAAGAAAATAATCTTGAATTACACCAAGAGAACTAAAATCTTATGGGTGAAATGGCACCATGGGGTGACTTCTCTTCCACCCCAATGCCTTCTCTTCTTCCTTCTCCTCCACCCCCATTCTAAATCCCATCATCATCATCATCATCCAGGAGCCTTCTACATACACACCTCAAAGTAAGTGAACTTTTCTACCATTTTTGTTGAATTTAGGAAATTTTCGGTGAGCTGGAACCAATTACCCAAAAACCCATTGAAACAATGGTTTCGGTTAACATATTAAGTAATTATTAGATGTTTTAATTGCCTGTATGTTGGCCTGGCAAGTTCATGCTAGGCATTAACATACCTAGGTATAAGCTAGACGTCGCATTCTGGATTGAACAAAAATATCAATGAATAAAAAATTTTCTCAAGCAGCACTGTATTTAGGTCAGATATGGAAAAATAAAATTAAAATAAAGTTACTGCACTTGAATTTGCTTTAATAACACTAAAACTTATAAGCTGACAGGAATTAATCTGCTCCTTTAGATAAATTGATAAAACAAGAAACAATCAAATCACTTCATTGCTAAATTTGCCTTATTTCAAAATAAGTTCTTATTAATTTTCAAGTCACAGTTGGTATTTTTAGTCACTGATTTGTTACTATAAAGGCTGAAGAGGAGCTACAAATGTATGTACAGAACAATAGTAAAATGAAAACATAAATTTTTAACATTAATGACACTTTACTGGAAAAAAATGCTGAATTAAATCATGTTTTAAATCAGTGTTGTAAATAATTTTATTTAAATCATGCCAACTCTGTAAACTATATATACATAAATACACATATGACATGTAGATTTATGGTGCTACTCTAAGTACTGACCTGAACCAGTCAACGTTGGCTTTGGGTTGAGGGAGCCTGACATGGGCAAAGCTCTGGTGAGGGGAAAGATCCACTGTCACATCACTTGGACACTGAATAAATGGCTTCAGTGTATCTAAGAAAAGAATTGAAGACAAAAATATATATATATATATATATATATATAACTGATTAAAACTGAATTGTCATTCTGTGCAATACTGTAAAAAAAAAATTCTAGTACAGTACTGCATTCCCTTTCAAGGTTGAGGCTTTAACTACAGTATTCAACTCATGCATTACAGCTATGGGTTCTGCGCTTAATCCTGAGACATTGCAAAGTGCACTTCCTCACCACAACCATGTCATGAAATAGATCTTTAGAAGCATTATATCCCAATATGAATTAGGATGCAACAAGTCAGGAGTGTTATATCAACAGACACACAACTCGACCTCCATTTAGCTCAGCCATTGTGGGATTTCATGTGTCAAAACCATTCAGTTCCAGCTCACTTCCACACTATCCAATGGGAGGAGAAAGGGTCTCTAAATTGCCTAGTTCTAGTCTCAGCCATCATTGGAACATATACATCCTTCATTTAGTATGGTTAATGTGTTCCTGAAAAACACGTGCTAAATTATACTGAGCTAAAAAACAGATTAATGTACAGTATTTAATAAGGGGGATGTGTTCTTGACTGGAATCTTTTTGGACATACACTTTAAAAAGACGTTTTACAATATTAATCAGATACTCAAACTTTCATAAAGCAATATCAATCACCTCTAAATTAACAGCCTTTCTCTTAGTAACAAGAAGACATGATTTTTTATTCACTTGGGAGAAAAACTGTTGCCTTAAAACAAGAAAAATATCATAATCAATGAAAATTAATTTATTACTGTATAACAGTACATAGATGGTAAAACCACATTCACTTCCCAAATACCACTTTCAAATTGAATTGAAAATCAGAGAATATTAACATTTACTTTTATCCTCTTCACCGCTTGAGCGGTCGGTCACATCTTGGTTATGCACTGTTGGCAAGTACTGAGCATGTAATGGTTCCTGAATGTATCTGTACCTGTGGCAGTGTTGGTCAAGTCTGTCACAACACTCTCTGGCAGATTGTTCCAAGAGTTTACAATTCTCACTCCAAAAATGTTTGCCCTCACAGTTTTCTGGACTTGTGGCTTCTTCAACCTTGAGCTGTGACCCCTTGTGGGGCAAACACCTGCCAGCTCCAGGTATGGACACTCGACTGAGAAGTACCCTCTGAGATGTTTATACACTACAATTAGGTCACCCCTTGCCCATCTATAGTATAAACTAGACAGTTGCAGGCATTCTAATCTCTCTGGATAACTGAGAAGCCGAAGCGTAGGCACCAGTCTGCCAGTCTGGTGGCCCTCAGGGACCAGACGAGGAAGCATGTCACTCTTACATTGAGTTTTGAGGAACAGACTGTCTAAGATATCTGAACGACCTTCTTTTAAGATCTACTAGTTTAGTTGCTTGATTCACCTTCTTCTCACAATGGCACAAGAACTTCAGTTCATTGTCAACACACACCCCGATCCTTTTCACATTCAGTCCTTATTAATGCGGTTTCTTCATCCTGTTGGGACATGTGGTATGCCTCCTTACTGTTGGTACAATCTAGGTGCATCCTCTCACACTTCGTGACATTAAATCTTAACAGCCATTTCTTTGACCACTCTTGAAGCTGACACAGATCCTTCTGTAGTTCTTCACAGTCTGTTTGGCTCTTAGTTTCCCTGAATAATTTGGCATCGTCCACAAACATTTGCATGGAGGAGTGTATAGCTTCTGGCATGTCATTTATGAAACAAACAAACAATTATGTGACCAGTATAATGCCCTGTGGTACGCCTATTGTCACGGGAACACAAGACAATTTCGTGCCATTAATCACCACAAACCGCTTGTGGTCATGACGTAAGTCTCCGATCCACGCTAGGACACTTCCCCGAATCCCGTACCATTTCAGTTGAATTCTCAACCTTTCATGGAGTACACTGTCAAAAGCCTTTGCAAAATCCAGACATATATTATCAATATTGCCACCCTGTAATATCCAGATTTAATTATTTTGTATAACATTAAGGTAAATCTTATTATAAAATTAACCTCTATACTGTATTGCGTGAGCTGAATTCTATATTTTGACATTAAAAAATCAATAAATATAAAAAAACAGCCTCTTAAAATACTGCACTTTAAGAAGTTAGTACTTCTTTCGTTGGTTGACTAGAAATACTATACAGAATGAATATCTTCACAATAAATGATGAGCAAGGCTCAGGACACCAACACTATATGCTCGCTTGAACTCTGTTAAGTAATGACAAGTCAATTTCAGTGAACAAAACCACACCTACTTCCCATATACCACTTTTGAATTTACTAAAAAATCAGAGAATGTTTTATACCACATTATTCATTGTTCTATATTACATTAAGATAAATTTTACCTATCAACTGGATCAAAGCACAATTTAACTATAGTGGGGTGGGTTACAATTATTTGGTGTTTATAGTAATCACTTCACACTACCTTCTCAACTGAAACAAATTTTCAATCCTACTGTAAATTTAATGCACTGTTAAATTACAATATTTGCACTGATCTCTCAATGTTACTTACAATTAGGAAAATTTTACATTCTTTTCATTCATAATTCAAATTAGTACTTACCTTTTTCACAGTATGGGCTGGGAGCTTCTGGTGACCATGAGCCGCTGGGCTGACAAGTACGAACAGGGTTGCCGACCACACGATAACCAGTTGAGCATGATAGGTAACAGTGTTGGCCCACGCCTGATGTGCGTCGAATACATCTCTTTGGTGACACCCTACCATGTTCAACCTCTGCTAACATTGAGCACTTCACCGCTACACCGCACACAAAAGAACAAAAGAAAATGGAGGATTGATCCTGAGTTCTTATTTTCTATTTGAGTCCTTAACCAAGGTGCCCCTGAGAAGTCCCAATCTGTTTTGGAAGGTCATATACAGTAGACAACCCTGGTTTATCTATTTCCCTTTACAAATATAAGCTATGTACAGTTACATGCATTTTATTACATTAGTAATGGATAATTTTAAAATAAATTTGTAAATAAATTATGTTCTAAAAATAATACATGGTTTAAAATACAATACAGGTGTCCCTCGCTATATGAACGTTTGAGATACAAAAATTCACTTTTACAAACGTCCTAAATTACCACCTCTTTCTCATATTACAAATGCTTTCCCCACTTATACAAATTTGGGTCTTAGCAAAATTTCAATTTGCACGCTCTCAGGAGTTGGTTGGGATGGCCACACCCTTCTCAAACCCTCTACCTACCAGGCTGAGGTGTGAGTTATGTTAGTTATTTTTCAACTCGTAATTTTGGGTACATAAACATAACTTCATATTTTTTTATTCATTTACATTCAAACACAATCCTACAAAAATAATGTGCAAAAAAAGTAAAATAAACAAATATCATCAGGTCAAAAAAATAGAGGGAAGAAATATTTCTTTGTGTGTGAGAACAGAAGGGGGGATCGTTGCTAAGGGTCGGCAGTGGCAGCTTCCCCAGCCAGGCTGGTTGCTATGACAAGGCTTGAGGTCACGTGGCTGCGTTTTATGCAAATGGCAGTTGTGTTAAACTTTCAATTAGATTTTCGTTAATGGTTTTAGTTGCAGATCTTCATCTAGATAGTATTCTATTTGTGTTTTTAATGTGTTTGGAAATAAATGACAGTAGTTGTGTACTCTTTATTATTAGTTAGGTTTTTTGTTGTTCGTGAACTGATTTCCCTGTTTTGGGGATATGATATTGTGGTTTTCTTGTCATTAGAAACTGAGCCCTATTTTTCCCCTATGTTCCCTTATTTGCTATATGAAAATTCACTTAATGAATGATTTTTCAGCAACCTAACCCATTCGTAGAGCGAGGAATACCTGTATTTGTAGACATCTCCTATTTCATATCAAAAGACCATTTCAATATTTATCGAGAAACCCGTAAACTATGGATGACATAGGCTGCACTGTTAGCCACCAAGAGAGTGAGATTTGCCCAACTGGATATAATGTTCAAGGGAGGTTGCAAAGCCACGAAAATACTTGCAAAAATAAAGGGTAAAATACAAATTTACCTAAAAAGCAGCACAATGTATTTAGAATTACCTATCCTAAGACAAAGAAGCCTGAAATGCATTAAAGAAGCCAACACTTATCTCTGAATAAGCAGAGACCAGTTGTTCTTTCAATGAGATAGTAGCTAAAAAGGTGGTGGCTGTTTGGTCTGTTTATGGCAGAGTTGAAATATAACAGATCCCACATATGCTGCGCAATGTCCGAGTTCCTAACTCCCAGAACTACAGTTTCTTTCATAGCCATTCCTAAGAGATGGAGTTGCTTGTGGAATAGAGCTCCCAATAGGTCAGGGTATCCAAGGGTAATAAACACTAAGTTTTAAGCAGACATATTCATGAAGATTATTTTAGGCAGGATTAGGATACAAATAAAATTAAAAAAAAATGATTTAAAATTAAAACTAGCCAATGAATTAACAATAAAATCAAGTATTGGTAATTGATAGTACACAAATCAAAACCACGTAAGTATCAAATACAAAGGATTAGTGAAAAATAATTTTTAGCTGCAGACTTACCCTGACATGTAACAGGATTAGTGGACCATGCACCAGTATGAAGACAAGTTGTATTGGCATTGCCATGGAGAGCTGCACCCTTGGAGCAGGTGAAGGTGCATGTGGTGCCCATAGGATATGCCCCTCCCACCAAGTTCCTTGAGCACATCATATCACCATGTAATGGTGCAACTATTACTGGGCAAAACACTGGTTTGTCTGTGGAAATTGTCAACCCAAATTAAGTCTTCTAGAATTAGGACTACCATAAATGTATATTAAATAAAAAAGGGTACCTTCAGTGGTAATAACTAACAATACTGTATACTGTGTAAGCAATGTACCTTCTACTGTGTACAGGCAGTCCCCAATTTGTGAAGATCCGGTGTATGAAAACATACATTGTTTTAGTTAATGAGGCTCACAGGATCACTATTAGACTGTAGGAACTATGATGTGTTTATTATCCCAGAGTTTGATCTGATGTCCAAGGAAAGAATAAATGTTAAATGGATAAGTTTAGCATTTCTTCTTCATATAAAAACTCATCAAATATCAAATCCTGTGGAAAAAAAACATATCCAAATGTATATACTGTACTGTACTACATACAGTGCAGTAGACTTACTGTTGGTGGTCACTACCATATTAAAACCATATGTCTTGGCTGGGCCTCATTGTCTCACACTGCATCACAACCAGTGGCAGTTTCTCAGTGACTTACATGTCCTCCACTACTAGCACTTAATTTTTAAGTTTATCATTGACTTACAATCATTAAAACAAAATTTTTGATAACATATTTTCTAGCAATTTAAGATGTTTTGGAGAAGGATTTATTTATAGGAACGTATCTCACTTTTTTATATTGGGAGACTATGGGAAAAAGTGTTCCAATTTATGAAAAATCAATTAAAAAGGGTTATCCTAAATTCCTGCAGCTTTGTTTACAGTGGCATGAACACCTTCTCAAGCATCAGCTAACATTCAACTCATTACCACTAGTGTGTAGGCACCATTCTCCACACCTCCAAACATTTCTTTAAATACAAATTCCACACCTTCACTTACAAGTCTACAACTTTATTGTACATTAATATCATTTGAAAATTAAGAGCACAAAATACTGTAATATTCTTTTACTTAATTTTTACATATTATGTGGGAGTAAATGAGGAGAAATTGAACAATCAAGCAACTGGCTCAGTGACTGTGTGTGTGGTAGTGGGAGTGATGAGTCACTTGTCTTCATGTGAGTTTGAAGAGTAAGTTATTTATTGATTTTAAGAGAATGGTGATACATTTAAAGCTTAATGAACAGTAATACCCTGATTTACACGATTCTACATTTACGCGGTACCTCGCCAGAACCGGAATTTCATTTTACGCGGTGCATCTACTCATATACGCGGGAAGCGACGCAGGTAGGATGCGCACAAGGTCGCCCAGTCATCAAAACATTACCGAGTTCTTCACCCACCACCCACCACAGCCGGCCCAAGTCAGTGATAGTGAGGATATCGACTTATATGGACTTTGAGGGGTTTGACAAAGAGGCCCTGCAAGCCTCTGTGGTGGATAGTGATACAATTGATACAAGTGATACATATGAGGGCCAATAATCTGCCCCCTGCCTACTAATGTAAGTGTTAAAAAACCTAATACAGTATTTTCAATATTATTAAACAAAAAAGTTTCATAACTTTGGAGTTTTTGTTTGTAAATTAATGTGTGGGACATCTTTCCTTTCTTTTTTTTTCTTTTTGGTAACTACAAGTTTTTGTAAATCAAGGTCAGTCTGTTCAGTATTCCACTTACCTGGTATACCCAATAATTATTTGAAATTTATCATTATTTGTAAATTTTTTCTAAATAGTAAATTTCCTTCATTAATTTTTAAACCTTGTCAATTTATAAGAATTTAGATACTGCATTTTAAATACAAGGGGAATGCAGAGGCTTTAAGAACATTGCTCAGGCATGCAGTAATGGAGCAAAGTGGCCCATACAATTAGCCATGTATAGAATTGATAGACCACTATGATACAAGGTGTTAACAAGAGAGGCTGACCAAACTTTTTTGAAAAGATAGCTGGTTAAAAATTTTAAAATGTGTTTATTGTAAAATTCCACAATTCTTGAAGGGATAAAAAAAAAGACCTCTACTGTATTATTAACTCACGGTCACAAGAGTGTTGATCATCATTAAGGACATAGTCTTTTGAACAGCTGCAGTAGTAAGACCCAACAGTGTTGAAACAGTCCTGGGCACAGCCAGCATTGCCTTCATCACACTCATTAATGTCCCAGCATTGGTGAGCAGCACTGAAAAAACAAAACAAAAACACAACAGGCATAAATTAAGGATAGTCTTAAAATCCCATTTTATTGCAGATGGGATATTAAATTTTTTACACATCTAATGTATGAGTTACAACCCAGGTTAACCCTTCATAATGACAGCTGGAAGCATAATGTATTGTCTAATGGTAGACCCTGCTGCCATATGGAATCACGAAAATTGTGCTTTGTTATTAATAAAGCATGGTGTAGAATTGAGAATAGACTCAACATTTTTAATACATTTGTTTCTGATTATTTGTGAGGATTTTCCCATTATTATTTATTTGTATGTGTTGCGCATGCACGCACGCACACACACACCAATGTCAATGTATGTAATAAGTCATTTATGTCCAATGTATATTTTCAGCCTTCGGGCTGCAGGTCTTTTTCTATAAACCGTTAATTATTATTATTATTATTATTACACACACACAAAATACAGGTAAAGGAAATTACTGTCTCTAGAACGAATGGCTCCCTGTCCCGGTCACGAAAATGCCAGCAAATTTAAACCTACCCTTTGACATTCTTGGGTACATCCAGGGTGTCATCCTCGAATAATCAAGGTACAGGAATTAAAAATTCACAAATTTGAAGGGCATGTTGTACAGGATGACTTTAATATCTGTTTTAAGCAAGAAGAAAACAGTATGTATAAGAAATATAAACAAATCTTAGATATATACAGTACAGCTTTAAACAACTAGATAATTCATCAACCCAAATAACAAAGTCCTCACCCCACCGTACAGTACCAGATCATATATGTAATAGCCAAGACAAAATCAGTCAGGTAGGGATCATTCCTGTTGACCTTAGTGACCATTTTATCACCTACTGCAGCAGGAAAAAGGTCAGGGGTAAGACAGGACAGCACAAAGTAATCAAAATATGGTCAATGAAAATTTATAATAAAGAAGAGTTCCAAAATAAACTACAGAATATTGATTGGTCGCATGTGACAAATTACATGGAGGTGAAAGAGGTCTCGGGGAAGTTCAAAACTACTTTTAAAGGCGTTCTTGATAACAGAACATGACTAGTGAGATATTGGAGTCACTCAGGCACAGTGATCACCTCACTCATAAGTTTAAAAGAAACAGACAAGATGATGAGTCACACAAAGAATTTTTTTTAATAAGAAACAAAATACTGTACAGAGAGATGTAAAATGGGCAAAAAAAGGAATACTTTAACAAAAAGATTGAGGAAAATAAAAATAAGCCCTAGAAGCTATGGATGCAACTAAAAACCATTGGACATACAACAAACCAAATGAACAATCCAATGTAATATTAAACATCAATGATGAGCTCTGCCATGATGCATCAGAAGTTGCATACCACTTTAATTCCTTTTAAACAACAGTTGCCTCATCTTTAGTTGAAAAACTGCTGATAGCCTCAAACAAATACAGTGTGAAATCAGAAGCCTTTATATCCCACTACAAAAAGAAAGGTATCACTCCAGATAGTATTTAAATCTACAAGTGACAGAGGACTTTGTTCTAAAGAAGTTAGATATACTGGGCCCCTACAAGAACACAGGTATTGATAGCATTTCAGCCAGGTTTTTGAGGGACGGTGACACTATATTCAAGACACCAATAACTCTTCTAAATAATCTCTCCATTAGCACCAATACTGTACCAGATGAGTATAAGTTTGCCAGAGTATCACCTATCTATTTGAAAGGCGACAGGACTGATGTACGTAATTAGAGGCCAGTCAGTATCTTGTATATTGTATCTAAAATTCTAGAGACAGCAATGTATGTTCAAGTGGAAAGATATCCCCAGGAGTATAATATTTTGTACAGCTACCAATCATACTTTAGAGGCTCTCAGTCAACTGACACCAGTTGGATTCATCTCACTGACTGTATCAGATCCCAAACAGCTTGAGGAAATTTCACAAATATGTTAATTTAAGACTTGTGTCAGTGATATGACTCACTCAGGTCTTGGTTTGTAGCCAGGTCTACAAGAGCAGTAGAATGACCCAGGGGTATTGAAGCACTCATGCTGACAAGGTGAATTGAGGCATTCATTTATATCCAGACAGCGATAAGCATCTTCTGAAATCTGATATCCTTCTGGGCACCTGCAAAATTAACAGAAAACATATACAAAGTTAGTGATCTAATAATGGAAATATAAAACTGAAGCCATTAATAATTCAAGAAATGTCTAGAAAAAAAACCACATTGAGAATTACACTAAGAGCCCAAAAGTTATTTATCACAGGAAAGAAGAAATTGAGAGTCAGTGTGTAATCAATTATCAAATGTGTTACTTATTAAAAATAGAAAAATTAAGAAATGTATGGACGTAACTTTGACCTTAAATTATCAGATCTGGAAAATTAAAACACTAACAAAAACTTTAATAAAAATTTACATGCAGACTGATTTTTTTTAACATTCTTGTCTAAGGTATACTGTACTTACCATACTGTATTACTGATATTACATTTGAGGTTTTATTGAATACCAATTAAATTTCTAATTTTTTACTAAAAGCTACTTAATGGAGAGAACTTGCATGCAAATAAAGGATCCTTCTGTGTTGGTGCAGCCATGAGAACAGCCAGCATTAGCAAGGGAACACTCATCAATGTCCTCACAAGTGATCCCATCCATCCCCAGCCGATAACCAATCTGACACTCACACCTGAAAAAGTAAGGAAATTTATTATGGCAAAATTAGGATGAGGATATACAATGTCAAAAATATTCATGATAAAGACATGTGATGTACTGATTAATGAAGCCTAGAAATTTTTAAATTGTAAATACTCTGGGTAACCAGCATACTGAAAAAAATAAAATCATTCATGAGATTACCTGTAAGAGCCTCTTGTGTTATGACAATGACCTCTACAGCCACCATTGTTGTCGGCGCACTCATCAATGTCACGGCAAGTGTGCCCATCCTTCCCAAGCTCCATGCCCAGTGAACAGTGGCACTCATATCCTCCCTCCAAGTTAACACACTTGTAATTGCAGCCACCATTATCATTATCACATTCATTTAAGTCTATACAAGTGTGCTGATCTGAGTCGAGGATAAAACCAGTAGGACACAGACAGGTATAATGGCCTTCATGGTTGGCACACTGGTGAGAGCAGCCACCATTCTTCGTGCCACATTCATCTACGTCGAGGCAAGTACGACCGTCTACAGCCAACACGAGACCAGATGGACACTTGCACCTGTGTGAACCTTTTCTATTTACACATTTGTGAGAACATCCACCTTTATCCATCTTGCACTCATTCTCATCCTTACAGCTATGGCCATCTTGTGTAAGTTCAAAGCCAGAGGGGCAGCTGCATATGTACCTGCCATGGAGATTATGGCAGTCATGTGAACAACCACCATTGTCCTCACCACATTCATTGAAGTCTACACAAGTAACATTATCATCTTCTAGCAGCAGCCCTTGAGGACAAGAACAGTGATGACTTCCTATTTGATTTACACAATTATGTGAGCATCCACCATTATTACTCAAACATTCATCTACATCAAGGCATCTTGTGATGTCCAACAACTTAAACCCAGTGGGACAAGAGCATTTAAATGATCCATCTATGTTAATGCATTCATGTGAACAACCACCAAGTTGAACATCACACTCATTAATATCCCAACATGTAAGATTATCTTTTCCTAGCCAATACCCTGGAGGACAAGAGCACTTGTGTCCTCCATTGTCATTATAACAAATATGACTACAACCTCCATTGTCCTCACCACACTCATTTACATCAACACATTTCCTCCAAATCACATCATTGAAGATTTCAAAGTTGGTTATATCATCGTTGTTATAGTCAAAATAATCATCAGGGGTATCAAGTTGCCAGCCATCAGGGCACTTACATTCGTATGAACCTGGAAGGTTGATGCATAAATGACTGCACCCACCATTGTCTTTGAGGCATTCATCTATATCTTGACATTGAGATCCCTTGGTGTAGTTATCTGCTGTTTCTGGAAGAGTCATGCCATTAGGACACTGACACTCTACTCCACCTTCAATATTAACACACAAATGGCTACACTCCCCATTATTCAATGAGCACTCATCAACATCAACACATTCAAAGTGATTTACTGATCCATCATCATTTTCTTTGAAATTAAAGCCTGCAGGGCATTTGCACTCATATCCACCCTCAAAGTTGTGGCACTGGTGACTGCAATTCCCATTGTCATTTAGACAGTCATCTACATCTACACAAACATGCAGCTTCTCAAAGGCACTTCCTTCTTTCAAAAGCTGTAGTCCTTCAGGGCAAAGGCAGTCATATCCACCATCAAAATTTGAGCATATATGTGTACAGCCACCATTTTCATTTTGACACTCATCATTATCTGTGCAAGCATGTTCATCAGCATGAAGTGTTAACCCAGGTGGACAATGACAAACATATGACCCATTGTAGTTAGTACAGAAATGTGAGCATCCATTGTCAGCTCCACACTCATCAATGTCAATACATGTGCGATTGTCTAAAGCTAGCTCAAAACCATCATGACAGAGGCAGTCGTAACTGCCAGGAAGGTTGAGACATTCATGCTGGCACTCAGACAGCTGGAGGTGACATTCGTCAATGTCACTGCAATGGAAGTCATCCTCCAACTCATAACCAGAAAAGCAGGAACATGAGAATGATCCTTTTTCATTTATACACTCCTGCAAGGAAGGAAAAATAGCATTATCTACACTTGTCTCAGCTTATCTACTAAAGGAAACTTTCCAATTTATAATCTTTTTTGGTCATTTGCACTATATCCAAGGTAAAATTAAATTTAGCTAAAACTGTCCTTTTAAAATTCTTAGGCATTTTCATCATATCCAAACATTCTAGGAATTAACATTTTAAGTAACATGCTGAAGCATCGCATTCCGAGCTATATCACAAAAACTGGTTTTCATAGTAAATTAGAGTACAGTGAATCCTCGCTTTACGCGGTTTCACTTTACGCGTTTTTACATTTACGCAGTACCCTGCCAGAACCGGAATTCCCACTTTACGCGGTGCATCTACTCATATACGCGGGTGAAGTATAATTTTTTTATTTAGCTCATAAAATTCATACAAATTATCCGGCCAGAATATAATTTACATTGCTGGAATTCTTACAATTTGATGATCATTTTGAATATAAGCATCATAGATTTTGCATTAGACAAACAAATTTTAGATCTAATGCAAGTATTTTGTTTACTCAGAGCAAGTATGTTATCTTTTGTGCAAAATATATGAAGTGTATATTCAAAATATTCCTGGTCTTGCAAGGAATCCAGCAATGTCAATTATATTATCCTAACTTTAGTCTGAGGTATTATTTATTACTAAAAATGTAAATATACTGTTATAACCCAATCATTTCTCTGGTAGGGAGGGAAGGTGGGGGTGAGGGGTAGGGAGGGAAGGTGGGGGTGAGGGGTAGGGAGGGAGGGAGGGACCCAGGGAGCAGATGGGAAGAGGGGGGGAGGTGGGGTATTTTGATTGACAGATAGTATTTCGGTAAGTATATTTTGTTTATTTATTGAAGATATTTGTTTTAGCTCATGAAATTCATATAAATTACCAGGCCAAAATATAATTTACATTGCTGGAATTCTTACAATTTGATGACCATTTTGAATATAAAAATCATAGATTTTGCATTAGACATACAAATTTTAGATCTACTTTAAGTATTTTGTTTACTCTGAGTAAATATGTTATCTTTTGTGCAAAATATATAACATTTATATTCAAAATATTCCTGGTCTTACAAGGAATCCAGCAATGTCAATTATATTATCCTAGCTTTAGTTTGAGGTATTATTTATTACTATACCTTAAATCTAGTGGTTTTCCCCCAAACACTTTTCAGAGAGGGAAGAGCCAGGAGTGTGAGAAGAGGGGGTGGGAGTTGAGTCCATTATTTGAATGGACATTAACTTGGCAACTGTATTTCTCTTAAATATTAATTGTGTGCATGTACCATCATAAAATTAAGATGTTATTTTTACTAGAACATAGGTATTGTGTCGGAAAAAGTGGAGTTTGGGGGTCAGCCGGTCTCTATTTCATTTAATCCCATATGTTATGTTGTTCACTTTACGCGTTTCTCGCTTTACGCGGGCCTCCGTGGGTTCAATTGACCGCGTAAAGTGAGGGTTCACTGTAGTTGTTTACTATTTATCATTAGTTAGGCAAGTTTGGCTATTGTTTGTGAACTGATTTCGTGTTTTTAGACTATGATATTGGGGCATTTTTGTCATTGGGGAATCGAACCTCATTTTTCCTATACTATACGTTCTTTTATTTGAGATACGAAAATTCACTTAACAAATCCTTTTTTTACCTAACCCATTCGTATATCGAGGGATACATGTAAAGATGATTTTTAGCATATACTATAATGCGTAAGCTTATCAAGAATTAGAGGATTTTGATCAAATGAAAACCTATCAGACTCAAAAATATAGGCAACCAAAGACCAGAGTAAACACTGTACACTAAAGATTATAATTTTGTGTATTACCGGTATATTGTACACGGTAAAAAGTATCTTTTGGGAAGAGTCCAATGATTTCCAAAATGAACACTGTAACCCCTGTTGTCTCAGTAAGGTTGTCAAAATCCTTTATCCATTGTCATATTGTCCAACAAAAATTTCTAAAGAAAATTTTTTGATCATGTGTACAACTCTGTTAAAAACTGGAAATATGATGCTCTATCGATACACTATCTACCTTTACTGATATAGCAAATTAGCTGATAATGAGGTCTAATACTGTACTGTACAGTTGTACCTGTTGACATCCACCATTGTCCTCGGCACACTCGTCAACTTCTGTACACTTCATACCATTAGTGGAAATTATATATCCTTCTTCACAGTCACAGAAGAATGATCCTTCTATATTTTCACATATCTGCTCACAACCACCATTATCTGTTGCACATTCATTCACATCTAGAAAAGAGAATAGCACATACATGACTATTGAGCCTACGAAAAAACTGATCAGTAAGCTTTAAACATTTTTAAATTTTAACTCAATAATATTGATAGAAAATTCACTTCGCAAGCAGTTGGTTACAAGTTTGAATCCCCAAAAGAGTGGAGGATTGGGTTACCTCTTTGTACAATAGTCCTTGTGCACCCAGCAATAAATAAATACTGTACATACAACATCAGGTACATTTGCTAATGCTGGAAAAAAGTTTTGATAACTAACAAACTGCCAAAGAGATGGGGGCAACCTAATACTGTAAATGTTGTATACAATGCATCTACAATACAGAGATCAGCACTTGTCCACAGTAGTACCTCTATGCCATGGGCCTCCTATTCCTTGCAACCACTATTGGCTGGAGTGGAGAAAACCCAATACTGTATTATCGTATAATAACAACAATCACAATAATAATAACAATAATATAATAATAATAACAATAATAATAATAATAAAAATAACAACAATAATAATAATAATAATACAGTACTGTAATAATAACAATAAACATATAAAAAAGATTAACTCAGAGCAGATGGATCTCTGCAAAAAAAAATATTACATGAAAAATTAAGAAAAAGCATGACCCAGATGATGATAGCTTCAGAGAAACATGATCAGTAAATTTGCAATGGACAAAACAACACCAAGCATAAGAAAAATAGTAGGTAGCTATCAAACAGGAAGGTACTAATGCCTGGGAAGAAAGCATAATGTATTGTCTAATGGTTAACCCTGCTGCCATATGCCAAATGGGTTCGATCCCCTGGCAGGGCGAAACTATGGGCAAGTTTCTTTACGCCATTTGCCTCTGTCTACCCAGCAGTAATTGGGAACCTGATGTTAATCGATTTGTGGATAGTATTCCGGGGTAATGGTTAGCCAGTACAGTTGGCGGGTTGTCCGGTCTTCGACTTTACTTTTTTTACTTTTATCCTCTTTACCACTGATCGGCTCGTTAGCCGCTTGGGCGATCGGTCACGTCTCTCATTACTTTTCCTTTTCTTTTATCCTCTTCACCAAAAGATCGGATCGTTAGCCGCTTGGGCGATCGGTCACGTCTCTGTTACGCACTGTTGGCTCCTGAATGTATCTGAACCTGCTCCAGTGTTGGTCAAGTCATGTCTTGAAAGAGCTCACACTCGGTGCCGTCACAACACTTTCTGGTAGATTGTTCCAAGAGTTCACAACTCTCACTCCGAAAAAGTTTGCCCTCACAGTTCTCTGGACTTGCGGCTTCTTCACTCTTGAGCTGTAACCCCTTGTGAGGCGAGCGTCCGCGAGCTCCAAGTAAGGACACATGACTGAGTAGTAGTGCCCCTCGAGATGCTTATACACCTCAATTAGGTCACCCCTTGCCCGTCTGTTGTATAAGCTAGGCAAGTTCAGGCGCTCCAATCTCTCAGGGTAGCTGAGGTGCCGAAGTGCAGGCACCAGTCTAGTGGCCCTCTTTTGAACATTTTCAACCAACTGACAGTCCCTAGCATATCTCGGGGACCAGATGGGGTGACAGTACTCCAGATGGGGAAGCACTTCACTCTTGAAGATCGTTACGAGGGACGGACTGTCTAGATATCTGAACGACCTTCTTATAAGACCCAATAATTTATTTGCCTGATTTACCTTCTTCTCGCAATGGCCCGAGAACGTCAGCTCATTGTCAACATACACACCCAGGTCCTTCTCACATTCAGTCTCAAATAGTGCAATTTCTTCATCCCGTTGGGACATATGATACGCCTCCTTACCATTGGTATGCCCCAGGTGCATCCTCTTACACTTCATGACATTGAATCTCAGCAGCCATTTCTTCGACCATTCTTGGAGCCCACAGAGGTCCTTCTGCAGCTCTTCACAGTCCGCTTGGTTCTTGATTTCCCGAAATAACTCGTTAACTTAGGGAATGGTTGTTGTGCTGGCGACAGCTTCTATACCTTAAACAAAGTCACGCCTGGGTGGCCCTATTATTATTATTGTATTTTCACCTCCCAGGCCCTGATGTGGGTCAGTGACCTGTGCCTAATCTCCGTAAAAAAAAAAATACCCGTGAAGAAATGAGACATGAAAATTCACTATGTACGTCAAATGTTACAAGTGATAAATATGCATAAATCACAAAAGAAATGCACCATTTCCAATGAGTGACATGCCTTGAGCCAATGAGCTATCGCTTTCTCCAGTTCTAAATTCTGTCCACCGACAGGTAATGTGATATCATGACTCATGGCAACACCTATTTCTAAGACACCTTTTAAGGCCTCTCATTATAGCAGAAAGCAATCCAATGAATCTTAGATTAGTCCCAGTTGCTATTGTCAAAGAGTTTCAAAGGTTTCAACCCCATATTGATTTAATTATATATTTATTTATTTATTTATTTTATTTATTTTTTAATTTTTGCCACTTATCAGCTTACTAGCTGTCTGGGCGGTTGGTCTATCCAGTGTTAGTACAGTTGGAAACCGGAGACCAGGAAACCTGTGATGTTTAGTAGTCACACTGGATAACATCCTTCTCGTGTGTGTCCGGGCTAAGCAGGACTCAAACCCTTGACATTAGTGAGAGATACACGCATTACTGTTATACCGCCAACACTCCTACCAGCAGTAATAGCATGTTGCCCAGTATAGTTAGTTATGGATAATAACTGAGAATTTGGTCATTAACTGCATCTGCATGGGCTAGTCTGTGAATTTTTCCACTTAATGTCTTCTAAGCACAAATCCTAAGGACCAAGTTGTAATAAATTTGATCATTCAAGATATTACAATGGTCAATGAATACTTTATTATCTACAGCTATTACGATAATGTGAGTAAGATTACGTAATATCATGAAGTCTATTTCTCAATCATGGCGGTTTAAATTTACAACCGAAACTTTGAATATTACTGCAGTAATAATCAAATGCCTGGCAGCAACTCATACATCACACGAGATAAATATCATTTCAGCAAGTAAACCAGTCAGTAAACAAATTTACAGAGCTGAACAATTAAGCAAATAGTTGACATCCATTTTGTGAGTACTATAATGGAAACTTTTATCATAGTTATATCTAAAGTATAGTACTGTGCTGACCATAATTCTTTGCTTATGCGCTGAAGATTATTAAATTTGTCAAATAGTAATTCAAGTAAAACATGACATGATATAATTTACATAAAGCAAAATAATTAAAAAATGATGTACTGTACATTACCAAGACAAGATGTTTTATCAGGTGAAAGTGTGAAGCCCTTGGGACAGGTGCAGGTGAAAGAGCCATTCATATTCTCACAACCATGGGAACACCTGATGCCATCTAAACACTCATCAATATCTGGAGAGACAAGTGCAGCACTTTAAAAACTCCTGATAATTACTCTGCCAGCATTCTATTTTTGTTGTGAGGAAATTAAATGGTGAATCCTTTAATTATTTTGAGCATCAGATTTATGGTGACATTTGCCGATGACTAACGTGATGAGCACAGCCTAAATCACTGCATTGTTAGCCCAGTTATAGGAGTACAGTATTATTATCTGTCCATCTGTAAGCTACTCAACAGTTACAATTGGGAGCAAAAGTGATAAAATGGGACAGGTGTCAAAATAATGCCCAGAGAAATTGCACATGTTAAAGCAAATATGAAGCAACGCTTAAATCATGATACATGTGATATTATGTGACAACAGTGACAAAATGACACATCACTGATAACAGGAGACTACAGGGATAACACAGGACAAAGGTGACAATAAGAGAAGAGTAATAACAAGCAGTAATACAATAGCAATAGGGGATAACACCAATATTAGAATCACTGACTTTATATGACTGATAAAACTGGTATACTAAAAATGTTACAACACAAAAATAAGTTACTATAAATGAAATCAATTTATACAAAATTTAAAAAGTGGTGATAATAATGGGATGAAAAGAGAATGATAGAATACAATTACTGAGGAATGAGTCATGAAAACACATAAAATAAAACTGACCATGGCATGTCTTGTTGTCTTGGGAGAGGACGAAGCCAGTGGGACAGGAGCAATAAGCACCACCATAAGTATTGATACAGATATCAGAGCATCCAAAGTTGTCGTCCTTGCATTCATCTATGTCATTGCAGTCATATATGTGTTCAAGTACAAATCCCAGTGAACATGAGCATGAGTAAGACCCTTGCTCATTTGTGCATATCTGTAATATGAGAAAAATCATTCAGGATGCTGGATTTAAATGGCTGCTACCAAAAATTATAATTAAAGTTATTATCTATGTTACAGCAGACTTATCATCTGTTAGAGCAGCCCTTCAAAGAGATTAAAATGAAGATTCTTAGTGACTATCTAGCAATATGTGAAGTGGGGAAAGCAATGATTGAAATATATCTTCTGTTAAACTGTGCAAAATACACTGTCTGTCAGCATATAGTAGATCTGTAGATTTCTGCCACTGTCAACCATAATACTTCAGAGCCATCAGGTGTCATTCACACAGATATCAAACTTTGTATTAGTCAATAAGATTATAAATACCTTTTCTATTAGGTTGCCTGATGGGCTTAGGCATAACATATGGAATTTACTTTGTCGTTTTACCCACCTACAATGTTCATAGTGTGGGCAGCCATTTCTTTTTCTTTTTTCATCATTTTACCATATATGACTTCCACAATGCTATTACACAATCTCTTATCAATACTCTCACATCATTTAATCTATCAGATGATATAATATTGTATTCTAGCATACAACATACTCATACAAATAACATTTCTTCCCATACAGCAGCACACATCATCATGCTCCAGGTATTGCTAAAAGTTAACAAGCAAGTGTTGTATGTCCACATAATACAGCAGACAATGACAAGTTATTGGTGTTTCCCAACTTAAACCAACACCACAAATTATAAAGTTTCTGTATTCACATAATGAGGATTGCTTACTAAACATGGTGTACCTGTCCCCAGCGCTGACACCCCCTCTACCCCCTTCTCCCGCCCTCACCTCATCTCTTTATCCAGTAGACAACTGATAGATAGTAAAATGTATTGAAAAAAAAATTAAACGTGAAATACAGTTGGAAAGAGTACCACCGGAATTTCTTGTTTATTTTACTTTTTTTTACAGTTTCAATACAGACATATTATTTCCATGGTATTGTTATTTAAAATAATTGTGTTTAACAACTTTCTAGGTATGTTTTTACTGTTCATTACACTATTACTATGATGATGCTTATGTAATTAAATTACAATGCATCCATTATTCATTGGGTCATAAATGCAACCTCATCATAAACAGACCATATGTAGAGGCCTCAGTCCACCCCCCTATCACCCTTGGAGTAAGTGACAGTTGCTTAGGCTTCAGCAAGAGGAGGGAGGGACAAAGAGGAATACAGCATGATTGGTGCATATGTATGCGATTTGGGGGGGGGGATGTTTTGTTATCAAAGTGGCCTATTGTATAATAAATTTTGGATAGTAAATATGCATAAGATGGTTCTGACCTGTTGCACAAGCTGGGAATACCACCATGATGTGTGGTAACACATTCTACTCATTATTTGTGTGTTGTCCTATGTATTTATATCCTTGCTTAATATATCCTGTGTCGTAACTGCACAGGTAACTGCTTAACCCTCTTCCACCCATCTAGCTCCCCTCCACTCTGACCCCCTTCGACCCCAGTATTACCCCACCACCTACTCACACACCGGCCCCCTCTCTGGAGAAGGTGGATTGACAACACTGACTGTAAAGGTTGGAAGTGGAAGAGGCTGTACATTGTTTGTATACCTGTACTGTCTAATATGGGACAATGAGCGAATCTTCCCAATTTTGAATTAATGTACTGTACTGTACGTATTGTGGAATACTCGAGCCTTCCAACACGCTCTTTAGGAAACTTGTGAACAGTTGGAGGGCGTGGAGTGGATTGATCCTGAGTTTCCAGGGTATCCTGTTGTTCATTATCATGACTATGAAATACAGAACACCATTTACCACATTAACCACTTAGGAATTTTTAACCATGATATCCTTCATGTTCTGTATAGAGAGGTCTTCTCATTTCAGATGAATCATGCTACCCCGTCAGGCATACCAACTAATCAAACGTAGTCGAGATTAACCTTAGACTATGTTTCGCCAGGTTTAAAATATTGTCAGACAAAACTGGGAGGATAGTTTTGTTGCTCAATGGACATTGTTTGTATACCTGCACTATTAATGTACTGTACATTGTTTCCATATACTGTATGCACTGTTTGTGTACATCGCATACCTTCACTTCTTAAGTATATGATGAAGCAATGCAAATTTGTATGATGATTTTACTCAATATACAGTATATCTATATTTCACAGTTCAAGAAATGAACAAAGAGCAATGATCTCTCATAAGGTATTGAGGTCACAAGGGTAGACAGAGTATCACAAGGAAACAGTACAACAGAAAATGTAAAATTCAAGAATTGAAGTCAGGGACATTTGCTCATGAGATGTTTCTAGAGTTAGGAAGTCAAATGTTGAACTGAATGGAAACAGGTGATAAAAGAACTATTCTGATGTATAGTAAATCATACTGAGGTGATGTAGGGAAAAAATTTTATTATAAAAACTCTGGAATAGTTGCAAAAATGTTGAGGTTACACTTTGTGCCTTTAGCATTAGTGCTCTGTAGCTTTGCCGTGTCAACTCCACACCCAGTTCAAATATTTGGAAACACTACTCCTACCTAATTTCTGGGTTCACCCCTGAAACTTGGTGAATAATGATACAGGATGTAAATGGTAGGCAAATGAGTTGCCTCTATTAGACTTCCAGGGAGCAGCAGTGTATATGACTGACAGGAAAGTATAACATCAAGTGGTTTAAGGGAGCACCAAAGCAGTTAATGTGAATAGATGACAGTGAATGTAGAAAAATTGTTTTAAACCTGATTCTGGAAACCCTGAATTATCATGGTAAAATACCCCCTGTACTTGCAAGGCTGAGTAATAGAAGTAAAGGAAGTTTTGTTTTCAATATTTTTCAAAAAGCAAATGAATACTGAACTGAAAAATGATACAAGCAGATGCTTACCTGCTGGCATCCACCATTGTCCTCAGCACACTCATCTTCATCAATGCAGCTGTCATTAGTAGACATGATGTAACCCTCGTCACAGTTGCACCAGTATGATCCTTCAAGGTTCTCACAGATCTGCTCACATCCACCATTATTTTTCTCACATTCATCTATATCTGGCATGAAAAATGATGAGTGAGGATGTTTACTGACAGAGAAAAGTAAACTTTTAAATAGTTGGCTCTAGCAAGATAGGAATTTTACAAAAAATCTAAGAGAAAGTTTCACTATCTTAAAGTATTGGGGGATTAAAGAAGGAAATTTTATATCATAGTAAATGACAGGAAATGAATGACTTGAAATTCCACCTAGATTACCCACTGGTACAGAGTCCAGAGGCCTCCATTGCATGGAGTCTGGGCAGTCAAGTGGCAATATTACACTGTCCTTGAAAATCAGTGTAATTATTCTACCACAGAGGAGCTCTTCATACATCAAGTCAGATTTGAATTAGTGATTCAAACTCCCAACCCCACTGGTTACTTTGAAAGCCTTTACGGCTTCAAGTTCAGTGGGAAAAACACAACTTGGTCAACTCACTTCCATCTTGAATCCGTATTTGCCATAAATAGGGTTTCCCTGTTTGAAACATTATACTTTTCAGCTGATTAGGAACCACATCAAGGAAGGGGACAGAGACCAGGTCACTTGTCACTTCCTTTCAGTTATACAGAGGATATTGATCCTGAAATCCCTTTTTCTGGCAGTAATACAGTACAGTACTGTACTGTGCTGTATAGGCTTTTCAATAGTGGTGCTAAGGTCTCTGCCCTGTATTAGTCGAGTTGTCTGGTAAAAGGGCAATGGCCAGAAAAGGCACCTTGGGTGTCTGGGATCATTGTATGTGTAGTCAAGTACCATTTCAGCTGGATTTCTTTCACTTATTATTTTTGAAGTGTAATGCACTGCTTAATTTCCCTAGAAACTAGATCCTGTTAATTTGTTGCAACAAAATATTGAAGGAAATTATCCTGTGGACCTCAGTTTAAATTACTGGTGAGAAATCTGTGACGACATCATGACTTATGCCCAAAACTCAAGATATTTGTTATGCTATTGTTTTTTAGATACTGTACAGGTAGTGTTTGTCTGTATGTACCTAAAGCCTCGCTGGCTTTCAATCTAACCAATGGGCTCTGGGTATGAATTATTGATTCGACCTTGGTATGATGGATGAAGATATGCTGTGCAATGATTGCATTAATCTGTAAGAGCAATGTAATTTGCTACATGTACTAGACCAGGGGTTCTCAACCAGGGGGGAATTTCCCCCCTCAGGTTTTCAGGGGAGGGGAAAACTGATACTAATATGGAAAAAATAAAGGATTTTCAGTATTATATGCATATTATTTGGAATGCACTTTTTGAGGCAGACAATCTTGGAAAGGAGGGGGGAATGACATTCTGACATATGGTGAAAGGGGTGCATGGGGCAAACAAGGTTGAGAGCCACTGTACTAGACAGTCCAGCCCCTAGCAATGGCAGGCTCTGCTAGGGGGTGATTTAGTTGGGAATTTCTCATTGGTCATTCTTTGGTGACATGTTGGCCACCATCTCCGAGTCAAGTATCAAACAATGGTTAACCCAATTTTGCAATAAACTCTCAAATAAAAAACTTTCAAAACTACCTACTTTAATGTATGAAACAATATAGAATAAATATCTTACATAACAGCATAACAGAAAAGATTGGCAACCATAATGTCTGCTTACCAATACAAGTGATGCGATCAGGTGCCAACATCAAGCCACTTGGGCAAGTGCAAGTGAAGGATCCATCTGTGTTGTTACATCCATGGGAACACTTGACATCTTCTGAACACTCATCAGTATCTACACACCAAGTCATAAAGAATATATCTTAGTGCAATAGGAATAGCAGAAGATCTTTAATGTCAAGACCAAATTTGGAGCATAGTGGGAATACTGTAATGTGCTCATGTGTGGATTATGGATATCATCATACAGTAAAAATAAAATATTTGGAGTAAAAATATGATTTTTGTAAGGCATCAATTACTTCAATGCATTTATTATTGCCTCATAGTACAGGTACTGTAACATCTTTATATAAGGACTATCATACAGTTAATACCTGGATTATAAAAATATATGGAGAGTACACAGAAAGTCCAGGAATTAAGGAAAACTTTAGGTACCCCAGTAGAATGAATTAGTGCAAATAGAACTTCTCTTCTCTTGGAGAAATAGAAGCTGCATTCCTGAATTTCAGGTTACATGAAATGAACTTTTGTAGAACATCCCTACTCACTGGTCTGTCATGCCTTTATGCCTTTAACTTGTACAGGCATACCCCAATAACTGATGCATATAGGGACTGTGAAAAGTCGTTGGTTAGTGAATCAACGGTTATTGAAGCAATTAATCCCATAAGAATATAACAAATTCAGGAGGATAGAGACCAGTCACCTCCCAAAAACTCCCATCTATCCTTGATATATCTCTGTCTTGTACACTGTCAAGCAAGAAAATACTGTAAAGCAAACATATAAAACAAGCATGATAAGCATTAAATAAGGAATGTAAAGCATAAATTGAGACTGTTATTTACCTGTAGGTATTGAGGATGGTAAAGACGGTCTAGAATGGCAAGTTCAAGTCTCTACCAATTTTTACTGGTCTATCACCACTCTCGTTACACCTTATTACCCTACGTCTTATTACATCACATCAAGCTGCCCCTCTTAGGAGCAGCACAAGAGGAACTATCACTGGGGTGTTTAGGCATGATTGTGTAACACACAGTCGGAAATAATGAAAAAACATGAAGTTGGAGATACATAGTGTAAACAAATGCAGAAAGGCAGGAATGAGTTGAAGGCAGTGCGCAGAGCTCTCTTGTGGCAAGAATTTGCACCATTCCACCACCCGCCAAATTCAGATCAGATCTCCGGGGTATCAACGAAACTTGCAAGGTATTTCCTTTATATGTAATAGTCGGTTAGGCGAATCAGCAGTTAATGGAACGTCAGTTTTGGGGATACTGAATTTACACTTTTTTTATGATAGTGTACAGTAAATGGAATGCTTCCACTTGGTTTGAGAAGTAGATGTAATAAGCTGGGAAGGTTTCCTACCCAGATAGTGGATGTAAATGCAATCCAGTGCAGTACTATATATACAGTCAAACAGTTACAGATAATGCGAGATATGGTGTTGAGTACAGTACTGTACTGTTCTAACACTACATCGCATGGTACTGTAAAATTATTTGAAAATTAGACAATACCAGTACAGAAAATCTCATTAAATTCCATTTTTCTCATTTTATTACAAGGGCTGAATTTATTTCCTACCCAGTAATTTATGGAATGCCTTTTTTAATTTATAGTAACAATTTATGTTACACAGAAAGGAGGTCACTTATTAAAAAAATTAATCTAAAAGTATGTGATGCATTATACTGTATTGAAATTTTGTAAATCAAAGGTTTTAACCAGAGAGTTTTCTCCCAAAAAAATTATTTGTTAATATAATACTGTAGTGTAATTACAAACCTTGTTACATACTTAAAGACCTTAGTTGAGGGGCCGTAATAACATTATAACAACAACAAAGGTTTCCTGTTTATACAGTACAGGCATAGTAATGCAGTAGACCCTCATTAGAAATAACTCAAAGATAAAAAAAATTGTGACAGAGAACAGGAGGGGCAGGCAGCTTAGGATTGCTGGTTATGGGAAAAATAAATCTTGCCCGATGCTTCTATGGTGTCCCTTGACACTCAATAATGCTTCCCCAATGCACATAATGTTCTAGGGGCACATTTTAGAACCATGATTGATGATGGAGTAAACCTTCATTACTTTTGTACTGTATGTGGTTTGAGGTAATGTGATTGGCATCAATAAGACAATGGAATTCAAGACTTTTTACATGGGCCTTTTTGCATCAACATGGTTTCATTGTGCACGTTTACAACTGATTCGCCAGGCAAGAAGATGAAGGTAGCAATGCGTGTGATGGAGGGTGCGGGAGGGGGTTTTGAATATTGCAATTAAATGCCCGGTAGCAATGTGTCCTCCTAATATTACGTATTTAAATAATTATTAGATGTTTTAATTGCCTGTGTGTAGGCCTGGCGAGTTAATGCAAGGCATATACATATGTAGGTATAAAGCTAGACGTCGCAATAGCAATAAATTGTGGTATCACATATGATTCACATCTGAACATCAAACCTTATTTCAACTTTCCCATAAGAAAATATACCTTGATGAACATTGTTTTTTGATACACGCTGCAGTTAATTGATCAATAAAAAATGGATACTTATCCCCAGAGCTTATCTCTCATGCAACAGAAACAAGAATGCAAGAATGGAACAAATTATTCAGATCATTTAATTTGAAAATTTTCAGATTCAAATTACAGTACTGTATATAACTGGCAAAAGATAAAACCCAAAATACAGAACAATGAATACAAAAATATACACTCGCACCCATCTACGCACACACACACAGTATTTGTAAATAAAGTCAGTACAAACTGAGGTGTTTTGTGAAGTAATGATCAAATGATCAACCAATTTTAGAAGTTCTGATGTATACTGCATACATTAGTACTGGTCTCTATCTCCTCTTCTGAATCATATTACAGCTGCATAACATTCAAACTCACTGCACTAGAGACAAGTGTCACAGAAAACAGCAAACATTTGGAAGGGATAATTTGTATGCTGTATATATTTTATATGAATTGTACCAGTGTCCATGTATATAATCTTAAGTATGTATACTGATAGTATTAAGGAAGAACTCAAGATACCTATATGATGATTGGGAAGGCCCAATTGATGCAGACTAATGTACTATAGTGAATAAGTGTGACAGTGTCTGAAGGCTATGGTATTTACATCTTTGTACACTTAGTAAACATAGCTACCTCAGGTATCAAATGAAAATATATGAGAACAATGATCTGGGAAAAGGATAAATGTATCACACATATGTCAAGTGTTGGAATTGACCCATATACTATACTCCAAGGAAAACATCTCATGTACCTCGGTGTGAGCTTAATACACATCGTTACCCCATGTGATGAATAGCCACGAACAGAGCAATGGTTCGAGAATCTTATGAATGTGTTAAACAATTGCAAAGTGTGGGGGAATGAACCATACATACAGAATAAAGTGAAGTGGATATACCCAAGCCAAGAACCAAGGCTTTTGTTCACCTGGCACCTAAACTGCCTACAGCTACAGTTTCTAGGTAATAAGATGGATGAAGTAATTTACCCAAATATGACGAACCGGACACTTACTGAAGTATGTAATTTAGAATTAAGGTATGTAACTACAGTATAAGGCATAAAGTCACACTATATAAGAAGGTGTATGTGTGGAAACGAATAAAGACAAGGTGAAATTTAAGCATTGGCACCCTTAGGCCTATTCAGTGTGAGATACAGAGGCTCGTCCTCAGTGACACTCCACATCTCATACACGCAGGTGTACACGCCTGTGGGCGGAGGGAGATCAGTGAGGTCGGAGAGAATGCTTGGCCCAGCAACCACTGTTCTACTTTAAGGAACCCACTGGTGTTGTGGGTAATGCTTATGGCCGCTATGCAACCTCTACTATGGATCTATGGACATCTCACTTTTCAACACCCTGGATGTGAAGAAATGTTGGTGCTACTTGAGGTGCTCACGGTCACTTTTTTAAATGACCTAATGATACTGGACGCAGAAATAGTCCTGGTCTGAATGCCTGGGAAGGATCTCATCTACCTAATAAGAGTAGAGTGTGAGACAGGTACCTACTGTGTGCACCTTGGTGCTAAGAATGAGCTGCAGTGCCTGTCTGCATTGTGTATATTATTGAATGTTCCTTATTCAGGTGATGTTGAGGATGTTGGTGCTATTGAATATTCCAGGTGATATTGGGGAAGGAATGACCTTGGTAAGGAAGTCAATGATTTTGTATGGAGAGAGATGACCTTAATTAATTATTTGGAGAAGGTCGGGTATTTTTGTGTGGTTGAGAGACATTAATAATTGCTCGGGAAAGTTCAACTATTTTTGTATTGTGACTGAATGCAATTTTTTTTTTATTTGGAAATAAAGTGTAGTTAAATTCTTGGTTGGTGTTTCACCCTTCCTTCCACCCCAACTTAATTAATGAAAAACACGAACTCACAGTGCCTGGATTGCTCTGCCAGCTACCTAAAGGACACTACACATACTGTCCTGTGGTCTGGTGGCAGCGAACTCAATTAAAGAGAACATTTATTGTTTTCTTTAATTAAAAGATCACGTAAAGTTGCTTGAGATTCAGACAGAGAGAAGACAATAGAATGATGAACAAAACAATAACCAAAAATTTTATGGTGCAAACCTACTGCAATTATAAGTAAAAATGCACACCTTATATCTGCTTACCAACACAGGAGACTTGATCAGGTGCCAGCATTAAGCCTTTAGGGCAGGTACAGATGAAGGAACCTTCAGTGTTAACACAACCATGGGAGCACCCATGGTCCTCTGAACACTCATCAGCATCTATAAACAAGGTGATGAAGTAGGTATTTTAAATGGTTTGGGGATGGATATAAAGTAATAAGTATAAATTAATGTAAGGAGGCCAAAGAACAGTGATAATACAGGTACAGAATTAAATAATTGATTTTCAAAATTATTGCTACCAATTGTAGAGTACTTTGGGATAAAAATTAACAAAAAAACAGTTACAAGCAACTGAAGCTGGTAGTAGAATGTTGAAGTACAGAGATAACCTCATTATGGAGGGATATACAAATATTACAAAGTACATGCAGTATTTTCTCACAAACTGCCTGCTAAACAAATGTCTTCTTAATGAAATTTTAAGTTTTCTGCACAAGTCACAAGATAAAAATTAAGAAAGTTGGATATACTTAAGGCAGAGTCACACGAGCACTAGACATTTTATTGTATCAATTTTCTGAGCGCGCCGTCACACACGCAAAGAGAACTAGCGCGCCAGTCTTTCCGCGTTTGACAATTGTAAACAAAGAAGATGGGGCTGTACTCTTCGGACAGGCGTGTCCACACAGGAATAGATAGAGAGGTCGTGAAGAAGTTGAACACATGGCTCAATGCAAACAAACATATCAGATGTATTTACAAATATCAAAATCAATAAAAAAATTATACTTAAGCAATTTATTAAAAATGTGATATTGAATACTTTTAAAATCAAATTGAGTTATTTTACGTGGATTGATATTTATTTTATATAAATACCGTATCCTCATTGTGGAGTATAGATCTTGACTTGACCACAGAAATTGGCACAAACCAGTCAGGCAGAAAAGATACCTTTCATCTGAGCGAGGCGAGCTAGAAAAATTTACAATTCGTGAAGAGGAGGAAGAAAAAGGAAAGGGTACATTATACCAGCGAAGAGGATAAATCTTAGCACAGTACTGTACAGTACTGCATTTCATCCCAGTCTTGGAACTCTGAACAGTCACAGCTATTTTTTAAATCTTACATGTATGTAGCTACTCAACATAAGCCTTATATGGGTCCACACCCACTCACATGAAATTTGCCCTTGGCAACCCTGTACCTAATGAGAAATATAATGACCACAGAATTTGACAAGAAATCTGGGTGAAGCTTTTTGTTGACACAAATCTGCAGTGTGGGATGCTTGTACAGTACAATGAACGGAAATAAAGGCACATTAATAATATCACAATTTTGGCCTCGAAACATTCACAGATAAAATGTTAGGTTAGGTTAGGTTGGATTGGGTTGAGTTGGGTTAGGTTTTAAATGTTTTCTTTGGTCATGGCCTATTTTGGTTATAAAATTAACTTATTGAATCTAGTTGTATACTGACTATCTTCTTGACTTGTCTTCCCTACACTAACTTGTACTACAGCATACAGTAACCATTATTTACTTAAATCCTTATACAGTACCTCTTACTTCTAACTTTGGATAGGGGAGAAAGGCAACACACTTCATTCCTGCTTACCTAAACAAGTGATCATATCAGGGGCGAGTATATGGCCATCAGGACAGGTACAGTCGAAGGACCCCAGAGTGTTTTCACATCCGTGAGTGCAATCATGGTCTGCTGAACACTCGTCAATGTCTAGCCCAATGAATACACAAACAAATATTTCAATGCAATGTTATGGAATTTGGTAAAAAAAAATAATATAATGTATACAATAAAAGTAGGAGAAGGAAGGACTATTAAATAATGCATGCAAAGAGACAATGTGTGTAGAATATACATGTATTGTATTCAGGCACAACATATAAGTTGTAGTAGAGCTACAGTATTTACAAAGTAACACCAAGAAACTTTTGCTTATCCAGCAATGTAGTGATTGGTTTATATAGCCAGAGAAGATACTGTAAATGGTTAGAAGATACCATACTCTCAAGAATCAGAGAGAGAGAGAGAGAGAGAGAGAGATGATGTGCTCTTTTTTTTTTCTTTTGGCTATACAGAATTGTTCAATTCAAACAATAAAATTTCATTGGATAATTTTTACCACTTATAAGTTAGGTGGTCAGTCGTTTTCTGTTAAGCACACTGTTCTCTGTTATAACCATCACTGTCCACTGTTAATACAGTAGGAAACTGGATTACCTGGAGAAAAATTTGAGACTTGGTAGGGTCTCATCCAACCTGGGGACTGTACCTGGGAATCAGTGGTGACAGGTAAATGTGCTACTGCTATACCAGCAAACAAAGTTTATTGTAACCAATAACCATAAGTCATATTGCAGTGTTCACAGCAAATATTGTACTTATTGTGCAGGGGAAGAGTTGTCTGAAGCTCCATTTTCAATGGCAGTCAGCATGGAACTGATGTGAATGATGAGTTGGATGTGAAATTTGAAGATGGCGGACATAACCATAAGTGTCAAGAGTGCTGGTCACACACTTAGGTCTATTAAATTTTCTGCCACTTGGGGACAAATGTTGTACCAAATCTTCCCCATTTTGCTTAATAACTCAATTTCTGCTTCACTCTATAGGAGGTAATGTGAAACTGAAAAGCCCCAGCAAGAGCTTGTACTATGAGGGCTACCTGTTTTTATTGCACAATTAGAAATCCCAAGATGAAGACAGAAATAATTAAATTGGCTCTCTAATTTGGGAGAATAACTCAGACTTTGAGAGTAACTGCATTACCAGTGACTGCCAGAGTAGCTCTTAAGATAATCTTAAGCAATATCTGTGAGTTTGGGTTCCCCTGAAGGATGTGCATGTTTCTAATACCAAAATGAAGGAATCACAAGTACGACTTTATCCCAACTCACTAATTTTTTTTAATTTATTAAGTCACGGTCTCTTATTTCAACAACATTCAATAGAGTAACAGTAAAATCTCCGTTAGCCGGAATCCCTCAAACCCAGAACTCTCCGATAGCCGGAATTGAAATTTTCTCAGAAAATCGTGCCCACAGCCGGAATTTTCTGGAAAATTCCGGCTTTGGGAATAATTTTCCGAGGGGCACACTTTCCAGAAAATTCTGAGAAAATTTTCCCGATGCCCAAAAAATTCCAGGGATGGGGGAGTTTTTTTTCCGGGCTTTAGAAATGAAAATCAGGCGCACTTTCTGGAAATTCTGAGAAAATTTTCTGTTGCCCGGAAAATTCTGGAAAATTCAAGGGGCGAGGGATATTTTTCTGGGTTCAAGAAATGACGTAATGGGCAATTTCTGGAACTTCCGTGAAAATTTTTCCGTTACCCGGAAAATTCCTGGGACGAAGGATTTTTTTTCCGGCTTTGAAAGAGTCGTCTCGTTACCTGGAAATCTCTCAATCCCAGAAGTGCTCTGCACCAATTGTTCCGGCTAACGGGGATATCACTACTGACTTGTCTAGAAAGGTTGTGCTTTCAGCAAGGAGGCTGAGTCAGCTTGACTAGTTGACTGCAATCAGCAATTTATTTAAGACACCTCAGTGTCAATAAAACAATCTACGTATGGGTAAAAAGCTGCATCGGCACCAATTTTGATGTTCATCTGAAAAATGCATCTTGTTTTGACTCTAGTAAGCTCTGTCACATGGTATTCATCATGCTCAGATATCATGAGTCACTCCTTGAGGATGGTAGGCTGTAAGACATATTAACCCCTAAGAGACCATACTGTGGTATTGCTAATTAAGTGCTGAGTTTCATACAGTACTTTAACCCTCCCAGCCTCGCATGACGCCATTGTGGTGTCGAACATAAAAGGCGAAGAAACTTATGCTCAGCCTCGCGACGCCAATGTGGCGTCCAATTGGCTATATTTTCAAATTAATGCTGGATTAGACCCAATTACAATTAATAAAACAATTCTATGGCAGCGAAATGAGCCCCCAATTTTTTTTATTTTTTTTTAACGATTTTCGACAAAAACCTCCGAGACTAAGCATAAGTTTTCATGCACATATGTGTCTCAGGCTCCGAGGCTGAGAGGGTTAATAATTTTACTTATACAGTATCAGAGTAACAAGGAGGAAGGAATGAAAATTATTTTGATATACTATAAAGGATAAGGAATAATTACAAAGCTTTAGGATTAAATTGCAAGTTGCTTACCTACACAAGTAATTAAATCAGATGCCAGGCTGAAACCACCAGGACAGGTACAGATGAAGGAGCCCTCCGTGTTGTCACAGCCATGGGAGCACTGGTGGTCCTCTGAACACTCATCAATATCTATATACAACATCGTAAAGAGCATATCAAATGTTAAAAGGTTAGAAGCAGGTGATCATTGGAATACAAAGAAAATTTTAATAATGCTAAAATGAAGATTGGCTTAAACTCTTGAAAGTTGATGGTAGATGATGGAAGATGGAAAACAAGGAATCCATGATGCAATAAAAAAAATGATAACAGGGGCTTAAGGGCTAAAGAAAAAATTGTGAATGAATATGTCAAACTTTTATTGAGTAAAAAGGTGTGGTAAATGGTAGAGTAATTACTTGAACTATGGGCACAAATCAGAATTACTGTAGGTATGTTTAGAATAAATGAACAAAAATAAATTCACATTGTCATATTTTAAAATACAAAAGTGTTCCAATTACTGTACAGTATATTACCATATACTGTACAGCATCTACATAGTTTTTTTGCTATTACATCTTTTTACTGTTACTTTTCCCTTTTTTGTTTACCTCAGCTGTTGAAGAAAAAACTTTCATACTAGAGAAACAGTTCCTTATGAATAATTGCCATAAAACTGAGAAGAACTCCTTTGTACGAGTAAACTTATTGCACTCCTACACCACTGCTGTCTCTTACAACAAACTGTTTGGAAATGAATAAGCTGTGATGAAAAGGAACAGAAAATTATATATTAAATTACAGTATTTTGAATGATAAAAACTGTGGAAAGGACTGAGATCATTAGAACTAAATACTAACCATTGCATGTCTTCTTGTCTTGGGCGAGGTCAAAGCCAGGAGGGCAGGAACAGTAGGCTTTACCAAGGGTGTTGACACAGATGTCAGAACACCCGAAGTTATCATTTTCACATTCGTTCACATCTGATAGAATCACAGGATAAATATTAATTGTACCATTAAATACAAAATTAAGATTAAAAGACACAGTTACATTAGGTTCCTTCATGCCACTTCATATAGCAGGTTCACTCTTATCACATCTATGACTTATCATAATGTGAGCATCATAACTTTAAAAGAAAGGAAAGATTTTCTTTTAACAGGAAAGGTTTGTTTTTGTTAACCGGGGATTACAGTACTGTATAAGTGTTCAGGAACAGACCAAGTGAGTGACTTTATGTAAATGTATAACCAAAGAAAAAGTCACGTTATCAATTTTTTTTATGGGAATTAGCCCACCCGGGCACAGGTCAAACGACCCACAACAGAGCCGGGGGGGAAAGGAACGAAAGAAATTGTAAATATAGAAAAAAAAAGGTTATGGTACTGTATTAATCTACACCACAAAGAAGCCGGAAAACCAGCTTTTTAAAGTGAGACAGATTGTAAGAGCATGGAAACACAGAAGAAGGCAGAGCATTCCACAGTTTGGCTGTGTGAGGAAAGAAGGAGGTACTAAAACGGGTTATTCTTGTGTGATCGACATCCACAGAGAAACAGTGGGCACCGCGGGCAAGACGTGTGTTGCGAACTCACGGCCTTGCCAGCGGTACACAGGATGCCAAGTCCACCGAACATTGCCCGTTAAAGTACCTGTAAAAGAGAGAGAGTGAAGCAACATTGCGGCGAAGAGAAAGGGAAGAGAGATTGTCGACTAAAGGAGGAGAGTTAATAAGACGAAATGCCTTTGATTCCACCCTATCTAATAGTTGGACAGAAGAAGAGCCACACCAGATATGAGAGCAGTACTCCAAGTTAGGACGAATGAATCCCTTATATACTTGGAGCAACTGCTCAGGAGTGAAGTAGCTGCGGCATCTGTACAGCATTCCCAACTTTCAGGAGGTATCTTTAGTGTATATTAAGGATGTGTGATTTCCAGGACATATTGGAGGAAATGGTGCGGCCTAACATATTTATTTCAGAATTTGGGAGGATGATTGCGTCCTGAAATGTAATTGGTGGGAGATCGTCTAATTTACAAAGTGTCTTATGTTCTGAAACCCTTGATAGGAATTTGGGTAAACTTCCCCGTTCAAATTCTAACCTTGAAGCTTTGCTGTTACTTTACCCTAATTCTTTGTCATGGGATTCGGAACATAACGACTTTTTTCTGTGACTACATGTGGCATTTACCTGATTTAAGAATAAAGGAAAGCATCATCAATTGAATACCAAGTACTGTACCGTACTCATATACGCGATGCATGCGTCAATTTCATTCAGTACCAATTACAATATTTTTAATTAAAAAGGTATATTTTTTAGAATAAAGATGAATTTTCTATGCTAATATATCCAAATCCTCCACTTGTTTTTTTATGAGAACATCCCCAGGGGCCCAGTGCTCTTGTCTATTAAGTGGATGAAGATTTTAATGCATAAGCCAGAGGCCTTAGTCAAGAATATACTGCAAATGAATAATATAAGTAAAGACCATAAAGAAAATATATCTTCAGACTTTTTGTGTTGTCCTTGGATTATTGTTTACCTGGGATTGTTTTTCTCACCTATACAGTACAGGGTATTGTATTTTATTGTATACATGACACGAATTCCCCAAAAAATAATTCAACCAATCAATTAAAACACTAAAACCCCTCATATAAAATTTTTGTCTCAAACCGGACTAGATGGTAGAGTCTCAGATATGGATCGGAGTCTAATTTAAGACAAGACAGTCGAGAACACTCCTTAACAACCTATGCTGCAGAGCCATGAATAATGACTAACAGTGCACAAACCATATTTTTGGGCTAACTGTATAGCAAGTTTTCAGCCTATGACAAGTTTTTGGTGTAACAATAATAAGTTCTTGGTCAAACAACAACAGGATCTCAGTGTATGACAGTTCTCAGCCAACTAATAACACTGTAAACACTTTCTGGCAAAGGACTGAAAGTAAGTAGTATATTATCAACAACACACAAGCCCCACAACTCATCATCATCCCTCAGCATGTCCAATGAGTGACCGAGATATACAGTAATAGTTCTTAATTAATAATAATCTCTTGTTACATGGTTAGAGCAAAACTGCTTGATTATAAAGGAATATTGCTGCCAGGTTAACTTATAAACTTTTCTGAACTACTCTGTATACTTGGGGTTAATAAGTTCAGATTAAAGTGATTTTTAGCTTATTGTACTGTATGTGACATGAACTTTTAATCTTGGGGTGATAGTACTTGGGTCCTATTTAGCAGTGCAAAAAGCTCCTGACCATTTGTATATACTGTAGTTAACTTTGCTTTGCTGTCAGTCCCTGGAGTGTGCTATAGTGATGTTCTGCTGGAAATTCACATAATTTGGGGCTCTGCTGATCATATGCTCAACAGTCAAGGTAAACTTCATAAACAGTGAAATTCAGTAATACAACAGCTCCTCGGAGCACATTATTAACGTATTCATGGTTTTGTTAACAAGACATGATTTTTTTTGTAAAAGATGTCTCACTCTTTTCACTGAATTGAAACCAATTACTGTACCATACATCTTGGTGAGTTTTTTCTCAATGTAATAATGAGTGACAGTACATTTAACTTGAGTACAGTACAGGTAAACCTCGAGATATGATGGGGTTAGGTTCCTGAAAAATCCATCACTTGGTAAATTATAGTAAATAGGGAGCATTACAACATGGGGTCCAATGGGATACGTTCCCAGCCAGTCCCCAAACACACACATATTATCAACAAAACAATTCCTACAATACTACTCTCAGTACAAAACAATTAAACAACACTCGCCACATTTTGAAGAATAAGCCTGGTCATTATCACATGTCCCCTTCTAGGCTAAGGGGACTCTTGTAGGTGGAGTGATGTCACGCTGACTCCCACACAGCCTCTGGAGAGTCTCATGCTACTTAACTATCCTAACTATGTCAAGCTTCACCTCCGAGACACGGTTGTCTTGATGCCTTGGCCATCCCAGACATTTTCGAAATTACACTGCTCACTTCAATCTCAAAAACAGAGCAAACGATGATAACAAAAACAGTGACAGCAGCCAACACTGCTCACATTTTCAAAATAACAGTCATTGGACCTTACAGTCACAAAAACACAGAAGATATCACCACAGTCACCATAACACCGGTCAATCTAAATGTTAGTGCTGTCCTCTCACTATATAAGAAAAAAACACCAATGATAAGTACAATGTTAACAGATAATCATGGAGCCATGCGATGGCAGGTTTATGATTAACAAAGAACCAAACGCAGGGCTGTAGTGCGCGTGTTGGCCACGACCATCGTTAAAGCGGAATATCGCACCTCGAGACATCGTTTCTCGAGGTTTACCTGTACTGTATATGTTTGAGGTACATTATATAACTGCAGATAAGCCTCAAAATCAAATGGCATGATCATTATAAAATTAGTAAAACATAACAAAATTATCACTAAAAAACTAGTACTGTATTTAATATTATCTACAACACCGCCGAGTGCAGTGGTCGAGTGGATACAGTGCTTGCCTATGTTCCAGGAGTCGATGGTTCGATTCTCGGGCTGTAAATGGGTACTGTACCTAAATTTCCAACTTTGGGAAGTGATTGTGGCTGGGTGCAGTACCAGCCATGCTACCTCCTTGTGTACCAAAGGTTTAAAAACAGTTGTGCTGCATTCACACTGTCCCTAATGGACAGCCATGCCAATGGAACCTACTTTCACTTTCACAACACCACTGTAGGTGATGAATGATAGATTAATGTAGATGAATGTGAGTGATGAATGATAGATTAATGTAGATGAATGTGAGTGATGAATATATTAATGTAGATGAATGTGAGTGATGAATAATATATTAATGTAATGTAGATGAATGTGAGTGATGAATAATATATTAATGTAGATGAATGTGAGTTATTAATAAGATTAATGTAGATGAATGCGAGTGATGAATGAGAGGTGAGTGGCAAAGCATGCTGGGTGAAGGTACAGTAGAGGATGATGGGTCAAGTTGGAGGGTGATGGATGAACAGTACAGTGAGTGGACACAGACCGTTACAGCTAAGGTTATCCTCAGTCGGCATGAAACCAGAAATACACTCGAGGGGAGTTTGGACCAGCTCCTCAGCCGCAGCACAGTAGTAGCTACCTGGTGTGTTGATGCACCCGAACTCACACTTGCTCGCCACATTTTCATAATGGCACTCATTGATGTCTGTCACAAATATTGAATTTAGAATATCATTAATGCATTACAAAGGTCATGTATACAGAATAGGATATTGATCATTCATTCTAATTCAATAAAATGTACAGTATTTAGCAATACAGAATGGACAGAAATAGACCTCACCATCACAAGTTTTCCAGTCCATGGCCATCATGAAGCCTTCTGGACAAGTGCAGAAAATTTGACCAAAGGTGTTGAGGCAGATGTGTGAGCAGCCTCCATTGTTAATAGCACACTCATCTTCATCATCACAGGTGTGGTTGTCAATACCCAGGTGTGTCCCTGTAACAGACAAGAGTTAAGGAGATGGTGGCTCAAACATAGGCAATAGTAGTGTCAAGCTGGTCACTGATGTAAACAACAGCTTCATAAGTGGTATCCTTTTGGGTTCTTTACAAGTGGTAACTGTGCTACCTATTAGAGTGAGATAATGACCAGTACATGATTATATATGAGAACTTATTTATGATAAATCATGTATGACAGCCTGCCAGGTGTTTTTGACAGGTGAAAAATATTTTGGAACAAACACTGGGTGTAATTAGAGCATCTCTCACCCAACTCCAGGTGTTTTTGACAGGTGAAAAATATTTTGTAACAAACACTGGGTTTAATTAGAGCATCTCTCACTCAACTACTGTACCAAGTTGCTTAACATTAGGTACAATTATTTGCTGCTGACACTTTCAAGTTCAATAGTTATCATTTACGTGAGGAATTAAAAGATGATTAGGACTGTAAATTTTCATAAGTTTGTATTATGGCAATATTATTTATACAATAATCCAAAATGTAAGAGGGAGGAAATCAATAGGGAGATACTGTAGTTTATGTTAAGTGTAGTCAAAAATAACAATTCTGTTAAGAATAGAGACGTTTATTGTAAGGTGTTTTAAGCTTTCCCGGACTGTCGTTTAAAAATTCGACACTGTACCGCGTCTTGGGAATAACTGTTGTACAACATAGTCATCAGAAAACATTAAAAATAGGAGAACTGTTATTTGGACACAATACAGAAAGAAATACTGAAGAAAATATACTGGTATATAAAATTATGGAAATACAAAAAAGGAAAATTCCATCAATCAACAATAAATAAGAATAACACAAATAATCGGGCCCAAACTTCTTCTCTCATGGGTAAGTTCGCATATTTGTACAGGAAATACGAAGAATTTCAGGTTCGTTTTAGTCTTAATTTTTGCACTTATAGAACTGTAATCAACTTGTTCACCCTAATTTAAAGTACTCTATCTTATGAGTAATGATATTAATGTTTCAATCATCTTTTGAGTGATTATCAATATTGTTACACCAAAGTCACCAACGGCTAATGAAATCGGACAGCGCCCACTTATAAATGGGCAGAGCCAAAACAGTTTCAACTAGGCACGATCCTTTTCAATTCTTTCATGCCATACACTTTGCTTTAAGTCCTATCGAATATACTACCATATATAGAATTACTTTTATTATTATATCACAGTTTTTTATTGCCTTACATGTCCCCAACTCTTCAATATTAATCAAAATATTCTCCATAAGCGACCATGATCCGCGTATTCTGAGTGGGAGAAATCACTGATTGGTTGTTAGTTATTTAGGCCGCTTAAGGCTAACTCCTTATCGAGGTGTTAGCTTTTCCCTTTGAATGTGTCATGCGCACAGGTTAAAAACAGCATCTGTGCATACATAATAGCTAACACATTAGCTAATCCGTGCATCTGAAGCACCTTACAATAACCACCCTTAGGTCAACAGAAATAGAAGGGATAAGCTGCAACACCATTGAGGCTGTACGTGTACCTGGGGTTTCATGTCAAGTCATTGTGGGCACAAGAAGTCAGGGATCAAAAGTATCAACTGTGACATCACAATATCATATGAGGTCAAGCACAGACATACAACCCCCCCCTCCTCCCCCCTACACACCCTCTGATTAAATATGTATGGGGAGGTGGGGTCACACAGCACCTGCCAAATTCCCTCTCAAAATATTAACTTGTCAGTCAGGCACAAGGACATGAAAAATCACTTGTCCAGCCCTTAGTGTGGGTACACCTAGGCTGCCGGGCACCGCTAATCTGCACAACCTGCCATACATGATCTTGACAAACAAAACAGGTCAATAAGTATTATATGGGACACTTTTATCATTACCTCTGTACTTTGATACTTTATTGTTTTTACCTGGCATACTTCACCTTAACAAGTAGCATCAGTATCTCAGTCAGTTACCTGGTAAGTTATCGCAGGTGCAAAGGTAACCACCGTCTGTATTATAGCAGGAGTCTTGACAGGGTCCATGGCCATTCCTCAACAGACACTCGTTCTTATCTAAAAGTCAAAATTCACAGTAAAATTGGTGTACAGGGTATTTGAAATAAAAAAGATAAAATATTGTGTTGTTTAAGTTTACCTGTAATACAAATCAGTAAAATTTCACTTGTTTTCACTCCAAAAATTTTGAGAATTTTGTGGTTGCAATCAACAGTTAAAGTTTAGACAATTCCAAGACACTTTTCTTCTATAACATTTCTCTCACAAACGACCTGACCTAACCTCCCTGGAACCCTGGCATATATATGTACAGTACAGGGTATACTGTAGTTTGCGAGGGAATCATCATTGAAGAAAGTGTCTTGGAATTTTCTAAATTATTAGTTGCGTCAGGATATGTCCGCTTCCGGCCTCAGTGTGAGCGGGCCCTAAATCGTATGCCAGTGTTTGCAGAATAATTTACCCAGTAGGTGAGTACTATAAGAGGCCCAGCATGAAAAACTGCATTAAAAATGTTTTTGGCATTTTTATAGTAGTTCACACGACTTTCCTACCCCAAATCTTTTATCATATTAAAAAAAAGACATCTAATTTTAAGATAATTTTCTTCTATTACATTACCGTCGCAAACGTATACCCTAATAACGGAGATAACGCATGCCAAATCATTCTCTATTTTCTTCCATTTATCTTCTGCCATTACTGCCTACCCGACCTCCCACTCAGCGTGTTCCCTTCATAAATCGCCATGCATATGCGTTTCCCATACACGTCATGCGGCCAATCAAAAGATATTTTTTTTTGCCACAATTTAAAATGAATTGTGGTTTCTGCATTTACAATTTGCAGTAATTTTTGCCCAATCAGATTCGATTGTGATTTTGGGTCTCATATTTTGAAATTCAAATTCATTTCCGACCATGGAAGTCAGCGATGGGTGTCACTTCAATTATATGGAGTTAATTTACCGGTGAGAGTTTGGTTAAGAAAAAATCACCACGAGAGTTAGGTGGTAAATTTTTACGTTAGGACACGAGTCTCTAGGGGTTGACCAATATGTTTTTCCAGTGTATTTTGGTGTGTTTTAAAGGAATCTGACCTTCAGTTTTGGCGGAAATTGCTAGTTTCACCCCACCCCCCCAACAATAATGAGGGGAGAGCCTGGGAAATCGGGGTTTTTGGGTGGGGGAGAAGACGAGTCATCTGACCTAACAAAACCTAACTAACCTAACTCCTTGCATGGGGCTCTGACCCCAGACCCCCTGCAGGCCTAATCTGACCCCTAGCCGGGGGCGGACCCCCGGTAAGCCTAGCTTAAACTAACCTAAATGTTTCAGTAGTTGAAAACTTTGGGCGTCATGTCCGAAAGTACAATACCTTAATTAGAAGTGGAAGGAGCAGGGATACGTAAGAATTGGATAGAATAATCGTCTTTCTCGTAAAACTCGGAAATAAACTTAAAATAATCGTAGGATCACAAACGACAACCAACCTCCACCACGGTCATTGTGAAACAGGTCAATGAAATTAAAATCATACCCAGGCTGCTTCCTTTCAGAAAAATCAAATGTCACGACTGGATGACGTCAGTCAACAGGGCGCATGAGTGAGGCGCAGATAACATCTCACAGTGAAGACTGAAAACTACTTAAAATCAATTAAATTCAATGATGTCGCTATTATCTATTTCCGCCATTGGAAGAACAAATACTGTCAATGTATACAGCCTTAACAACTTCAACCTAGAGAAGTCGACTTGTGAAAGAGACCTAGGGGTACTTGTAAGCCCGGACCTACGGCTTAGAAAACAGTGCGTTAATGTTCGAAATAAGGCAAACAGAGTATTGGGTTTTATCTCTAGAAGTGTAAGTAATAAGAGTGCAGAGGTCTGATTGCAATTGTATCTTGCGCTAGTCAGGCCGCACCTCGATAATGCGGTTCAGCTCTGGTGCCCCTATTATAGAATGGATATCAATTCACTAGAGACGGTGCAGCGAAGAATGACGAAAATGATTCCGGGACTTAGAAACCTTCCATATCAGGATAGGTTAAAGAAACTAAACTTGCATTCCCTAGAAAGACGAAGAGTGCGGGGAGATATGATAGAAGTATTCAAGTGGGTGAAAGGAATCAATAAAGGGGATATAGATAAAGTTCTTATAATATCCGAGCAGGATAGAACTCGGAGCAACGGATTCAAGTTGGAAAGTTTAGGTTTAGGAAGGAGATAGGAAGGAACTGGTTCACAAATAGGGTGGTGGACCAGTGGAACAAGCTTAGCAACTATGTAGTAAGTGCTGGAACGCTGGAAAGTTGCAAAAGGAGACTGGATAGATCCATGGATGATAGAGAGTGGTAGTAACTCTAGACAGGAGCTGCCATGCACAGGCCAACCGGCCTATTGCAGACTCCTTATTTTCTTATGTTCTTATGTATATATGGGGTTCAAAATGCTTAGAATTGCGAGATCTAAATGTTTCAGTAGTTTATAAATTTCGGGGCCCCATGTCCGAAAGTAAAATAATACAGGTTGTTAAGTCAGGTTAGGTTAGGTAAGGTTAGGTCAGGTTTGGGTTGTGTGTTTTTCTTGTTTTTTTTTTATTTTTTTAATTATCTGGCCATGATTTTTGTCGGAAAACGCCACACCCAAAACCTCATTGCCCAACAGGATCCCCTGTCTTGTTGGGGGTAGAAAGGAGCGATAACTAAAAAAAAACAGGCAATTTCCGACGGAAATCAAGGTCAGAACCAATCAAAACACACAAATACACACGAGAAAACATAGTTTTGACTTTCTAACAGTTGTGTGAACTACTATAAATTTACCATCGTGAACCTGACACCAAGCGTTTATGGAATAATTCCCAAAATAATGGACGTCGACCACATTCCAAGCTCAAAATAAGAAAGGGTACGTTGGAAAATACTGTAATGCCCAACACGTGTTGCACAATATGACTCAATTCAATTGTTTTTATTTAATAGAAAAATTGCCACAAAAGCGGTTCCAATTACATATGATTGACAATTAAATATTCATTCACTTCTAAACAATTTAAAATGATATATGGTGTAAATAAACACAAGTTAATTAAAAAGCTCTTATTCAATTTACAAATTCTAACCATCAATGGTTAATAATAATAGAACATTCATGGCGATATTTCCAGGGGGGGAATAATTACAATACAATAAATGGCTCACAACATAAGTGAATACTCACCTATACAGGTCTTGCCATTAGTAGCAAGGCTGTAGCCCTTGCCGCAGCGGCACTGGCGAGAACCCAACTTGTTGACGCAGGTGCCCACACAGCCTCCATTGTTCACCTCACACTCGTCTATGTCTACACACAATATAGATTCAGTAAAGAATATGAAGAAAAATACCAAAGCAGTCAACATGAATTTGAGTAATGGCATGTACAAGCTGGACAATTTTGTAATTAAGAAGATTTGTAACCAGGTAAGAAGGTTGGGTCACCTTACCTTCTGACCTGACTACCGACCGTTGCTGTGCTTTTCAAAGATTAGTAGGGTCATTACCTAATACCTGACCATTGTGGACCTGATCTCACCCTCCTCTCTATATATACGCCTTGTTTTGTACCTCCCCTTAGTCTGTACTCACCCCTGAAGATGTGAATTACACGAAAGCGCTTGGGAACTTCGTGTTTTCTTCTTTCCTTGTGGTTATCAGCATATACCTAGATCACGCGCACCCACAGTGATTTACTTGCATGAAGAAAAATATGGAGTTTGGTTTGTATTCAATGTATCTTGATAAAATCACACGGGAAAACGGAAACAACGGAGTACCTTAGCTTTCGTCTTTATTCAAGACATCTTCAGAGGTAACTGTATTACATGGACAGAGAGAGGCTTAAATATACAGGGTGACCTTAAAAACATGAGGTCAGGTCATAATGATGTCATCCACTAATCCCCACACCAACACACACGTAGAGGAGCTTAAGAGAAGGGGGCGACGTGACTAGTCAGGTCAGGTCACAAATAAGGGACCCACTAAATAACTATCCTACTTCTAGATCCTGGTTCTTACCTGGTTACAAATCTTCTTAATTACGAAATTATCCAATTTGCACATACCATTGCTTAAATTCATGTTGACGGATTCGGTATGTTTAATGAGACTAGATTCTATAATGTTCCTACTGTCAATTGAATTACAAGGTAATATTGAGGAGGCATTATCCCAGTCAATGCAATGTTTATTATCCCTCAAATGAACAAACAGAGCATTAGTTTCCTGGCCTGTCCTAACACTATATTTATGTTGTTTAAGTCTAGTTACAAGATCTTTACCTGTCTGGCCTAAGTAAAACATATTACATTCCTTGCAAGGAACTTTATAAATACAGTTTTCTTTTTTCCTTGTGGTTATCAGCATATACCTGGATCATGCGCACCTACAGTGATTTACTTGCATATACTGTATATATATATATAAGAAAATGTTAGTTGCAATATATATATATATATATATATATATATATATATATATATATATATATATATATATATATATATATATATATATATATATATATATATATTGCAACTAACATTTTCTTATCCTAAAAAGTAGAAACGAAATGAAATAACTTTTAAATTGGCCATAAAATAAAAACAAATCCACCCGAGTTGAACGAAGAAATGTTGACAGTACTTTTAAGGGAAGAAACCTGAATCACAAGTGCTCGCAGAGCCGTAAGGCTCACAGACGGTAAAAACACGGTCACCACAGTATCAACTCTGTTTTATTTTGTTTAACTTTTAACGAGGGAAGAAGCCGGTGGCTTGTTTAATTTCCCTATTGTTCCTGATGAATTTGTACAGGCAGGGTCTCTAAGATGTTACATAAATATAAATTTGATAAAGAGGTAGAGTAAAATACAAAATAAAACATTTTTTCTTTCAATCTAAAAGTATTAAATGATGGATTATGGATGCCCTTTAGGCAACGTCGTCCGATTAGCAACATTGTTACAGGAGCTCCAACAAGCAGGCAGCACGGATTCAAGTTGGATAAGTTTAGGTTTAGGAGGGAGATAGGAAGAAACTGGTTCACAAATAGGGTGGTGGACGAGTGGAACAAGCTTAGCAACTTTGTAGTAAGTGCGGGAACTCTGGAAAGTTTCAAAAGGAGGCTAGATAGATTCATGGATGATAGAGAGTGGTAGTAGCTCTCGACAGGAGCTGCCATGCACAGGCCAACCGGCCTATTGCAGACTCCTTATTTTCTTATATTCTTATGTTCTCCTGACTCCATTACGGTGTTTAGGCAAAGTAGATCGAATGGGTAGTAGCATACTAAACGTATAAAATCTATCAAAAGGGCCCATTAAATAAACCCTTGCCCTAGGCCCTTTTTTATAATAAGTTCAGCCCTGAAACTGTACAATAGGAAACCGGAGTACCCGAAGAGAAACCAACAATGCTTGTGTGTCACACTGGCTAACTCTTATCACATCTGACCCGGGGATTGAACATGGGATGCAATGTCGATAGGCAAGTGCTCCCGCTGTATCACTGAAAAAGTGAAAGTGTGTCCCATAGGCATGACTGCCCGTTCGGGACAGTGTGAATACAGCACACTGTATACAAAACTTTAGTTGCAAGCTGGAAATTCCCGAGGATCAAACCACCGACCCATGTAACAGGTGAGGAGCACTGCATCCACTCACTGGACAGCTGTTACGGTCTATATTATTAACACCCCATAAAACACTAAGCAACCCCTGGTGGGACTCGAACCCACAATCCTTGGCTTAGGAGGCCAATGCCTTATCCATTGGGCCACAGGGGCATATGTTAGATTTATTGTGTTATTCAATATATGTATGGCGTACACAACGTGTAATAGGTAAAGTTAAGTAAGATGTAATTTAGATTGGTGGTGGGCAAACCTGGCAGTCAGCATTACATGTTATGAGGTCGTGGACTCAGCCTCCACGTGCACCTACGGTTAACTTAAGGAAGACTGTACAGTACTGTATTAGTGCTCATCATGATCATTAGCACCATCCGGCTTAAAGGATAACATTTATTATTATTCTTAAAATCTATGTAACCAAACTGTGAAAAAAATTATAACTTAATAATAGGAGCTGATTAACTGGGACTAGGCAATAGCTTCGTAGGGAAGATAAAATATTATCTTGGACCAGAACTCTTCAGACCGACCGCCCAACCGGCTAGTGAGCTGATGAATGGTGAAGTGTGTTCCTGGTAGAACCCAACAACAAATTTGTCTTACCTAAAGACTGGGCACAAACCAAGAATTGTATGTGAGAAATAGGAAAAACGTATTACAAAGCTTACTTATTAAAAATTCCACACATTACCCCCTGGATTACATAATAGCGCTACACAGTTTCAGATTGCACTTATTCATCAAGGCTTCACGGGCTGATCCAGGAATATCAAAAGAGAGTGGTCCGGGAAGTTGTAGGGATAGGGGGGCGGGGGTATCCAAGAAGTTGTGGGTGAGGAAACATGGAGAGCACAGCGAGCCCACCTTGCTGTTTTTCTTTTGGGGGGCGGGGGGGGTCACTGTTGGCTCCCCAGAATTTTTGTGAAATCTGACCAATATATCATGGGCATTTTAAGCCCATTTTGTGGCCATATGCACCTGATATTAGGAGATATTCTGAAGTAATTACATTTTACTATACAAAAAACGCCTCAGTACAATATCGCATTAAAGAAAAAATATTGAAATTTTTCCTATAAAAAGGGGGACGGGTCCGGACCCCAGGATCCCCCCCCCCACACCCCCTGGAACCGCTTTGCTCCAAACTTGTCTACGTATGGTATAATGGTATAATAATTACAATATCGGTTTGCTAAAAATTTTAATAAAAAACCTTTAAAAATAATAATGATTATCTTTTTGTGGAGGGTCATAAAGTATAGTCATTAAACTGACACTAATTGGACTATGTTGAGCAGGTTATTAAATTCTACATTATTTATTTGGCAGAGCATACAAACGCATTTCTCTCGCTCAAGAGACTTACCTTGACAGTTAAAGCCGTCTTCAGCGAGCGTGAAGCCCTTGTAACAGAGGCACTGACTACCGTTGCTGGTGGGCTCACAGATCTGTTGACAGCCACCGTTGTCGGCGCCACACTCCCCGCTGGTCGCCTGGTGAGCTGTGGCGGGATGATAGTTGGTGGTGGTGGATGGACAGGGTAAGGTAGGGAAGATAAAAGAGGGAGGGAAGAAACAAAAGAAAGAATAATGGAGGGAGGTTAAAAGACACCCAAGCCAGAGAAAAAAACAACCCAATGATTATAGACTAAAATAAAATGCAATAGAATATAATCAACATCAATCTTAAAAGGCCTCGTAGAGTAAACTGGTCCCCATGATACATAACAGGTATGGTCTCAGTGGAATACATTTTCCCTTTCATTTGTCAACGGAAAGGGAAAGCAAGATTATCTGTTCACTTATAGGTATAGGTACTTTATAATTAATTAATTACATTTAATGCTAAACTAAAATATAATTTTCCACGTGCCTTAGGGTAAAAAAAAAATCTACATCAGCTTGTTCAGACGTCCTGTAGGCTGCAGCAGAGTAAGTTATACACACTAATAATATAGTCTGTTGAATAATATACATATCTTGAGATTAAATAGTCTATAACATTATCTGAATAAATCCCTTAAGGAAAAAAGAACTTCGTGTTTTTCTTTTTTCCTTGTGGTTATCAGTATACCTGATCACGCGCACCTACAGTGATTTAGGATATATATATATATATATATATATATATATATATATATATATATATATATATATAAATATATATATATATATATACAGTATATGTTTGTGCGTATGATACAAAGAACATCAAACGCCGTGTCTTACATGTGGTGTTCACTCTTGTTCTCTCGGTAGAACTCGTGGCTCTAATAACATGTTCAACAACAGTGATAACCATATGAACACCTATCTTACATAAACAGTAACACCAACAACAAAAACCATTCATAACCTGAGGTGAGAAGAGAAGTTAACCAAAATTGGTAACGCGGTCGTCTTGTGAGAAATGTATCCCAAGAATTGGTAGCCACGAGATGTGAGTCATATTGCATCATGAATATTGTATGAACGGACACGTTTGCGGAACGCCAGGAGCCGCTGTGGCCGTAGATTAATGCTCGATGCCTACTCATGTGACACTAGGTTTGTTGTAACTGTGGGGAAGAGTTAAGTTCCATGAGAAGTAAGATGACATGTTTTGCTTCCATCCTGTCTTAAGTCGCAGTTCCATACATGCCTGTCTGTCAGCGGTCTCGATCACAACAATCTATTACGTATGTGACTGGCTGTACAAAAGTGATTCAAACCCACAACAACGTTATTATCAAGGAATTACGTCTCAGCTCTATTCACTATGAATATGTGTAAAAGACTATAAACTTAAGCGACTTATGTACAATTAATTCTAAGTTTGTTATGGGTCATGTTGTGTGATTTACCTTGGTTAATATGATATTTAAGATTGTGTGTGATAGTTGAGTTGAGCCATGTTTGTGGCGCGTTATCAACTCAGAAACAAACACAGAGGTTAAGCCTACCCAAGTAACTTCATCCCTTTAACTCTACTAATCCCTGATAATTCAACCTGAGTTCTGTCTGAAGCCAAGTCTAATCATTTCACTTCAGTTTAATTCGTGAAAAATATTATTATGGTGCATGATTTATAAAGAAAGATAATAAGTCTATCGCCTACACAAAGCTGAATTTTCTAAGCCTCTGACGATTTTATCTCGAAACATAAATATTATCCTGGCTTTCATTCGCATATACAGAGTGGGTAGGGGAGGAGGCAGGACAGGAGAGGAGGGGCGAGAAGGGGAGATCAGTACTGGGCGCCATCACACCTTGTATAGCCACACGTACGATTTACGAGGGGTCAGTGTGCACGGCAGGGTTACCGCTTCTCTCACACTCCTATTATGGTACTGTACATCTCACACTCATATTAGGGTACTGTACATCTCACACTCATATTAGGGTACTGTACATCTCACACTCATATTATGGTACTGTACATCTCACACTCATATTAGGGTACTGTACATCTCCCACTCATATTAGGGTACTGTACACCTCCCACTCATATTAGGGTACTGTACACCTCCCACTCATATTAGGGTACTGTACATCTCACACTCATATTAGGGTACTGTACATCTCCCACTCATATTAGGGTACTGTACACCTCCCACTCATATTAGGGTACTGTACACCTCCCACTCATATTAGGGTACTGTACACCTCCCACTCATATTAGGGTACTGTACATCTCCCACCTGTATCTGCACGAGGGGGATGGCGCATGGTTAATGTTGGGGGGGAGGGTGAAGCCATGAGAAAAAAAACATATACCTGTACCTGTATACGTACTCTGTATTGATTTTTTTCTTTATTAGGAAATTTTCAATAAAATTGTTTAACATTATTTTTTTTTTAGTATATTTCAATCTTCCCCCATATGCACGAGATGGTGACCGGATAAAACCCCAACGGACAAAACCCCAGTCTCATATATAAAATAAAACACTTTTATGTTTAGGTTAGGCTAGGTTAGGTTAGGTTAGATTAGGTTAGGTTAGGTTAGATTAGTGTTGATAAATGACAACCCCGTTGGGGTTTTGTCCGTTGGGGTTTTGTCATGGAACCACACGAGATACATGGGTAGTTTTAATTACGAGCTAGATGATTTTGAAAGTAATATAAATACGAGAACAAGTATAAAAGTGATTGAAAGTTCATTAAATTTATCTAAAAAAAGGGGGGGGGGGTTGGTAGAAAGGTTTAGGAACCACTGAGTCCTCGCGTGTCTAAGAAAATGAATATTTGTTCAGTTGATGTACAGTGCTAGAAACTATTTTTGGACGACTTAAGGTGCCATTTTAACATTTGGAGAGATAATATTTTCTTGACTGTATTTGCATTTCATTACTTAATTACGACATCATGATAATATTAAACTATCACAGATGTAACAACTCTTCTTAGTGTTACAAATTATTCAAGCAGTGTTGCTCATAAAACTCACATCTCCTCGAATGAGCAAAACTTAAAATATTAATTATATTTTTAACTGCCAGAAAGAATGCACTTAAACAACTAAGTCATTTTAAGAGTGTAACAAATTGAAGTTGACTCTTGAACTGACCCAGATCGTAACACAGTGGGTGGCTGTTGGCTACAAAACAGGAGAATTGTACATGGAACGGAAAGATACTTTGTTAACAGGATCCTGTGAACTTTACGTTGGCATGTCTCGTATTGACCAAACACTGCTGGTCTGGCCCAAGGTATATAAAGATCACATGTAGGCGTGACGTCAGCCGGTGGCGCCTCACCCCGCCAGCCAGCTTTGATTTGTCAATGAGAAATGGGTAGGACTAAGACATATTCACATTTTTCTGCGGTTTTGTCTTATTTTAGGATATACTTCATAATCGTAAGATACATACTTTATTCTAATGCTACTGTTATGGTAAACCGTAATACAGAGTCTTCATGGAGAAAATAGGCCAATTATTGTAAAAAAAAAAACCCAGTCAAGTGCAAATACGGTTACAAAGACAAGTCATTTCTAGTATCTCCTATGGCGTCCGGAATATACGAAACAATTACTGTACCAAGGTGATTCATCTGTCACACTGCTTCAACCTTACAGAAATAACTGTTACGACAACTCCCACCACGGAGATGATAGTTACGACAAGTATAATAACAACTGCTACATAGACATATTATTACAAGAGCTACCACGACAGAGACAACTGTTAAGATAACTACGACTAATACCACCAGACAACTTATGTGTTGATCACATCTCCCGGTACTGTGTCACTGCTCTCCTCTGACCTTTGTACATTGTTTAACTTTACTGAATTTTCTCAGTGCAACTTAACCTTTATATTTTGTGCGGAGAGAGAGAGAGAGAGAGAGAGAGAGAGAGGACTTGTGTACAATTATCCAATAAAGACCACAATTCGCAAAATTATTACTAAGGGATAAAATGATGGATTTTCAACTGCAAAATGTCGCTAGGCTTGAACAGGGGTGATAATTACCTGCCAGGTTAAGAAAACGGCCAGTGACTTACAAGAAAAACAATCTTATGTCACGGCATTAAGGGGGAAGGCATGTTGGTGTCAGCTAATGATATATGAACGTTGCTTATAAGGATACACAAATAACAGTAAGTATAAGCTAATGACAGGAGCCAATACACTGTAAGTGAGGTTATATTTGTCTACATAAACTGTACTCAGTTTATCTGTAGTATTTTGGACGAGTGAATGGCTGATATATAAGGCACGATAGCAGAATATGTGTCCATAATGAGCATTGAGAAGTTGTTTCGTCTCAACCTGGTGTGAGAACGAGTCTTGTGAAGTTTAAAACCGAAACCTCTGGTATTAAAATTATTAGTATCAGTGGCGGACAGGGCAGCCTCACGCTATAACATGTTGAAGGTCTCGATCATGTCCCCGGGTGTCTTACTGCACGATGTTGAAATCTTCAGCCTCAGAATATCTCCATAACTCATTTTTTTTCAGACCAGGTATTAATGGCTTCGTACACGTCTGAACATCCTCAATTACGAAGACGTGTTTTACTTTGTGGTAATGCCATACTGCAGTACTTAACTCTCAATGTGCTCTCACCAGGACCTCACACAATCATATGTTTTATTTACATCCGGTTGGGCTGGGTCAAACCCCCATCTTCTGTCTCGTCTTATTAACTTTTATCGTTTACATGATCTTGAAACGTCAATTTACTGTCAGCTTTTATTCTCACGTTCTTCTTCTCTATCCTCATTAACTCAAGCAGCTAATTTTCGTCCTTCATGAAATATTCTCTATAGATTTCTTTTTCTCTCCTTTATCCATCTATAGGTGTCTCTCCACTATCTTCAGGTCTCCCTTACAGAAACTTCAAAGGAGGGAAAATAACTGGGAGAGTAAATGTAAAACTTGTGGGGGGAAATAACATAAAAAGGGATAAGATAACAGGTAGAAATATTGTTTTAACTAAACTCACCTCTCGTTCATTTCACCCTAATGCACTTTCATCCATTCGGTTTCCCATTAATTTCCCTTCCTGTATTACTTCTCCAAACTCCTGTAGTAATGCTCATTAAACTATCCCTCGCTACTGTCCTTCCCGATTCTCTCTCCATTAGTAACCTGAAACACCTTAACCCCTCGAGTACAATCACATAATCTCTTAAGTCAACAAGTTATCATGCTCGAGGGGTTAAGTCATCGAAATCAAGAGGTTAAGTCATTGTACTCATGGTACTCAAGGGCTTAAGTAACCGTACTCAAGGGGTTTAATCATCGACCTCGAGGGGTTAAATCATCGTACTCGAGGGGATGTTATCGTACTCATGGGATTAAATTTCACATCCACCTGAGAGTAGTCTCACTCGCTCTCTTCCCACTAATAATGCACTTTTGACAAATCCTAATCATTATTGTGTGATTTTATTATAAAATGGAAGTGGTTCAATTTTGAGATGGCTACTACCGTAAAGTACGCTTTAGATCCTGCGCCAAGTGAAGTGAGATGTCCGTTGTCATTCTGGCGTTATTTAACTTCATAAGTACAGCTGAACCGTTGCCTATCCAACTACACATAAATCATCCTTGGGAGACTCAACTGCGGCTATTTTTAAATAAAGTTACTCACTCGAGAAGGTTTCGAGGCAAGGCCTTTTAAGGGAAACCGGGCGTAAAACGTACATAAAAAATCTCGTAAAGCTCTGAGCCACCTCAATGGCTTCACACTCACTATCAGGTGGTCATAGTTAATCTGATTTGTATAATTATAAATGAAACCCCACAGGTAAAATATGGCCATATTGCAGGTTACGAACATTTTCACAGGATATGTAGTACAAATGGTTTAAAATCCTCTCAGAAAAGACTGCGCCAAATACAGTACAGGGTACAAAAATATTGAGCACGGCTGGGAGATACAAACTTGTTGACCACAGCGGCCGTGCCAGGGGAGCGACGATGGCCCAGTGGGCGTCTTTATCGTTTATCACAACAACCTGGTCATGTTACCTTTTGATCATGGTTTCTTACGAGTGTGTTAATCTGTCCTTTGAAAGAGTGTACAGGTATTTCTTTTCCGCTTATTTACTTTAGTGTTTTCAATAATCGTCATACTTTGACCATATATAACTAGTACATATAAAACATGGACCACGTTCAGTTCTGCGAGTTACACTAATTACTGCCGTTATAATCCAAATTAAGCAAATGAAACTATAGTATACTACAGGGGCGGATCCATTGCAAAAAACTAGGACTAACGAGTTTCTAGAGGTGTTTTGTTCATTCGCAATAACGACCTTTTTTTTCAATAGACAAAGATGTTAATCACTTTGTTGCAGTGTTGGAATACTATCACAAAAAGAGTGTCAGCTTCCCTTATCATCGGACATTGTTCCGGGCATGTGGACCCACCACTGTACAAACTCCCTCAATGTTTGTATTTACATTCCTATTTTCTTCACGGGACTGTATTCTTCGCCACATTTGCAGTGACTCAGACTAGCAGGTGTGATTATAAGACAGTATAAATTGATGGCGTACATATTGATGTTTTAGATGTGCAAATTTTTCAAGGGATTTTAAACAGAAGCTTCGAGGACATTTGTGATTAACCTGTATTTTTCAGGTGTATATTGAGTCAAGTGTAATTTGTATGGGAGAAAAACAATAATTATACCCAGAAGAGGTAAAAGAGAACGGCGATGAATTAAAGAGACAGTCAACGAGTGGTTTATGGAGTGTGGTGACCAAGTTTCCTTTTTTCATAAGGAGGTGGAGTTAAAGCGTGTAGGTGCCTCTCCATGTTGAAGATAAACTGACCGTCACATACTGTAAGTGTAAGACATTTTTATATGCAAATGTGTAAGTAATTTAAAACTTACTGATGTTATAACGTATCATCACGCTTTATCAACAAAAGTATTCGAGAGTGTACCGATTGTTACGTTACGCACTTGTTATGAATTATAAAAAAATAAAGATATAGCGAACTAATAAATCATTTTTATTTATCTTAAGTGCACTATTAGTAAAACACAACAATAAACTGACAAAATAGTTGGCAGGAAATTTATAATGGTTCTCTTCATAATCTGAATCGTGACAATATCCTGCTATACATTTTCATTGTGGAAAAAACAACTTATCAAATTTCTCAGCCAGGAAACACAAGAGCTCGGAACACAAATTGCTTATAATTATGTCGTCTTAGCCACCAACATCATTTAGTTACTAATAAAATGCACTGTACAGGTATTATTAATCCTAGAAAAAGTAACATGAAATAGGATACAGTGTTTGTAAATGCACCAGGCGTCATGTGGTATTTAAATGATTAAAATATCTTATTGTCACAGAGAACCAATAACTACAATCACTCTGTCAAAAGGGAATTTTTTTTAAATGTGAAAGCTAGAGGCGAGGAAGATCAAGGTAACAGGCACTTGTGTCAAAGTTGTGTGGCACAACAAGGGTGGAACAAGATAATTAATGGCCCCAAGTCAAAACATGGGTGGGTTCAGATTATTGCCCTGATTTGCTACGAACAGTAAGATAATAATCATCACTAATATTAACTTAACCTAGTCAGAGAAGTAAATTTAAAATATTAATCTTAAAAAATAAAAAAATGCTCCTACAAAGTCTAGAACGACAAAACGTATACAGTATATCCAGAAATGATGTCGACTTGTGACTGACAATATATTCATCTTCCGAAATGCAAATACAATTACAGTATTTGTATGTGGAGTACAGTGGCAAAAGTGAGGTTACGCGCCTCCTGTAAGCGACTAAGAAACTCCCATATAGTTACAGGAAAGCATTGTAATGTACACCATCTGTGGGTCACCCTTATGACCTGAGTAATAAAATTTGCTACAACTTAATGCTGTTAAGATCATCTCGAAACCAGCTTAAACTTTTTTTAGCCCGAGTTCATCAATGGTGATAAAACTCAAATACTGTATTTATCAAATATTATCAAGTAAATCAATTTCTGGAGAAGTAAGGAACGTACTAACACAACTAACCATCTTTATTCCATAGCAGCACAAGTACTCAGGAAAAATAAATGCTAACTGCAATATAATTGTTGTCTCTTGCTAACTCCTTGTATAAAATTAAAGATTTTCTCGCTTCAATATTTTATGTTATGCAAACTTGGCAAGTCAACAGGCGTTTTATTTACACCATCTTATCTCTTAGTGGCAGTAAGTGGTCCACTCCTCACACGTGGGAGGAGAAACAAGTCTTCAGCAAATGTTCCCAAAGTTGTTGTGCATTTGGTCGGTAACCAAACATTCTCTATGTAACCTCTATGGTGAATTCTGCATAAAAGCATATTTGATGTAGATGACGAGCCATTATTATCCATAATTACAGATCGAAATATCCCGCGGGTCTCTGATGAAATATGTGAAATATCCCAGAGGCGTGAGTGCGAGGCTGCCAACTGGTCACCTTCAGGATCCCTTAATTTTTCGTCCATCAGATAAGGTCGATAATGAGTTAATACGATAATTCAAGGGTTAATAATATTCATAAAGATTTAATAGGCATCCTCCACGAAATTTACTTAAAATATGAGCAGGTCTGGAGCTACAAGTTGACGGCTGATTAGACGCTTGTCAGTCAGGATAATTTAATAACCAGTCTCCTGCAGTTTAAATTATATGTTTATATACTAAAGAAGGTATCTAAATGATAAGCTTGGGTTAGGGCGAGGCTTGGGGGTACTTTTATACGGCAAAAGAGCTGATTAGTGAAGGAATCAATTTACGTTAACAAATCATTTACGGGTCATTGCTAGTGGGAGAGCCTAGCTTGACCATGTACAGTACATAATAATGCTTTTCTTTAGGATAATATACAAAATATTTGTTGTATAGCTATTTCCATGAATTATACTGTACAGCAGGGAAAAGGATATTATATTTTTAATGTATGAATTTTGGAACTATACTTCTGAAGTACGTTTTTATGAGAATAAATTTACATCAAAATAATATAGGAGGACACTTTGGAACTCGTCCTAGGAAATAAACACAAGGCTGTGGAAAGTGTGAGGGACAAGGACTTACCGTAAGCGACACAGGTAGGGAGAACTCCCAGCCATTTATCCCTCTTACAGAAGACTCTGTTGCTGAAATCCTCGCCCAGTCTGTAGCCGAACTCGCATTCATACACCGCCTCCACATATTTGTTGTTTGGAGGCGCTGGGTTGGTAACACTGTGGAGAAACCCGTAATAGACAATTCAGGAAAATGTTGGCGATGATGATATTAGATAATAAACGATTATAGATAAATGGAGAAAGGGTTTATTATTAATTTGGATAATGTCAAGTCCGGGATAACATGCAGGCGTGACAAAGAACTTACGCGTGGAAAGCCGTGACGCGGGCGTTCTTGACCCTAGGAGGCTGGAGATAGAGGGCATCAGTCTCAGAGATAACGCAGGACTGGTCCAGCTCGTTGAAGTTGATGTCCTCCGTCTCAATAAACCTGGCGGGTGGAATATGAATTGCTCACCTGGTCAACGACAACATACTATCTTAACAGTCGAGAGTTTTAAGGTTATAAAAGCAGTGTTTTGATATACTGAAAGAGACAGAGAAATGTGTTGGACTACATAAGGATAGTTAACAGCGAGATGTGTGGGCCTTATTCTTTGGAATGGTGCACAGAACATGCAAGGTTTAAGATAAGAGAAATGGCATAAGGAAACTGGCGTCTCACCTGGTATTCGGAGATATTTTTCCATCGCCCAAGAACCTGTCTGTTGGATAACCTTCAGGGAGGCCCTCGGGAAGTTCACCCTTCTCGTTCTTGTCTTTTATCTCGTTCGAGTAACTTTCGGGGTTCTCAATGTAGGTGTCTTCGTCCAGGTAGGTATAGTCGTCGTCCGAGGTAGGATATTCTGTAGCCGCGTCTTCCCTGCGCTCCACAGTATTTTTAACAACTTTATCTTTCTTCTTACTTTTCTTTTTCTTCTTTCGTTCGCTCGACATGGCTTCTACACTCCTCTCGAAATCTGTGAGGAAATCTTCTTCTGCAGTGCTTAAGAGGTCGCCTCCTCTGTAAACAGAAGTCGGTGACTCAGGGACGAAGTTTACAATTGTGTCTTCCGCTTCACGTCCATATATGGTATACCGAGACTCGACGGCGCTGTAGGACGAGTCTTTGGGATAGCCGGTAGATACCTGAGGTGTGTCTGTCGTAGTGGTGGTGGTGGTGGTGGTGGTGGTGGTGGTGGTGGTGGTTGTAGGTGGTGATGTAGAAGAGGTCTCTGAAATTGTTTCATCATCGTTGTTATCCGATGACCCAAATTCATTCTCGCCAGAACTGCTAGTTGGCCTACGCTTTCTTCCTCCTTTTCTTTTTCTCTTTTTCTTTTGTCCCTCGTGCAGGTTTGGAAGGACCTCGTTGGCGATCTCATTATCATCGTCTTCTTGATCGGCAACAGTGGCAGGCCTGTCGGTGTTATTGCTCCATATATCCAGGTCGTTGTCTAAGCGACTGTTTTCTTCACTTCTGTTATTCTTTTTCTTGTCTTTTCTGCCCTTTCTTCTCTTTTTCCCTGTGGTGATAAAATATGAAAGTTTCTCAAAAAAATATTAGGATAAAATAGTGTAAAGTGAACAAGAAACACTGTGCTTATTTAGATTACGAAAAAGAGCTTCTATATAAACCTTGTCGATCGCCTTTCCTTCCTTGTTTACGATCCCTGTTTCCTCGATCCTTCCTTCTCCTCTTCTTCCTCCTCTCTTGTAGGATCCTGGCCAACTCTACCCGTCGCTCCTCCACCGTGACAGCGATGTCCGTGGCACCATCACCCTGGTTCACCTCATTGACTGAACGGTCCAAGTTGTCAACACTTGTGGACTCTTGCTGAAGTGAAAAGTGCCTCAGGTAATATTAATGAGTAATATCTACTTATTTATTTTTCCAATGCACGAAGAAAATATAAGATAAAAAAAGCCATTAATAGGAGGATCGAGTTTTAAGATGGATACTGGATGACTGCAGAATAAAATGTACATCTAAAAAAAAAAACAGTTGGAAAAGAATTAGAAAAAAATTGTAATAAAACCATCAGTAATGTCAAGGCACAAATCACAATACCTCTTCTTCTGTCTTCCTTCTTCTTCCTCTATGTCCATTCCGATCCTTTTTCCTTTGTCTTCTCTCCTTCCTCCTCCTCTTCCTCTCTCTCCTTCTTTGGATTCTGTCTAATCTCTCCGAATCGTCATCCTCGTTGGTGGTCACAGTGACTGTCTCGCCTGGGGCACCGTCCACGTCTTCCCGGGTGGTCGAGGACGTGGAGTTGTCAGCCCCGTCCTCGTCTCTTGAACCTGGTGACTCTTGCTGTAGGTAGAGGGCAGGGGTGGTGGTGAGGTGTGGTGGTGGTGGTGAGGTGTGGTGGTGGTGGTGGGTGGTGGTGGTGGTGAGGTGTGGTGGTGGTGGTGAGGTGTGGTGGTGGTGGTGGTGAGGTGTGGTGGTGGTGGTGAGGTGTGGTGGTGGTGGTGAGGTGTGGTGGTGGTGGTGAGGTGGTGTGGTGGTGGTGGTGGGTGTGGTGGTGGTGGTGGTGGGGTGTGGTGGTGGTGGTGGGGTGTGGTGTGGTGGTGGTGTGGTGGTGGTGTGGTGGTGAGGTGTGGTGGTGGTGTGGTGAGGTGTGGTGGTGTGGTGGTGGGAGGTGTGGTGGTGAGGGTGTGGTGGGTGATGGTGAGGTGTGGTGGTGAGGTGTGGTGGTGGTGAGGTGGTGGTGGTGGTGGTGAGGTGTGGTGGTGGTGGTGAGGTGTGGTGGTGGTGGTGGGGTGTGGTGGTGGTGAGGTGTGGTGGTGGTGGTGAGGTGTGGTGGTGGTGAGGTATGGTGATTTTGGTGGTAAAGTGTGGTGATTTTGGTGGTAGCAAAGTGTGGTGGTAGCGAAGATGTAGTGTTGTTGGTGATGTGAAAATAAGGTGGTGGTGGTAGTGGTGGTGATGAAGCGAGAATAATTTGGTGGTGAAGGAAGGATGTCACGATACAGGTGTGAGGTGAAGGACGGATGTCACGATACAGGTGTAAGGTAAGGAAGGATGTCACGATACAGGTGTGAGGTGAAGGAAGGATGTCACGATACAGGTGTGAGGTAAGGAAGGATGTCACGATACAGGTGTGAGGACTGCATTTAGAGTAACACAGGAGAAAGAAAATACGTGTGCCAGATCATTTATCCGGCTTCCAGAAACCAGAATTACTAGAAAACCGGAGATTTTTTCAAATAGCAGGTTCTGTAGTTTGCTGGCTGGCCACTTTGTTTTACTTGTGGTGGCGCCACGTGGCTTGTGCCTCAGTTTTAACAAAATGGCATCTGTGTATACTTGTCTCTCTCTACTGTTTGTGGTTATTTACCCCAATTTATTATCAGTATAAATTATTAACGTGTTCAAAAGACTAGCAGGATGTCCACTTGCTAATGGAGATAGAGAAATAGTGAAGAATTTATTGGAATATGCATAAAGTATGTCATGTGAAGTAGTAGCCCCAGTCTTTGGATGGAAAGGCTGTACAGTTGTGCTCCAACCTAATGATAGTGAACTTGTGGATATGGTAATGAATGATGGAAAGAACAGATCAAATGAGAATGATGATAACAATGGTGATGTCTGTATATTGAAAGAACAGAGAAAGAGGAACTAATTCGGAGGATGGAACAAAAGAGCTTCATTAATGAGCAACAAATTATGTGAATGAACAAAATACAAAAGGTTTTCATTAAAAAAAGGCCAAGTACATGAAACAACTGAATCTGTAGGACATGTTTAAAAAGATCAACAAGAAAATTTTCAGTGAACATCATCCAGAGTCAACCTTCGACCTCCACAGCCTGTGCCTGTCACCTCAGATGCTGTATCGTCTTCAGATGAGATTTCGTAGATGGATAATTACCAAACAAGATCTGCTTTGGGAGTGAATTAATGAACGATGATTAGGTAAGTACTAAACATCTTTTCATTCTTTAATTTTCATAGTTTACTTTATATCTTAGGTACATACTAGACCTAACACCAGAAATCTGCCCAAACTAAAAATCTGCTAAACCAGAAATCCGGCTCATCTCCGGTCCCAAGCTTGCTGGATAAATGGTCTAGTACATCGGTTTCTTAAGTAACTTGGAGAATATTATGAGAGATATGTGTGTGTGTTTATATCTGAAGATGATTAACTGCACAGCTTTCCACACATTATTCAACTACACTATTGATAATGAAACTTAAGAGTCTCAACTGTAGTACCCCCTATAGTTAAGAATAGGGATGTGTAGGTAATAGGGGTTATAGGCAGTAAGTGTTCCGTAATAAGTATCGTCGTCATGATTTTTTTTAACTATTTTTTTTAAACACTAACCTGATTTTTCGACTTTCTTCCTCTTCCTTTGCGTCCCTTTTTATCCTTCTTCTTTTGTTTCCTCGCCTGTCTTCTTCTCTTTCTCTCTCTTATCATCTGTAGTCTCCTCAATCTTTCCTCTTCTCTCTCATCCTCGGTGTTCTCTTCCAGGGTGTTGTTGGTCTCTTCCTCAACCTTAGTTTCTTCTCTTTGGGGATTCTTAGTCTCACCCTTCACCCTCGCTTCCTTGAGGTTGTCAATGATGGTGGAGGAGGACTCGACAATGTTGTAGGCAGTGACGATCTGTTGGTCGTGCTGCTCCTGCTCCTCCGCTGGCACCTCTTCCTCCTCCACTGGCACCTCTTCCTTCTCCTGCGCCTTCTCCTCCCTGCAAAAAAATAAACCAATAATTACTAAAATTTGAGAAAAAACCCCCCAGAAAGTGGAGACCCCGAGGACGTAATTATTGGTAAAGAGAAAATAAAGACTTCTGAAGAACAACTCTAGATCCATATATATATATATATATATATATATATATATATATATATATATATATATATATATATATATATATATATATATATATATATATATATATATATATATATATATATATATATATATTGTGTTATTGATGATAGTTTAGTCGTATCAAATTTTTTTTTTTGGCAAAAAAACACCAATGTTGTAGATGTTATAATAATGTCAAGGAAGAAATAATGGTCAGTAATGAAACGGCAAAACACCACAAACTAAGTATATGCGAGAAACTGGTGTAAACAAAAGCCTGTAAAATGAAACGAGTGTCGTTGCTCGACCCGGAGCTACCAAAAGTTTAACCAAACACCCGCGTTAGCCTCTTAATTTTGGTTATGCTACATTGCTTTAGGTTTTGGCCAAAAATAATAAATAAATAAATACATAAATAAATAAAATAAATAAATAAATAAATAAAATATGTTCCTCACTTTCCATGTACAGTTATGTTGTAGCAAGAAAACGTGGCCTAAGGCCACCTAGGCGTAAATTTCTTAAAAGTTGTATGACCCAATGTCAAGGCATAACCCCGGAATACCAACTGCACTGCTTAACTATTACTCTGGAATATGATCCACTATCGATTAACATCCACGTTCCTAATTAGCAATGGGTAAAGAGACAAATGACGTAAAGAACTTGCCTATTGTGTCTTCAAGTCGCCACTGATACACAAACACATATAGTTACTGATAGAAAGTAACAGCATGTAAACACTGTACTGTATGACGAGAGAGAACTATGTTGAAAGACTCCAGGACAAGGATGTATAAGGTAACAATTGTGGTAACATTACTATGCGGTTGTCAGACTTGAGGAAGGAGTGCTTGAAATTGACATGTAAAGTGAATAAGGATGAATAGGCTGTAAATAAATGAATACTGAACATAGAAATAATATGATGTGGAAGTAAACAAGCTTTAGAGAGAGAGAGAGAGAGAGAGAGAGAGAGAGAGAGAGAGAGAGAGAGAGTGTGTGTCGAATGAAGGATGAGAGGAAGTACTGGATAGGCCGATAAGAGGAGACGGGGCAGTGAGGAAGCAGCGTGTGTGCCTGACGAGAAAGAGAGGTTATGATTGGTTTATGGGGACACACACACATACACACACACACACACACACATATATATATATATATATATATATATATATATATATATATATATATATATATATATATATATATATATATATATATATATATATATATATATATATATATATATAGTGTGTCACTTCGTTTTAGTTCGTAATCAAATAATGATATAATTAATTCCTCTTAAACACAAAGTAATTTAGGTGGAACACATTTTTAAACATAATAAAGTAACACTTAATCAGCTAGGAATAATATTGTAAGGTCGACACAGTTGACGTAAAGGGGACACGGAGGCTGGAGGTAGTGAGGCGCTCAACCTGCACTGAGTGGCCCAGTTCATTTCACTATTACACGGCAGATATACTCCTCAATATTAAGTAAGGCAGGAAAAGGGTTACGTAAGTAGATGGATAAATAGTGATTATGAATCTGTTTGTCAAGATCCGTAAACGATATTTAAGAGGTAGACAATATTTAGGGATGTGAATTACACAAGACTTATAAATATTTAATTTTTTTTCCTTCGCTAAAGATAAAAGCATTAAGGTGCGGTACTGTCTCGGTGCAAATTCGCAGTTAATTTGGTCGCCACCTTTGAGTTGACATTTTTGGGACCCAGTTCAATGTGTTCTACAGCTCGTGTGTTGTTTGGAAAAATTATTTTATGAACCTTGGGAGTGAGGACCATGAGTGCGTCTAGCGCGTGGGGGTGGGCGGTGTGGGCCCCGCCAAAATTACAGGGTGACGTGTGCCGCCGCCACCACCTACTCTCTCTAGTCTTCCTCCTATGTACACTAGCCCGGAGTCTCAAGGTATATAAATTAATTTTCCTCTGTAAACTGATATGAGACACTTCATTTAGTTACAACAGGAACTCAATGCGATTTCAAGACAATCTAAGCAGTTTTCTCGACGTCATCTCATTACCAATTAGATTTTCACGTTAAGGATCAATTAAAACCCGGGACTACGACAGTTAGGAGCCACCAAGAGACCTCGGGAAGGAGTGAGAGGCAGATATTAGAAGCCACTCAAAAGAATCATTCTCCTATCACTCACTGTATTAAATAGCCGAAGCTTAATATTTCTTACCTCAGCGTACACTAAAAAATATACTACATTAATATCAATAGTTCATGTGGCCAGACTTTTCTTATAAATTATATATCATGTGGTAACGATCTGTCTTCCGGAGCTTCTTGTGTTGTAAGACCGGGATGAGGCACTTTAGTCAACTCGCCCTGGGCCTCTCTCTGGGAAAAATTCTAATCTGACTAATTCATTCACTAAACTACAAATGTAACAAAATATTTCTGGCCCCAGATTCCCGAGTCACGTGCGGCCCCTGGAGGTATTTGGTCAGATGTGAGAACTCGTAAGCACTGTAGTATCTTTAATAAAAGTCATATGTTGACCAAAGGGCGTTTCAGGCCGTAACTACAATACCGGCTCCCCCACTTTTCCCTCACACCACCACTTCTCTCCCTCATTACCTCTCCACCACCTCTCTCCTTCACTGCCTTTCTACCACCTCTCTCCCTCACTGCCTCTCCACCACCTCTCTTCCTCCTAGTTACCATATGCCACCCCCATCCCCTCCCAGTTTTTTATGCCTCCTTTTGATATCTTCCAGGAGCCGCCACAGCCCTCAGAAGACCTCCTGAGGGCGAGGGTTGAACAAGTGCCCTCCGCCCTACGCCTGGCAGGACTGAGAGTCTCCCACATCTATATTCATTGGAATAAGATCATTTACATATGGTGGTAATCTGAATGTACTGTATATGATGGAGTTGTGACTTTTGTGTATTTATAATTAGGAATATCATTTGTAGCACACACACACACACACACACACACGTACACACACACACGTACACACGTACACACACAAGCAAGCACGTACACATGCACGCACACACATACACAGAGCGCTCACACACACACACACACATACACACGTGTACAAGATTCACTGTTGACCATTGCAAGATATTAAGAATCACGGGGCAGCAGTTAAAATGAAACCAGAAGATAATGACCCATAAAAAGATTATAAAAATAAAAGCTATAAACACGCTCGGCCCCGCCAGTGATCACAACACATACTGGCCGTCGATATAAGAGGCAGGAGAGCAGCGGCAGGCGGCCAACACCCCCAACAAGGAACACATGTAAGTGGAAACGGCCGTATGTTACCGGTGGTGGCGTTTATAGTAATATCCAGCCAGTCAATAACCTTCACCTGGTAATAAATCACAGCAGGATTACTACTTTAAGAGAATTCTCATCAAAATCTTCACTGGGTACTGTATTTCCTTTAAGTCACCTTAATAATTCGATTATGTGAGTTAAGATCAAATTCCTAATATCCACAGATTACCAACGTTATATTTTCACGTTAAAGCCTCAAACTGGTTATAACGGATCAGAAATTATGTAAAATATAACATTCCTTGAATTGCCTTTCACAACTTCCAGTTTGAAGTCTTCCACAAACTTCTCTTAACATCAGATCCGCGACGCTAAACGCCACTTAACTTTCAAATTTCATGTAGATTTGACTTGTAAAATTACCTCTCAGCGATGTCGTGGCCTCGACCCATCCAGCTTCACCTTCAATACGCACCCACTGTAAATATAGTTCCAGCTCTTCCTGATAGGTAATAAACTTTCTAAAACTTAGAAGATGTTTAACCTCTAGTCCGTCATATATTGTGTGTGTGAAGGGCATCCCGGAGACACCAGGGATATGAGAGTGTCGAGGCAGGACAATACCCGCTTATCGCAGGTAGCTACAGTCGTGGGTGTAAGAGCCATCAACATGTAAATGTATCGTGAGCGCCGTGAGGGAGAGGAGAGGGAATGGCTCTATTGTGTATGAGATGGAGAGAGATGAAAACTACAGGCACTGAAAACCGCTGCCTTAAGTTGAAGGGACGAGACACAACTGAGAATAGAATGTTATCTTCACAGGGATATGACAAAGTTTATAGTAAAAAAAATAGTTACGTCACAGGGACCAGACACATCTAAGAGTAAACAGCACCATTTTCACAGGGATCAGACACAACTGAGAGCAAACAGCACCATCTTCACAGGGACCAGACACAACTGAGAGCAAACAGCACTATCTTCACAGGGACCAGACACAACTGAGAGCAAACAGCACTATCTTTACAGGGACCAGACACAACTGAGAGCAAACAGCACCATCTTCACAGGGACCAGACACAACTGAGAGCAAACAGCACTATCTTCACAGGGACCAGACACAACTGAGAGCAAACAGCACTATCTTCACAGGGACCAGACACAACTGAGAGCAAACAGCACCATCTACAGGACCAGACACAACTGAGAGCAAACAGCACTATCTTCACAGGGACCAGACACAACTGAGAGCAAACAGCACTATCTTCACAGGGACCAGACACAACTGAGAGCAAACAGCACTATCTTCACAGGACCAGACACAACTGAGAGCAAACAGCACCATCTTCACAGGGACCAGACACAACTGAGAGCAAACAGCACTATCTTCACAGGGACCAGACACAACTGAGAGCAAACAGCACTATCTTCACAGGGACCAGACACAACTGAGAGCAAACAGCACTATCTTCACAGGGACCAGACACAACTGAGAGCAAACAGCACCATCTTCACAGGGACCAGACACAACTGAGAGCAAACAGCACCATCTTCACAGGGACCAGACACAACTGAGAGCAAACAGCACTATCTTCACAGGACCAGACACAACTGAGAGCAAACAGCACTATCTTCACCAGACACAACTGAGAGCAACAGCACATACAGGACCAGACACAACTGAGCAGGACCAGACACAACTGAGAGCAAACAGCACCATCTTCACAGGGACCAGACACAACTGAGAGCAATCAGCACCATCTTCACAGGACCAGACACAACTGAGAGCAAACAACACTATCTTCACAGGACCAGACACAACTGAGAGCAAACAGCACCATCTTCACAGGGACCAGACACAACTGAGAGCAAACAGCACCATCTTCACAGGGACCAGACACAACTGAGAGCAAACAGCACCATCTTCACAGGGACCAGACACAACTGAGAGCAAACAGCACCATCTTCACAGGGACCAGACACAACTGAGAGCAAACAGCACCATCTTCACAGGGACCAGACACAACTGAGAGCAAACAGCACCATCTTCACAGGGACCAGACACAACTGAGAGCAAACAGCACCATCTTCACAGGGACCAGACACAACTGAGAGCAAACAGCACCATATTCACAGGGACCAGACACAACTGAGAGTAAACAACGTTATCTTCAGTGGGACCAAACACTGCCTCACCTGTCAGGTCGCCGCCCACGGGATCGACCACGCTTGTGGGCGGGACGGGGTCGGCCACGTCCTCGCTGTCGTCTGGGCGGTCTGGTCGGCTCCGCTGTCTCTGTTGGCAAAAGAATAAACTCTGGTCAAATCATCATAATTGTCACATCTTCATACAACATCCACATATCACATCTCAATGCATCTTATCGTTGCTACATCACATCAGAGTATCATTAATCTGTCAGGTGTGTTTGTCTGTCGCGGGGGTTAATGCTGTCCACGAACCGGATTGCTCACTAACTGGTGTTGAGGGTCAGTATCTTCTAATGGCTGAGTCTCAGTGAAATTACTATATCATTTTGTGCGTCATATTTGTGTCGTAGCTCAAGTGGTCGTATTAGACAGGTTTTCACTGCACTAGTTTAAAGGAAACATTAACACACGAACCTCTGAGAATCGCGGCCCATGAATTTTAGAAAAACTTGGTAGTATTGTTTTTGTAGTGCGTCGTCTACACTGTCGGGCGTCACAACACCTACCAGTCAGACTATTTTTAGTGGCGTCAGTTAACTGTGAATATCAATACTGGTTGACTGGATGACTGACCGAGTGACTTATTTATTAACAAACCGTTATGATCAGCCCCAATGAGGTAGTTTATGATAAATTATAATTTATCATTCAGCAAGAACAAGATTGATTAATAATTATTAATCAATCTTGTTCTTGCTGAATACTACTATCTAAATTTCTTGGGCGTTTTCGACATATCTTTTGTCATTGTCTTGAAAATTATTTGATATAAGATAATATTGAAGCCATTTTTTTTACATATGTTGTACCAGATGTTATAAGCATTTCCTCCATTATCATCTGAAAGTAATATAAAAAAAATACTGATTTATTCATTCTTTTCTGTTTTTCAATCAGGTGTTTTCGCATCAACACTACACAAGTTGTGGTACCTTCAATGTACCCCCCCCCCCTCGCCATAAACGGAACATAAGTATAAAATTATCTTATCAAAGTATTTGGTCACTATTGTGTCAAAATTTTTTTGCTACCTCGCCTAAAAAGTGATACTGAGATGATTGTCCATGATTTCGGCAATGATTATCAATACTGATCATGCCTATGCTGACGTCACTCCAATCTTCTGTTGTGAAGTGTGTTGCCAGATTTTTTGAAGTTTACAATTTAATTTTGAAACATTGATCTACTGTACGTTTTCCCTGATTTGGGAGTCGGATAACTTGTCATTAATATAAAACTTGAAATTTTAGGAGTTATTTAGAATAGTCACTTTCCCGAGGAGGTGTCCTTTAAGTTAAAAAGGTAGATGTGTTCTCACTAGACCAGTAACGGAGGAATTATTATGTATAGATCTTACAAAATTTGATCTTGCCTATCAGTCAGTACCCCGTCGGCACAGACAACGCCACGAACTCTCTCTCTCTCTCTCTCTCTATCTCGCGTGTTCTTTTGCTCTGTTGCTCCTCACATCATGAAGCGGAATTTAATTCGATGAAATTCAACTTTACGTCATAGAGTAAGCGGTAAATTAATATGCACCATCATCTCGGTTGTGCATTGAATGAACGAAACAAGAAAATAAATTATAAGCAAAGAAGTGGACATGGACACATAGAACTGATGAAAGGAATAAGCAGAGTTCTTAAGCTATCGACACAATTCTTATGTGTGTGTGTGTGTGTGAGTACTACAACACAACATCCAGAAAGTGAATTCCATAACTAAGAGCCTACAAGCCCAAAGCTGTATTTAATATAATCTGTAGGTGGAGTGTATGTAGGTAACAGTCTATCTATATATCTAGTACAGGGACAGTCTTGCCGAGCTCTAACCAGGCATCGTCGACCAGACAAGAGCTTCAACCCGCCATCTACCTGGCACGAGATGTATAAGGTGCTAGTAGCTGTGGTCGTGGTCGCTGGGATCAGTCAGCGTCAAGTTCTCAAGAGAACGACGCGTTAAATCTTGGCCCACACGACCACCACATCATAATGAGGGCAGCTGGACGTGTTGGGCGCGATAGTGGCCATTGCTTAGACGTCTAACCTTGGATTCTCAAACACGCGTACACGTTTGTGAATTTTACCCTGGAAAGATAGAAAAACGCACGCAACTTGCCAACTTAATTTATAACATTAAACCAGCAACTAAATAAAACAAACAAATAATTAACACCCTTTCTACCGCAACTCGATGCGTTTTTCGATTGCCAAGAGGGAAAAAATCGACCTAAGTATCACTGAGAACCTGGCCCATGGGTGGTGGCGGGGGGCACCTGGCCTCATAGGACCTTATCACCTGCCAGCCAACACTCACTCCTCACCGTCACAGCCGACACATAATGCTTGATTTATCTTCCGTAACGGCGACTGTCAACACATTAGGTGATACGAACCTGTCAGGGATGATGTGTGTGTGTGTGTGTGTGTGTGTGTGTGTGTGTGTGTGTGTGTGTGTGTGTGTGTGTTTGTGCCACTCAACCCTCGGTCGTCTGTCAGTGTACACACACACACGGGTCAGGAGTCTCAAAATCTTACGTCAATTTTCCTTCTAAAGGGAAATACAAGAATACATATAACTGATTCATACAAATGTTTGCGAACGATACCAATTTATCTAGGGAAATTAAGAACCAAACAGACTGCAGAGAGCTGCAGAAAGATCTCTGCGAGCTTCAAGAATGGTCGAAGAAATGGCTGCTAATATTTGATGTCACGAAGTGGAAGAGGATGCACCTGGGTCGCACCAACGGTAAGGAGGCGTATCATAATATTATGTCCCAACGGGATGAAGAAACTGCATTAATAGAGACCGAAAGCGAAAAGGATCTGGGTGTGTAGGTTGACAATGAACTGAAGTTCTCGGACCATTGTGAGAAAAAAGGTGAATAAAGTAACTAGTAGGTCAAATAAGAAGGTTGTTCAGACGCCTAGACGGTCCGTCCCTCGTAACGATCTTCAAGAGTGAAGTGCTTCCTCATTTGGAATACTGTCACCCCGCTGGTCCCCGAGATATGCTAGGGACTGTCAGTTGATTGAAAATGTCCAAAGGAGGGCCACCAGACCGGTGCCTGCACTTTGGCACCTCAGTTAACCAGAGGTTAGAGCGCTTGCAACTGCCTAGCTTATACTACAGACGGGCAAGGGGCGATCTAATTGAGGTGTATAAACATCTCAAAGGGCACTACTCAGTCAAGTGTCCATACCTGGAGCTGGCGGACACCCGCCCCACAAGGGGTCACAGCTCAAGGTTGAAGAAGCGACAAGTCCAGAAAATTGTGATGGCAAACTTTTTCGGAGTGAAAGTTGTGAACTCTTGGAAAAACCTGCCAGAGAGTGTTGAGCCAGCGCCGAGTGTGAGCTGTTTCAAGACCAGACTTGACCAACACTTGAGTAGGTTCAGATGCATTCAGGAGCCAGTGCATGCCCAGTAGTTGCAAACAGTGCGTAACAGAGACGTGACCGACCGCCCAAGCGGCAAACGAGCCGATCAGTGGTGAAGAAGGAAAAAAAAGAAAAAGCATTACCTTGTTACTGAAGCTCTTGTACAAATACGACTCCAATAAGCACTATGTCACACCTCCCTCGAGTTGGTATCAATTAGGACCTTGGTACTAGTTTTTGGTATTAAATATTATTCCCAAAAGTCTGAAAAAAAAGTGTCTCGTATGATTTGGTAAGACAACTCCGCCACCTGTCACTCACACCTACGGTACACCTGCCCCCCCCCCTCTCTCTCTCTCTCTCTCTCTCTCTCTCTCTCTTTCTCTCTCTCTCTCTCAACTATAAAACCCCTTTGCATTACAAATGGTCGATATTATTACTTTAATAGGGAAAAGAAAGAAAACGAATTTCACTAAACTACTTTCATGGGTAACTTTAACACTGTAGTTCTTTATATCGTCTAGTAGAGGAAGCCACAACAAATGATAGTGTACACTGTTCCCCGCCACTTGCCAACACACTCACTCTCACGGTATAATTAAATGATTCGATATCCAGCGACCTTTAAACCAGTCGCTTATACCTGCTCATCCTTACACACTTGTTCACAGCCACACACTCACATCCACACACACACACATGTTCACATCCTCACACACATGCTCACATCCACACATCTGTATACAACAAAAAAACCTCTTCATACCTACATACCTGCTTACACCTATATATCCTCAGACCCACACACATGCTCAATCAAATACCTACTCACGCCCACACACCTGCTCAAACCCACACACCTGTTGCATAGATGTGGTTGGATACGAAACGGTGTCAGGGTGGAGTGAAGAGCGATAGGGTATGTTTGGGTGGCATGACGCTGGAGAAAGTGGGATGTTGTGAGGGTAGGTGGTAGGGGGCGGGGTGAGGGTTTGTGCTGTGACTTAGTGGGGTGAGGGGGTGCAGTAAGTACTATCACCGGTCGCTTGGACCAGGTAGGGGTGAGGAGTTAAGCTCTCACCCCCAGTACGCTCAGTGAGGGGTGGAGGCTGTAAACTCAGACGGTGACGGTCATAAGGTGCTATGTGGGTATGTGCAATAACTGTCTCAGAACCATGTAATAATTCCCCACCGACAAAGGACGGGTGTTTGTATGTGCCATCATGTATACATTGTAAAGGTATGTTATATTAAAAAATATGTATTATCACTGCATGTGTGTACTTGTGTGAACGTTTCTGTAAATTTTATATATATATATATATATATATATATATATATATATATATATATATATATATATATATATATATATATATATATATATATATATATATATATATTTCTGTGTATAGTATATTCTTGGTTTCTGTTACTGGCATGAAGAAGTTTATATTTAACTTTATATACATGTTTCTGTTTGTACCGTCAACCAAAAAATCATCGCGCCCCTGGGGTCCGTTGGAACTGGGAATGAGCAAATACCCGTCACTCATGGTATGTGTTGGGTGGACGTACCCGGGTTTTCTAAACATTTCATCCAGTGTTCTAGAATGAAATGTACGGAAAGTGGCGTGAATGGTGGATTGGGTCGTATACACTAGGATCTTGCACGCAGTGATAAATTACTGTTTTTGTTGAG